AGACAATGCTAGTATGACCATCTAATTTGGCTTTTATTATCCTGTTTTGACATCCCATAGACGGATTGATTTATCACCACTACCGGAAGCTTAAATATTTCCATCAGGAGAGAAACAGACTGAGTTGACTTAATCTTAATGGCCATCTAGTTTATTTAATTCAAGGATTTTTAAGTCTTTCCAACTACAATTTAATAATAATGCTCCGTCCAGGTTTATTCCACTTATGTTGACATTATTAAATTAGGATTCACTAAAATTACACCTAGCAAAATTTGCTCCTTCTAACGAGACATTTTAGATCTTAATTTTTTTAAATTTTTAATTTCTTAAATCCTCCTTCATCTAAACTAAAATATGTAATGAATTAGACCCACATTATATCATAGTTTCCTCTATAGATGTGAGATGAACTAAAAATTACTAAAATTCAATGATCCTTTTGTTATCCTTGATGCTTTTAATTAGACTTAATGTTGATTCTTCATTTTCTTTGGAGGAAAAGTCTTTGTAATTGAAGTCATGATCTTTTAATTTTTTTAATACATCTGTAATTTATTTCATGTCATTTCCAATATCAGACAATTTCTATTCTGTATCAACTTGTGTGAAATTCCCAGCTTTTTGTAAAATTTATGATTCTAATTGTTTCTGATTTCCAATATCTGATAGAAATCCAATGCAGCCTTAAACTTTTTCCTTTCTTAATATTTCTGATATGACACCAAACATCTTTTCATCTACATCTTTAACTTAAGCAAAGATTTCAGCTAGAGCTTGCTTCTCCTAAAAAGGGCCCTGCATTTTCTATGTTATTTTTAATATTGAATTATTATTACTCTAATAATAGGTTATATACTGCGAAATCGATAATAGTATATTAAGTATTTCTAAAAATAGAATTTCAAACGTTGTGTAGATTTGGAATTGATAGTAATAGCGGTATATTATGCTATTGAGAATCCAATTCTTCTTTTGAATTGCTTAATTCTTTAATAATACAAAATAACTCTTTATTTTTATAATGTAAATTATAAATAATTTCTTAATATATATAGATATAACATAAAAATGCATTAGACTAGTAATGTAGATATTATAAAAAATAATATACATAAAGCTTGATTATTTACTTCCTCAATCTTCAAACAATTATTTCTATCAGAACCTAGCTAGTTTAATTATTTCCAGATAATAAACATGAATTTAATATTTATTACCCTTTATTAAATAGATATTTTTTCAATAGAATTGCTGATTTTTTACCTAATTTTGATCTATCAAATCAATTATCTTAATAAATTCAATTTATTTTAGTATATTACAAACTTTCCTCTTGTTAATCTTTTTAAGAGTTGGAATAAAGCATAGGATCAATGATTAAGGTATAATGAATTTTTTTTAATAAAATGAAAAAAAAATTGAACTTTACCGCAACCTAAGATGTTATAAATAGATACGACTTGCATTGATAATTGATAGAATATATATATACTTTAAAATTTTTGTTTTTTGTTAAACTTATGACAGTGATGGATATTATTCCAAATGAAACTTAACCTATTTGGTTTTACTTGTGGCAAGTATGTAAAATTTCATTTCCATAACTGACATTATGTTAATATGAGTATATTATTTATTTTTATGAAATAAAAACACAGCAGAAATGTGGCGTATGTATTTGGAGTGGTATACTAACTTTTTAGAGATATAAATATTCAAAATGAACTAAAAAACGATATTAAAGACTTTTTTAAATAATAAATCAACGCCAGATCTTTTTACACTTTTTTGTAACATCAAAGGACATCCATTTCAAGTGGATTATTAATATTTATTCATAATAATTCAAAAATAGTTGAAAAAATGAAGAAATCTTTGTGTTTAATATTAAGCATAACAATTAAAAAAATAGCTCTAACATTTGAAAAAATAAAATCAATCTATTATAAACATGAGACTCTTATTTAAAGGATGTTTACTTCAAAGTAAATATTAATTAAACATACATTTTATTTTTATATTAATTTCTGACCTTTTTTATAATAAGATATTTTTTTATTAAATAATTTAATAAAAAGATATAATACTTAATTTATAGAAATTAAAGGTTAAGAGGGCAACAAATTATGTTGAATGATCTAACTTTGAAAATTTAAGGATTTTGAAACACAATAAATATGAATATATAATTGAAAAATAGCAACTCACAGTCTTGTGAACTTATAGAACAACATCCAAATATAAATTCAAAAATAAAATTAATGAATCAAAAATTGAAACAAGATATCTCTATTGTATTAATCCTATGGACATTATTTAATGCTGTTTAGAATGAATAGTGTGAGAACAATTATTAAAGTTCATGTCTGTGTGAATCTGATGGTTTAACTGGATGTTCAACCATACACTATTGTGTTGATATTACAGCATCATCTGAAAAATGCGATGCAGAATCTGGTACATCTGTAAGCATGTGAAACTTCGACGTAGACAATATGCTCATCCACACTTTGTTTCGATCTATCAGCAAGTTTTGGTCTGGATCTACTCTATCTGATTGTATATGTGAACCTCAAGAAAATCATATTGTGATTCAACTAAAATATGTTAAAGGAATTCATGTTTGGTAATCCTAATTGCAAAGCTATAAATTAAAATAATTGCTCATGTGTAAGCTCAACAAAATAATAATGTAGTTCAATTACTTTATTTCAAAGACCCAAAAGCATCACATGGAACATGTTTTAATAAATGCTAAGTTCAACAGTAAATGATTGTATCTGTGGTTCAACAACACTATCATATTGTACTTCGACTTAGAGATGTGAAGATAATATGGCTAGTTCAGGAAATTGTTTGAATATTTGTACTAGAAACTTTTAAATTAATTGTTCTTGTGGATAAAATCAATTTAGTAATTTTAATAGTTCAAACTATTGTTCGAATGCTACAGCTAATAATGGATATTGCTGTGATAATTGTACAAATAACATCAAATAATCTTTTATTTCTGGAACTAGTACAAATAAGGATGTTCTTGTTCATAAAGATGTGAAGATCCAAATGCAAATAGTGGTAATTGTATTTCAATACCTAATCTTATTAATAATTTTGATAATTCTTGTTAATGCGGTACATCTTAGGTTACTGTATGCTCATTGTCTACTTATTGTACTAATATAAATGATTCAACAAAAATTTGCTTATATATTGTACCCAAACTTAGAAATCAAATTGTATTTGTGGTTCCATTAATAAAGTTAATTTGTTCAAATACAAAAATATATTAGAATGCCTAAGATTAAAATTGAAATTGCATTGAAAAATGTCAAGCCAATTTATAAACAAGCTGTTTATGTGGTAATTCAGCAACTTCAATTATTAATTCAATTGAACATTGTCATGATTATAAAAAACCTACAGGTACTTCTAAAGCAATTGTGTTTTTGGATTATCAAGTTATTCAGAATGTTCATCTACAACTTATTGTTCATCAAAATAATCAGAAGTTTGTTTAGGAGAATGTTCTCTCCCGTTATCATCAAATTGCATTTGTGAAAATAAAGTCAAATAAGTATGTTCAAGTTATGAAAAATGTGTAGATTCATATACATATATACTAAAATTGTTTAATGTTTGGAGTTGTAAATGTAAAATAAAAAATAAGATTCTCATCTGTAATGGAATATGTAATTTAGGAACTTGTGTATAATTACTGTAATAAAATTGTACTTAATGTACCAATAGGCATACTTATTGCAATAAAAATGAATATTGTTAGATTATACAGCTGTTAAGGGAATTTGTTTTTAAAAATGTAAGTAAAATAAAAATCATTGTCTATGTGGAATAGATTCTATTAATGTACGCTATGTATCATCTTATTGTTTATTGCAATAAAGAGGTGTTTGTATGACAGAATGTACTTCTACTAATTATTAAAATTGTTTGATACTATCTGAAAACTAGGCATGCCTGGATAAATTTAGCACTTTCTATAATCCTCTTACAGGAAGATTTAGAACAACTTGCGTAGAAAATGGTTAAACAAATTGTGTTTGTATTAGTATTATAGATAACAATTTAGATACCAAATTAATTTGCTAATCTGGCTTTGAATGCTAAACTCTTGCAAATCCACAATAAGGATGTTTTGAAAAATGTACAACCAATAAAAGTTCTATTTTTTATTGTAGATAAGACAAATCCTAATATTGTAATGAAAATTAGGCTTGTTATGATCCAACTTAATCAATAGGATCATTTACATAGACTTTGAATGAAATTCAAATAAAATATTCTTTTAAATTTCTTTTAAAAGTGTCTTGAAGAATGTTCAAATTCAGTTAAAAAATTATATTATTGATTGCTTAAATAAATGTAATTAAGAATAAATGTAGTTGACAAAAATGTGTATTAATATTTTCAGTTCAAAAGTTAATTGTAATAATGTTTTTCACTATATTATGAAAAAAAAAAAAATTAATCAAGAACAAGATTAAGAAATCAAATATTTTAAATTACTCACGTAAATATTTAAATTTCCACAGTCCTTACAATCAGAAACTTAAAAATTTGAAATTAAGTGATACTATTTATCAGAATGCTATACTCTTATTTAAGTTTTTTAGGTCCTTTTTTTTACCGAAATGTGTTTTTTTATGACAAATTTTTAAATAATGCTTATGTGTTTTGATAGATGATTAATTTTTCCAATTTTATTATTTTTTCTATAAGATTTACTATAATCTTATCTGGAAATTATTTGTAATAAAACAGATTCATTTTTTAATTAAATAAAATTATATTTTCTTATGTAATTTATATGAAAAAGGAATAATTTACACTAATAAATAAATAATTCAACATAGGAAATAACTCTTATTATAAATTTTGTTATAATTTCTAATAACCTGATGTATTGAGGAAAGTTAAATGAAAGGAAAATTGACTTAAAGAAGCTGTGGAAATTTAACAATAAAAACTATTTGAGATAATCTTAATTTTAAGTATTTAGAGTGTAATTTAAAATATTAACTATTTTATCTCTATATATCAATAATTTAATATATATAAAAATCATGAATTTCAATTTATCAATGCAAGGATTTTATAATAAGGTTTAGTCATTAATGTAAACCAATTATGAGGTACCTAATTATGATGATAATATTAGGTGCTATTGCGGTTTATAGATTAGATGTGATCCATTTGATGATTTTTACAATCATATTTCTAATTGCAAAAAGTTTCTAAGTAAATCAATTTTTATAAAGAATTTGAAAAGCCTAATTTTTATATTTTTAAGTTACCTTAACTTTATACATTGAAAGCAGAATTTCTGTTTATCATTAATCAAATAGATGAAATTACCAATAAAAGTAAGAATATAACTAATTTATAATATTAGAAGAAATTAATTAAACTAATTCACTAAAGAGAAATAGTAGATAATTAAAATATAGAATAAAACTATAATTCAATTAAATTATAATAAGCAATCCTATTTGATTGAAATTTCAGTCCTACAATAATATTCACAAAAATTACTTTCTAAAAAAGAGTAGAGAATAAGAAAATCAAATAGGAATGTTTTTTTTGTATAAAATAAAATAAAATGATAATGAGGATGAGATGGAAGTAGTTTATAATTTTTAACATGCTCATTGTCTTGGTTGCATTAGTGAATTAATAATATATTCTAAAATCAGGTTGTGTCTAATCTTCATTTTTTGAAAAGTAATTAAGTCAGTAAGAAATTGAAAATATATTAATTTAGAAAGTACTTAATACTAAAAAAATGTGAAAAATATGTGAATCACTTACATAATTCAAATAATAATATTAATTCTATAATAGAAAATTAAATAATAAAGATATTAAGCTAGGTAAATGCCAGCTTGTAAGTAAAAAGAATACTAATCAAAAAATATTTAGGCATGTTAAGATAATTAATTGCAAAAATTTTTGTAAAGGAAATAAAGATGAAAAATATGTTTGGGTCGTCATAGATGAAATAGTAGATATTTCTAGGTTAAAAATTTCATTAAATGCACATTCAAACTATTTAATAATTTATCATTTTAGACAAATATCATTTTACTACCATTTCTTAGCTTTGGCTACTAAGATCTTCTTGCTTTAAACAGGCTATAATTGTTTTTTTAGAAAAAAATTACTATAATTAATTTCACTTTTTTCCAATAATTAAGTTAAAATTTCTTTAATTAATAGATTTTAATTTAGTTGTTCTATTGCTATTTTCAAGTTGGTTCCTACCTTTTTCCGATATAAAATCGCTTTTTAATTTTTTCAATCAACTCCTCTAAGTTTAGATTTTGAATTGATAAATAAATACACTAAAAGTTTTTTTAACATCTTCATTCATCTATTTAAAATAACATGGAAATATTGTATTTGCCTATTTGATGATTGATCAGTTATAAATATCATATTTCTGTGACTTTTATAATCTTATTTTTTATGTGAATCATTTGGAAAACATATTTCAAAACAGTTTTTTTATCAATAAAATATCGGAGAGGATTTATCATGTCATAATTACTTTAAAACTATTTCGTAATGAAAGGTTAAAAATTTAAATTAAAACTTGCTGATACTTCACCAAAGAATGACTTCTATATATAGAATTACCTTACTTACAATGAATTTTTTTTTTAATTATATTCATAATTACCTTTGAAATCTTAGGAATAAATTTTAAAAACATGCAGTAACTTATTTTTCAATATGGTTATTATTTTCTTCCTCGTTGTTGTTTAATCAGTTTGAATACCTTTTTTTTCCCTTCCTCTATTATACTATCTGAATTTTCTTAAGAATAATAATATATTACAATATTAATTAAAATACAAAAAATATCATCTATAAGATGTTTTTATACCATTTAACCTTCACAATTCTGATGTTTCTACTTTAAATATTAATGCTCTATTTGCTTTACTGGAGAAAATCCTCAAATAGATAAATCGATTAAAAAAAAAATAAAGTGATTCCAGCTCTTGAATAACCACATTTATAATTGCATCGTTCTCAATCGGTTGAGCAAACTATAAAAAAAGATTTTAGGCGCAAAATGAATCGCCTAGGAACTCAAACAGCTGAGACTGTTAATGAATCATCAAATAAAATTTAACAAAGCACTCTTAAGACTACATCATAAATGTTTTCATCAAAATATTAGATCATTAAAGTCAGTTCCAATCTTGTTACTCTAGATATTTCTTAATAACAAGAATAATTTAAATCAATACCTTCAATGCAAGAACTACCAGAAACAGTTAGAACGCAGGATACTAATTTATTGACTATTAAAGAATCAGAGGAGTAAAGAACAGAATTCTTAAATTCAAGAATAATTTTCAAATTAATTAATAGANTTTGAATTGATAAATAAATACACTAAAAGTTTTTTTAACATCTTCATTCATCTATTTAAAATAACATGGAAATATTGTATTTGCCTATTTGATGATTGATCAGTTATAAATATCATATTTCTGTGACTTTTATAATCTTATTTTTTATGTGAATCATTTGGAAAACATATTTCAAAACAGTTTTTTTATCAATAAAATATCGGAGAGGATTTATCATGTCATAATTACTTTAAAACTATTTCGTAATGAAAGGTTAAAAATTTAAATTAAAACTTGCTGATACTTCACCAAAGAATGACTTCTATATATAGAATTACCTTACTTACAATGAATTTTTTTTTTAATTATATTCATAATTACCTTTGAAATCTTAGGAATAAATTTTAAAAACATGCAGTAACTTATTTTTCAATATGGTTATTATTTTCTTCCTCGTTGTTGTTTAATCAGTTTGAATACCTTTTTTTTCCCTTCCTCTATTATACTATCTGAATTTTCTTAAGAATAATAATATATTACAATATTAATTAAAATACAAAAAATATCATCTATAAGATGTTTTTATACCATTTAACCTTCACAATTCTGATGTTTCTACTTTAAATATTAATGCTCTATTTGCTTTACTGGAGAAAATCCTCAAATAGATAAATCGATTAAAAAAAAAATAAAGTGATTCCAGCTCTTGAATAACCACATTTATAATTGCATCGTTCTCAATCGGTTGAGCAAACTATAAAAAAAGATTTTAGGCGCAAAATGAATCGCCTAGGAACTCAAACAGCTGAGACTGTTAATGAATCATCAAATAAAATTTAACAAAGCACTCTTAAGACTACATCATAAATGTTTTCATCAAAATATTAGATCATTAAAGTCAGTTCCAATCTTGTTACTCTAGATATTTCTTAATAACAAGAATAATTTAAATCAATACCTTCAATGCAAGAACTACCAGAAACAGTTAGAACGCAGGATACTAATTTATTGACTATTAAAGAATCAGAGGAGTAAAGAACAGAATTCTTAAATTCAAGAATAATTTTCAAATTAATTAATAGATTAATAGTGTTATAAGGATTTTTAGGATTTTTACTGTTTAATAATTTGCATTTTGCATTGGCAAGTCTTTTGTCATTAATTACGATATGGATTATAAGGTTTTCCTAAACGGCAAATGTTTATATTGATGTTCTCCAATTGATACTATTTATTTCTTTTGATTTTACTTCTCTATTTTTATTTAATCCAAATGAAATATGGACTTATACTTATTTAGTTTTATTAGCTATTGAAGTTATATTGGAATTTATAATTTTGAACACTTAGAAATAAAAAAACTTTGAAAATTTACAAGCTTCTGCTTAGCAATACAGTTGATATTATTGATTTAAAATTATAATATAATGTTTTTCTAAAAACACATTGATTTTAACTTTCTGGAATTATTTTTCTAATGTTCTTTGAGGATATTAAACTATTGAAATAGTTCAAACATTAATTGTCTTATAAATAAACAAATTTTGTATATTTATCTTCTATTTTTACATAAAAACATCATAAATCTTCTTTAAAAACAAATTTCAATTTTCTTAAAATAAGCATCCAAGATATATAGTGAATGATACAATATCTTTCATCAATTTATAAATTGATACAGTTCTAAATAGAGTTTTAGGAATCAGTAATAAATTAAACCATGTTATATATAGGTACTTATAATTTGAAATATATCAGCAACATATCTAAAGTAAATGAATGAAATTAAATAAATTAGCTTACCATTTTTGTTGATAAGTTGATTTTTAATATCTTTGTTAATGAAAAATAAATAATACATTATTCTATTAATATTAAAAATTAAATTTAAATATTACCTTAATATTAATTTGGTAACAACCAGAATTATAAATATTTTAACATTTCACTTGAATCGTTCATATTTTAAGATATTTTATTGAATGTTAAATAATAAATGAATTAAGTAGTTCTTTTTCTTATTTCAATGTTGTAGTGATTAAAAAATAAATAAATAATGAAACAACAAGCATGTTAATAAGATCTAGTCACATTTTATTTTCGTCTTAATAAAATGAAAAAATTTTCTATAAACTTTGAGTAAATTAGTTTAGATAAAAGGTAGCGTATTTTTTTTTAAATGAATTATAGTTCTTTATTTGCATTATATTCAATTTAAAATCATAAAAATTTGAGAAATTGAGACAAATGGTAAGGGTTGTGATTTTTACAAGTGTAAAGAAGATCCAAGAGAATCATGATATTTTGTTTTGATATGTACTGATTTAGTTATTATTTTGAGTTTTGTTTGTAAATAGTGTGCAAGTATAAAGGAAATAATAGTAGTTTGATATGTGCTATTTTCTGATTAATTACTTTTTTTTGGTACCATGTAATATCAGCCTATGAGAACTGAGATGAGAGAGAATAAAATAAAATCAGCATAGAATGTTCTTATCTAATTAAAAACTTTTAAATTGTATCATTTTAAGTGTCATGGTTTATTCTTAGAAAGGATGGCAATGTATAGTTTTTGGTTTTTGTCATAATCATGAATCATTCTCTTGGAAGCTTACAAAAAAAAAGGGTTAATGGGATCCCCCTACTAAAGAAGCCACCCATTTTGCATAAATTAAGACAAAGACTGTTTTCAATTACTCCGATCCATAACTTACCACTTTATATATCACATGCTATCCAATTATTCTTTCATATTGCACAGAAAAATATATGTTATGATCATAGAGTATTTTAATTGGAAAGGATCTATTTTTTCATTCTTCTAAATGATCAATAAAACTAGAAATTTTACAATAAAAAGAACTTTATAGCTGTCTTGATATTTTCATTTATCTTGGGTGCAGATATCAGCCATATTATAAGAATAGTTTAATGTCTCCTTTAGATTTAGTACTTTAAATAATTCCAGCCCAAAGGATTTGTTTCTTGGGAGCTTTTTTCATAACATTTTTGTAATCTAGTTCGAAAAGTTTTTCAAAGCTGCTCCAAACCAGCTTCATACTTGGCAATAGCATTACTAGTGTAGTTATCCAGAATATCTTATTAATTCTACATCCAAGTAATTCAATTTTTAACACAAGTCTCATAAACTTATTTCAATTTCTTAAACTATTGTCATATTCTTAGATTTTCAACCCTTTCCTCGTTGACTTACTATTCCTTAACTATATTATTTCTCACCATCTTTTCAATACTATATGATCTATTTCTAAACACATTTCAATCATTCTAATTCTTTTAAGCTGTTATTATCTAAAATCAGTTTCAGAGTTAGGTTTATGAGAGAAATTTTTTTCTTTTGGAGGACGAGGATTAACAAATTAAAGTACTAAAAGTAAATTACCATTACACTTTATTAAATGAATACTAATTTGTATTTTTATTATGTTAGTGGAGTTGTATTTAATTATGGCTGGATACTGGAAAATATGCTATTAGTATGGCCATATTATAGTCTACCAGCAAGGTTTGATTCTCTAATAAATTGTAAATGATATTTTGATAGTCTATCCAATTATGAACCTTCTCTATCTCAATAATCTTCCTGATAAATTTAGAATAAAATTAGTATATGTTTTTTTTTATTATTAAAGTTTTTTGACTTTTTTTAATTTAATTTTTGATAAACAATTAGTGAATTTTTAAATGTACTTTTGTAATATAGATAAGAAAATTAATATCATGTTAAATAAATAAAGGCTTTCCTCTTTCTCTCTTCAAAAGATAGGAGCTGTATAAAGATAACCTAATTCCCTCTATCAATTTAATTAGAGGAGAAAAAGACCTGTTTAGGGGTCTCTATTAAACTTATCTTGTGGATTTTTAAGAAAAGGAGTCTCAAGAATTTTACTCGAGTTCATTGAAATCCATAATTAAAAATTTAATTGTTGATTTCTACATACAAAAGAAAATTATTTTTGAAAAAATTGGAGAAGTCTTTCAAACGAGAGAACAAATTTTTTTTATAAAATTGAAAAATTCATGCAGAAACCACTTTTGATCAAACAAAAATTTGTAAATAATAGTTTTATTATAAATTATTTCTCAAGATAAAGGAATCCTAATTAAAATACAGTAGATTATAATTTTTTTTAAATAATTGATTACATTGATTAATTCATAATCAAGAAGTAACCCTTCGTGTTTAATACTTTTTATTGGCAATTTATATCAATCACAAAAATAAATGATTAATAAGTATTTGATATTTTGTATAGGAATAGAAGAAGGAACTTATTTTTTATTTATCTTTGCCCTTGAGTTTTTGAAAACTATATATAAATTATAGAGTACATATAAATTAATGATAGAGTGATTAATTTATAAAAATATACTAAAAATATATTTTCATTTATTTCTTTTTTTCTATTTATGGAATAGTACATCTTCTGTTATCACTTGTTTCTAATCAATATTTTGATTATCATAATTAATGAAATTTGCAAGAATAAGATTTAAGATATACTCAATTCCATATTAAAAATCCTATTCCCAATTATAATCATATCGAAAATTTTTTTGAGGCATTTATTTCTGAATATAGGAATTTTAGAATAAAAGTACCTATTGGATGTATAACTGATAAATGCTCAAAAAAATAAAAGGAGAGAATTGATTTAAATGTTTTTGTGGAGCAGGGGGATATTTAGAGAATCTATGAATTTGTTTAAACTTTAACTCCAGAATGAAGCAATAATGAACAAAAGGATTAAACGATTAAGAGTTTTCAGAATTTTATAATTCGGAGCATTTTTATAGTTGGCAGATGAATAATATTAAGCTATGTAGCCTTAAATAAAAGCAGATGATGACATCTCCTTTTTTAAGAGTAACTCAACTATTTATTTTTTGGGGGTTGATTTGTTTTATTACATGAAAGATAAAGATAATTTTAAAAAATGCTCTGTGGAGATTTTGGGTCTTTTTGGTAATATTGTAGCTTAACCAGATAAATATGATTATGAATTATTGTATGGGATCCCTTGATACCTTTATTCTTTGTTATTGCTGCATAAGAAATATTCAAATGAATAAGAACCATTTAAATTAGAATTGACTTCTTAAATTGATAATCTTTGTAAGATAATATATTAGTTTACAGGGAATGGTCTTTTGAAATACAATTTTCATAATAGAGAATATTTTGGAGCAGCTCATGGAATATTGGGAGTCATTTAAATGTTACTATTGAGTTTTATGAGTAATGCAAAGAATATTTTCATTTAAAAGATGAATAAGAATTACTTAAAATGTTAGAATCCATTTAAATAACATTAAACTATCTAATTAAAATTTATTATCAAAACTGTAATATTCTGGTGTCAGCTTAAAATTAAAAAAATGTAAAATTATATCAGTTTGTTATGGGATACAAGGAGCTATTGCTCCAATTTTAAAAGCTTATAAGATATTTAATAAATAAGACTATTATATACAGCAATACACATGATAGAATAACTTTACAAGTTGGAATAATTAAGAAAGATTATGGGTTATGGCATAGAATTCAAAGAAACAGTTATGGGTTTATGTAATTATATAGGATAACTGGAAATTAGAATTTGAGACGATATGCTTATTAATTTTTGTAATATATAAAGAATCCTTATATTTTTAATGAAATAAAGAATTTCCCATTTAATGACCGATATATTATTGGAATTTCTGATAATCCCTTCAGTTTGATGCTACGAAATATTCGAGATATGTGTGCAATGATGGATTTCATTAATTATAAACGAATGCCAGGATATGAAATTTGATTGTCTTATATTTATAGGATCATTCATATTCAACTTTCAAATTAATAGTCTTATTTTTATCTAAGGCTTTTAGTTATGCATTTTCATCAATTATTTTTTAGTCTATTAATTCTTAAAATGTCTTATCTAAGAGATGAGCGAATGCTTATTTTCTTATATTGTTATTTGTTATCAATATTTCTCCCTTACAGTACAGTTCAATGTCTTGTGGTAATAGAGTCAAAAGAACAGACAATTTATCGTTTCGTTTTACTTTTATCTACAAAGATTAGATTGAGCATTCAGTGCATTCCTCTAATCGTTCCTGCTGTATGACATTAATACCTATTCCTGTTTAATGATTTTGACCATACCATTATAAATAGTTATTCAATTGACTTCCATTTCCAGTTAATAATTTAATACATTCCACAGTGCAGATTGAAGCTATTAGAGCATTTGTTGAAGCCACAGCTGGAATAATATTCTTAACAACTCCTAATGTTAGTTTATATGTGACTCCTTAAATATTAAATTATTATGCTCTTTCTAGTGCTTTTTGATAAATCCAATTCATATGATCAAAATTGTCTTTGTCCAATTTTAGATCTGGTTATTGTTTCGGCCATAAAATTTCATACGCATAAGCTATGCAATGTTCAGGAAGTCTTGGAGTGGAAGCAATCGTACACATTTGATATTGTATTTACTTAGGGAGCTAACTTATAGTGCATTCGTAACATGCTGTTTCAAAAGGAGAAATAACTCTAGCTTATCCATTTAATCCTTCTGTTCCTCCATCTATTAAATAATGGCGAGTCTCATCAATAACTTTATCATTTTCATCCCTCTACACCATTTAAATGACAACTCTATTGATCCACCTTCTAGCCTCAATGTTATCTAGGCCAGCAATTATCACTGAGAATTCTTAATAAAAACTTATGGGGAATTCTTATATCTACGATATTCATTTAAATACATACTTTTTTTGTATAAGGTATGACTTTGCAAGATGGGATTCTTTTCATAATAAATTCTGCTGCTACTTCTGCCTTATATTTACCAACATCTTTCATTCTAAATAGAAACTATCTATTTAAATTTGTTAAATCTATTGTGTCTAGATCAATAACGTGGATCTCTTTGATTCCACTAAGCGCCAAAGATTTTAGAATTTCACAACCCAAACCTCCTGCTCCTATAACTAATACTTTCTAAATGGATAGTGCCTCGATCATTATTTAACCACGATATTCATTATAAGTTTCTTTTGATAATGGACTATAAGTATTTAAGATAGAATTCATAATTTATTAAATTAAGTAAAACATATCACTTTATCTATTTCCTCAAGAGCTCGTATTTTCTTATACAAAACATAGACTCAACTCCTGCTTCATTTATCTTATTCCTATAAGTAAATGGATTAGCAGCATAGCAAGTTATAGCAGCCTAATATTCAGAATTGTTGTTTCTCCTTCTCAGTATCTTCTACGGTTAAGAGGACTCTATTTAACCTTTCCCGTTGATACAGAAATTTAATTGTTCAGATTTCTTCTTAGTGAGAGGAGAGAGAATTTATTTTCTTGAATGAGGTTGGGAGAGCACAAACGTTCTTCTGGCATCCACAGTAACTGATTTCAATCTGAGTTGTTGAACAATCGATCTATGCTTTTATTTGAGGATCGGTGAATAAGAATGAGGGAATTAATTCATTATTAATATTAATCTATGGTTTTTCATATTTATCAAATCTTATCACCTGCAGCTTATCTTAAGGCAAGTTATTCTCTAAGAGTTCTTAAAGCTTTATTGACTAAACCAATAGTATCAGAAACAACTTATCTATCAGAATCTCTATTTAAAAAATAATATGAATATGATTACCTAGCAGATCTAGCATCAGCATAATCTTTGGCAGCTTCTTCACATTAATTCCATCTATCTGTTCTTCTTTCATGAAGTAAATCAAGTCTCTAGTTGGTGTTATCCAATGAAGCTTCAACTTATCTAATGATGTCAGAAACACTTGCAAAATCAGATTCTGCATTTGCTAATTCAGATCCAGCTACTGTAAGAGCAATAACTAAAAGTTTTCTTGTTTTGTTATAAGCTTCTACTCTCTTGTCTTCTGCAAATCTTTATAAACTTAATGAATCACTAACTTCGTTAATTAATCTGTCGAATAAATCAACAACTCTATGAAATATATATCAAATAATTTATACTTTTAAATAGTGCTGTCATCAAACTTAGCTTTACTTGCAATTTAACTCAATAATTTCATGACTGGAACATATCTCAACATGTGTTTAGAATGTGATAATTTTCTTTATGATTCCTTGATATGTTTCTAGAATAATGAAATATGTTCTTATGGGATTTCCTTTGTTTTTTAGGTTGCTTTCTTCTATACTAATGATGATGTGGCTTCAACATTGGCTTTAATAATATTTCTTGCTTCAGTCAATACAGCAATGGCAGTGTTATGATCAGCTGCAATTTCTTCATATTCTGCATGTTAAGCAGCTCTATCAGCATCTAATTCATCAATTTCCTTTTAATATCCTAAAAAATTAGAATTTCAATTAATACCCTTGACTTCAGCTTTTTTAGCTGTGATTAATCCAGAGATAATTGCTCTTCTTGGATATAAATCACCTTCAAGTCTTGCTTCAAGAGAGATTCTTTCTGAATCAGTGTTGGCAATGTCTTTATCATAAGCTGAAATGTCAACATTGCATGCATCTTAAAATTCTCTATTCTCAGCATCATCTTCTCTTTATTCTTATTAATATCTATCTTCTAAGTCTGAAAGTGTATTCAATAATCTATCTAAAGGATCTCCTGTTTCCAATTATAAATAGATTGTGTCAAACAAGGTTCTTCCAAATGGTGTTGCATCAATCTTATGAATCATTTGAATGTATTCAGTTTCTGTTGTAGCAAAAGCTGTGCAAGCAAGAACTAATAACAATATTGGTTTCATTAAATAAAATATTATCTTCCCATATTCTCACATAATCATTTATCAATTAGCCGTTTTGAATTTAATTGTAGATTACCGTACACAAACGGATTATAAAATAAATAAATTTAAATAATCTCATCTTCTCAATAATAAATTCATCCTATTCTGAAACATTAAATCATCCTTCTATTTATTTACTCAACTATCACTAAATTAAAATGGAATGATCATAATTTAAAATAATTTTTTTGTATAATATATATCACTAATCAATCCACATATTATATCTTGCATTTAATTTTATTAATAATTATCATTATTTCATATTATACTAACAATAACAATAGCTACTTGTGATGGTTCAGAAAAATAAATCTTATCACTAAATTTTTAAACTAATTCTTATTATTAATCAGAATTTAATTCTATTTAACTTATGGAATCGAAATAAACTCTTTACTTGAATGATATAAACCTATTAATGAAAGAGCAATTTACTTTAATTTCTAATATTCTAGCTAATCAAAAATATGAATATAGACTTAGTAAAATAAAGACTAATACTTTTCAAATTATAGCTATAAGCATTCTAAATTAGAACTCAATCAAAATTTAATAAACATGATGAACTTATATCTAAAAAATAAATAAATATTAATATTAATAAACTATTATCTAAATAATCATATATTAACAATAATAATGAAAGGTTGAATAATCATCTGATTAAAAAGTAAATTTCAGCTTTATTTTGAGCTTCACCTAAAATTTTTCAGATGCTTCCTTGAATTTAGATCAGGAATTCAACTTAAATACCCTAAAATTTACAATAAAATTAAATTATTCATACTAAAAATTAATTAATTGTAATAAGAAATTTTAAAATATTGCCATTGAAACCAGTATATTAAACTCTTTAGCACAGAGAATCAAAATTTATTATTACTAATTAAGTCTTACTATTATAAAATGAAGAAATCTTAAAACTATTGGTTGAGTTTTTGTTGAATAAAATCCAATTAAAACAATTATTATTAATATGCAATAGTAAAAGGTAGATGAATTTAAATCAACTTTTAATATTTTAATAGAATTACATATAATTAATTTTCCTAATCACTTTTTCATTATTAATCATTAGATTTATCTTCTTTATTATAAATGAATAACTCTCTATATAAAAGTATATTTATGAGAGAGAGATTTTGAATATATTATTAAATAATTAATTATATTCGTTTTTGAAATTACATTATTAAAATAAATAATGAAGTACATTCTTGTGTTAGCTTTGATTACATTCACATGTGCTACATCCTTGACAGAAATGTCAGAAAGACTTTCTTAGTATGGAGATCATCCTTTTGGAAAGTCTATGGTCAATTTGGTTACAGTTAACATGAAAACTGGTGGTTCCCTCAATGAATTGAAATAACTCTTATAATAAATTAAGGATGAACTCATTGCTCTTACTTAATTGCAAGATTCAGAAAATGGCACTTTCACTCGTAGAAGTCAAGTTGATTTGGCTAAATTATAAGCTACACTTGAATAAGTATAAGGTGATTTAGATAATCAAAGATAAGAGTAATCAAGCTTAAGCAATGAATTAGCTACTCTTTAAACAAGAGTAAAAGAGGGTATTAATATTATTTTAATTTTTGCAGATTAAGCTGCTTTGGACAGAAACAGTAGAGGAAGTGGTGATGCTCAATCCAGACTTGATGCTGAAAATGCTGATTTTGCTACTAAATACTCTGATTATAATGATGCCATTTTAGCATGTAAAGAAGCATAAAGATTATTAATGAACTTAAGAGGTGAAGGAGCATCTTTAATTTAACTTACGTATATCATGTTTAATTAGCAATTTAGTTAAGATACAAAGAGCAACCTCATCTAAACTAAAGAAAACTTTTAAAAAATAAAAGAAATATTGGAGGCTCATACTAAAAAGAGTTCTTTAACTTTATTCTAACCAATTATTGAAGGATTAGCTGAAATGACCACCAAAGTTAATCCAGAAACTTTGAATAATGTTCTTAGTTTGGTAGCTCGTTTGATCACAGCTCTTTAAGAAGGTTAAGATTAATTAGAATCTAATCACAAAACTTAAGTATAGATAAAATTTATAATGAAAAGGTTGAGAATTTAACTAGATTGGGTGATGATTTGAGAAATGAGAAATAAACTTTATAAGTTTCTTTAGCAACTGCTAACAATAGACTTAAAGAAATCTAATCAAGATTAAATGAATTAGACGGATTGATCAATATTTCAAATGCTTTAGTTGAGGTTACATAACTAAACATTTAAGATGCCACTAAGATCAATGAATTAGAAGATGCAGAATATAGTAATTAAAAAGTCAGCAGGTATATTATATTATACTATTTTTCTATAGATAAACTGAAATAGATATAGTTGATAGATTAATCGAATACATCAATTAAAAATTATCAGAGTGATTAGATACAATTATATCAAAAATATCATTATATTATTGTAATCAAATTTTTATAAGAAATTAAAGTTATTTGAAAAAAAGATAACATCAAGATAGCCTTTCAATATTATTACACGATTATAGTTTTAAACCAGGTCCTTGAATAGGTAGATGTACTGGGGAAACTGAAAAATCATCATCAGGTTCATGTAATTCTGATTCTTCATAAAACATTTTTTAGATGGATTCCCTTTTAACAATTCCTTAATTATCCTATTTAATTTTTCTATACAAAAGAGTGATATCAGCCTTTGAGATTTAAGTATCAATATTTAGCAATATTTGCTCGAATTTATTTAAGCTGATTAATTACTCTTATGAAACTTCATACTAAATAAATATTTTTTAAAATTACCTCATTACATATTTCAATAATTGAAATCGAATTTAACCTTATTCTAATGATTAAATCATCTAACAAATTATCAATTCTAGATTAATCTTACTAAGTTAAAAATGGAATATAATTATCTTAAACTGAAGACTAAATTATCTATTAAAATATTAGATATTTTTACATCATTCTAACTAAACCATAACAATATAGATTCAAATGGAATAGTATCCATATTATTATGATTCAATTTATCAAATACTAATCCAGCATCTTCTAATGTAAATTATTTATCAATAGATTATAAAAGTAAATTAATATCATTAATTTTCAATTTTTTTGGCAGTGAAATATTTTAAATTAATTAATTAATGTTAAATTTTCTTATTTTAATAATATTTCTTATTCTGGTGATTATGTATTGAGAATTGCGATCTATTTTTTTAAATGGATTTAATCTAAATAAGTTATGATTGTAAATGTCTATCCAATCTATTCTGTCTTTTTCATTGATTTCTAAACAACTCTTAATAAATGATTTGCTGACATCACTTACTAATGGCTATATTGGAAACTCTAAAGGTTCCTCATAAATCTTTTTAAGAAGTTTAGTGGATGTTTCATGAAACCAAGGGGCTATTTGATTATAAAATTAATTACTTGCACCATATAAGCATTCAAAATACAATATTCCAATAGACCAAATATCACATTTACTTGTATAATTACTATTTTATTAAACTTATGGACTCATATATAAAGGTGTTCCAACACGTGAATTAAGCATCTTTTATTAACACAATTAAGTTGCCATTCCAAAATCTCCAATTTTAAATACTCCATTGCTATTTAATATATTAGCTGGTTTGATGTCTCTGTGTACAATACCATTCTTCAATAAAATTTAGTATCCAGAAAGAATATCATATAGAATTTTAATTGCTTCTTATTCTTAAAGCTATTATTGCTTCAAGATCTTCTTCAAATCCCCTTATTAACAAAGTTCTTAAATAAGGTAATAGTTTGACTGACTTTCACAAACATCAAGCAATCTTACTATATTTTTTGAATGAAGTTTCTTCAAAATTATCATTTCATTTACTAAAGCCTTCTATGAATATGAATCTCTAAAGTAAAATAGACTAATACCCTTCAAACTTTGCCTTTTTGACAATTTTAATGGCAACTTCTGTTTATGTATTTTAGTCAACCCCTCTATATACACATCCATAACTGCCTTTTCCAATAATATGGCCTGTATTATAGAAATAATTTTCAATGCGCTTATCCAAATACATTTACAGATTCACAATTTAATATATACAAAAAAAAAGTCAATTAGATTTGACAAACAAGCAAAACGCATAAAATTTAGAGATGTAAATAATTTGTTCTATTTAGAACTATTATTTAAATTATCTAATTGAATATAAAATACTTCCATTAATGGATTTAATTTTTATTTATCATAAAACAACAAAGTGAACTTTATTTAGTAATTGATGTAATAATATATCAGAAAGTTAATTATTAATAATATATTTTAATATATTAATATATAGTATGCGATCAATCTTAAAACTAATAGATATATTTTCTAAATATTGTCCGAAGATGAATATCTTCATTGTTGTTTCATAAAGTATTATGTAATAAGTAAATCAAATTAATTAATTTATATTATATAATTAATTAATCTCATAATTCATCTTATTATACAAACATAAATTACTACTTTCAAATATAAGATTTTCGAATTTTCAACATATTTATTAGGTAAATTGATTTGAGGAATTATTTTTATTATGTTCATTTTTAGTTGAAATAAGATAATATTTTTGAGATGAATGCTTTATAAAATTTTATTTATTCAACAATCTTTAATAATGAAATTATTGTAATTTTTGAAATCAGGAAATTATACAGAATATAGTATTTAAGAATACTTAATCAAATGGAATAGTAGTTATTTTTATATATTTATATTAAATTACTTATAACCAATTATAAAGAAATATATTTAAATAAATAATAATTAGAATGATTAGAGATGATTTGATAATTTCTGACCCAATACGAAAAGTTGTTAAGCATAATCCTGAATAAAATAATGAACCTGATCTAGAAGAAACTAAAGATGGAGGTGATACAAATACTTCTTAATCTGAACAAAATATGAGTGAATACGAATAAAGTATAATCCATGATTCATTCGAATCATTTTCAATTCCAAGTCCTATTTTGTTGAGCAACTACAATTCATTTAGACAGCGAAACGGGTTAATAACCAGTAGTTCAAGTTCAGATTCCTCCAGCTCAAGTTCAAGTTCAAGTTCGAGTTAGACATCTGAAAGTGAGGAAGATGAGGAAAGGAAAGAAAACTTGTCTGTATCAATTTCTGAATGATATATAAATTATTTAATCAGCTTTTATCATGCAAAAACAGATTCAATATGGCATTTATAGTTTGTACTCATTTCTAGCAAAAATAATTGCAATGGATATTACAGAATATTTTTTGTATGTGTATTATGTTTAGATGTTCATTTATCATATTAAGAAATGATTAAACATTATTAGTATTGCTATTTGCATATTATTATTATCCTCCTATTTATTTATAGATGAAGTTTAAGTTAAGAAGTTATTATAATAAAAGAAAGGTTTTGTTGGAATTTAAATGCTAATAATGAGAAAAGTATTTATAATAAATCAGTAATTTGTTAATTTGTAAACATTTCCTTTTAAATTTAACTCTCCCTAATATTTGAGCAGCATCCTATTTTTAATTTTTTAATTTTTAATTTATGAAAGGTGGAGCAGCTGTATAATAAATCTTAGTGATTGATAAAATATAAATATTATTGAATAAGATATTTGCATATAGCAATTTAGCAGAAAGAGAAGGATAAGGAGTTTGTCCTAATATTTTTATAAGGTAAAAATATACAAAAATTTATATCAGGTAGTAAGATATCATAGAGAATTTAGTTATTCTACAAAGAATGGGGGTGAATGATGAAATTTTTGTTATGGGATTGTTTTTAGTTGATCGTCTTACAACAAAGAACAAGTTTTACCTTAACCGAAGAAATATTTACAAGTATACTAATAACATATATTTTTGGAAAGCCTTCTTATAACAGCAATAATTTTGAGTCTCAAGATGTATGATGATAACCAAAAAGTTCAACATATCTATCCAATCATTTTCGAAACAAATAGAGAGATTCTAAACAAAATGGAGAAAAAATTCTTGAAGTTAATACAATACTAATTATATGTTAAAACAGAAGACTTTTTCAATTACAGAGCGCGGCTACTTAAATTAAAAGATTGATGGTTTATACAACTCATAAACAACTCCATTTAGAAACATAAATTATATAATATTCATAAAGTGTATTCATTTATTTATTCTTAATTTTAATAAAAATATCCAGTACTTTATATTAATTTTCCATGTTTAATGTATTTTTGTTAATGAATTCATATTTTTTGAAGGAGCTTTAATTAAATACTTAAAATTAAACATTAATTATATGATGTCAAAATAATTGATATATACCTTAATCAAGTAGAATAATATCGACATTTGGATTTAATGTCATTAATTAAAAGATAATTTTTAATATTATTAAGAACAGTTGCAATTCTTCATGATTATTATTTAGAGAAATATTATAAACAATAAACTGTTAAATTATTATTATAATGTTTATATTGTTTCAGGGTTTAAAAATATAAATTTTTTATAATTATCGTTTTTTAATTGGATGATAAAATATGTTTTATGGGGATGTCTATTATTAGCATGTATATCAGTAGAGGATGGTCGTTATTTTGAATATATGGAAGTAATTATTGATAAAAATTGGAATAATAGATTGATAGAGATGAATTTGGAAAAACTTTGATTGATACATTGGAAATTAATATATCAGGTGGACAATCATTAGAAAAAGTAGTTGATTTAATGCGTGATTTGGAAGGCTAAATAGACAATGAATAAAAGGATGATGATATTTCTAATCAATAATTTTAAAAGAAATGTGATGAAGTAAGTATATATTAGATTTAAATATAGGATTTAACTAATTAAGAGAATGAGATTAATTAAACATAATTAGCAATTGTTGAGAAATAAGGCAAGTTGGATGAATTGAAGAATGCTTAATAAAGAAAGAAATAAATAGCTAATGCAAAAGATTAATGGTTGAAATAAATATAAGAATTAATATCTTAAAAATAAACAATAAGAAATTAAGAATAAGATAGGTATGAGTAAGAGATGAATGAAAATTCATATGTTATTTCTGTGATTTCTGAAGTTAAAAAGAAATTTACTTTAAATGGAATAAATTTAATATAAATTAACAATCATGAGGCATTGATGGATGATTTAGAAAATGCAGTAGATCAAAGCAAAAATTTCATATAGAATACTAGATATTAAGAAGTTTTTGGATTGTTTGTTTAAGTTGCAGCAAAAGTGAAAAATGAAGGTGCAGATAAATTAAAATCTTTATGTGATGAATTATTAATCAATGTATCTGATAATATGTCATTAATAAGAAAGTAAGAAGATAAAAGGAAAGATATATTTGAAAAAGAGATATCATCTTTATAAAAAGATTAACAATTAGTGTAAAGTGATAAATCTATGATTGATGCAGGATTAGAATAATTAGATAATTAGATATCTATGGGATAAAATGATTTAACAGATTATAATGCAAGAATTGAAAGCAAAAAATAAACAAAAGAAGATAGGAGAAAAGAATGTTCTTAGGCTGCTTATGAATACAAATAAAGCAGAGAATAAAATGATAGAAAAAGACAATTAGTTTCTTAAGTTATAGGATTATTTAGTGCAAATTAGAGAGAATTTAAAGAATATTTAAGTATAAGAAATAATTGAGATTGATATGGAAGATTTTAATATGTAAAAAATTATATAAACAATCAGTTTATAAGTAATAATTTTTTGGGTGATCCTATTATGTTAATATATATAATTCATAATGAATTAATAAATTATAATTTTAATCATGATGTATTAATATTCTTAAATAGAGAATAATTGAATTTAATTATTAGATTCATAAATAAATGGAATTCAAAAGATTTAGATAAATAAGAAATTATCATGATTCAATAATCCATTTAAGTTGATCAGTATATACTTTACTGTTATTAAAAAATTAATAAATTAATATTCTAATTAATGTCTTATATTTTAAACATTTCATGGTATCAATTTCTAAATCTACATTTTATTTCTGTTGACTCATAAATTTAAAAAGTTTATAAGCTATACTTTTTTTATATTAAGTAATCTTTTACCTAAAGACATAAATCAACAAAATATTTATATATAATTTTATTGGGCACTTATTATGACTTCAAAATTGTTCATTGAAAATTATAGTAAGCATACTAAGATTGATATAAATATATCACAATTCTTATTAAACACTATCACAATTTATTAATTAAAAATTTCCTCGAATTTAGTTGGATAATTCAATAAAAAAAATTATGCAAAGTAATAAAAAAATAGTGAGAAAAGTAAATTTATTTAATTATATCAACATGATTTGTATGATATTTCTAAAATGAAGGAATAAATTCAATTCAATATTCACAATTATTAATTTATCTATTTTCAGATGTTTATAAACTACACAAACTATTTGCTAATGGGGTTGTGCTCAAAAGATCTAATATACTGCATACTCAATCAATCTAGAATCCCAACAATCATTTATTTGATTATTTTAACCATTATGATAAGTAAATTGTCACATCATTATTCAAGTTTAACAATTACTGAAGATCAAATTTCGAATATCTCACTCTGAAGTCATCCTTTCGTTTATTTATAATATAATCTACATAACTTTATTTGGAACTTCATCTATTTGGTAAGCATATTATATTATGAACATATTCCAAAAATCTAATTACTATTTTCTTGCTTCTTTTCCCATAATAATTTACTAATTAGTACTAGAAGTAATTGAATATGATTAAATTGTGCCAAAAACATTTGGATTTTAGATTTCATCTGCTTCTATGATCTTAATATATTAGTTCTATTGTTTTGTCAAAGAAAATGATATTGCCTCAGTTGCAGAATCAGTCATAATGAAATAATTGTTGAAAAATAGCTATATAAAAGTATTCAATAGAAATTTAGAAGATTTAACACCAAATGTATTATTGAGAAATGTAAAACCATCTTCTGGATAAATCATTTTTACTACTAGAAATAAGTCAGACAACTTTGAATTAATACCAAATTCTTTAAATAAAGAGCTAAAAATTAAAAGTTTTATAAATAGCGACATGCATTTAGAAGAATCTGAAGATTCGGTTATTGACAGTCCTAATAAATATCAGAGTTATAAAGATTTGAAGGAATTTATAAATAGTTTTGTTTAGAATAAATAAACTTAAAATCAAGATAATTTAATCATTGCTTCTGAAATCAATATGGATTCTGGTAAAAAGTAAAAATTTAAGGTAATTATCAATACTGAAATTGATAAATACTATATTATAGCATTTATTAAAATAGATTCTGCAATTGTTAAGAAATAACATAATTCAATAGCAAAATTCAAAACAAGATTAGCTAATAATTTTACTCATAAATTAAAAACATCACTTAATGCAACATTAGCATATTTATCAAATGCTATAAATGATAGAAATATAGAAAAAACGGTATTACAATCTTACATACATCCATCATATATACATTCAAAAATATAATTATATTAAGTTTAGGATTTACTTGATTATCTTAATACAGAATAAGATCAAATAGGATTGTAAATAACTAAATTTAATCTTTAATAATCTTTAAGTTAAATATATGAATTTATTGAATATTAATGTAAAGTTAAAAATATTACAGTTAAATTTATGATAAATGGATCTGATTGGAAATCACATGAAAGGTAAAATATTAATATTATAATATAAGCTAATTTTATATTTATTCTGATTGCCAAAAATTTGAAAGGGTTTTATTTAATTTAATCAATAATTCTTATAGATATGCACCTTTAAATGGAGAATTAACTATAGATTTAGTGTATGATTGTGCAAAAAATAAATTATGGGTTAAAATAAATGATAATGGAGATGGAATACCAGAAGATTAATTAAATATTATTAATACTCAAGCATAATTACAAAATAAATATAACATTACTAATAAATATGTATCTTCTAAAAATAAATCTAAATTTGGATTGACTTTACAAATTACAAATAGATTGATATATATGTTGAGTGATTAAAATTGTTCATTGTAAGTCAAAAATTAAAAATAATTAGGAGGTTGTAGTTTTGAATTCTTTATTATTATTAATTCTACATCTAAAGAAGGATCATTGGAATAGATTAAATACTCAAATTATATTAAATAATCCAGATAATCATCAATTAAATTACAAAATCATATAAATCGATCATCTAATTCTTCTTCTTAAAGATCAATATTTTCTAAAAATTAATAAGATGAATGTATAGAACCTATAGAAGAAGAACCAAAACCTGTAAAACCTAGATTATCTAAGACATATTAATATCATGAAAGTAAATAATAAATCAATCCAGTAAAAAGGCCTACTTTATCTGGAATAAGAGATTTATAATTATCAAATATAATAGATTAAGTAAATTAAACTGGAATGACATTTAATTAAGATAATCGTTATATTTTAATAGTAGATGATGAACCATTTAATCATAATACTTTAACACTGATGCTTGAAAAATTAGGTCATAAATAATTCCTATATTCTTTCAATGGATAGGAATGTATTGATAAGGTTTAGTAAAATTCTTTATGTATTAAAACAATATTTATGGATTTAGATATGCCAATTATGGGAGGATTGCAAGTAAATTATTTAATTTAATTAATAGGCTACTTAAATATTAATTAGAATGATGACTGAAGGAAAAATAGACTATATTCCAATTATTGGTTGTACTGCTCATGATGATTTCGAAACATAAATTAAATGTTTGAAGGTTGGTATGTCACATGTAGTTACTAAACCTGTATTTATAAAGAGTTTACAAGAAGCTTATAGATAGATTAGAGAAGAACATTAATAATAAGATCATCGTAGTGTTCAAATGTCAAATTCATTAGATAAATATTGAAATTTAAAATCTTTTTATCTTCTTTCTTATTAAACTTAAGATATTAGTTTATGATATTATTGATGTAATATTTTAATAAATCAATTAATTAAAAAAGTTTTTATCTCTCCAAATATAATTATTTAGTTCATGTATTTTTAATTTATTTCTATATTTGTGCTATAGATGTCATAAATAGGACATGACATATTTATTGGATGCTTAAATGAAAATGTGATATTAATTGTAATTAGCGGAATACTCCTTTTTTTTACTTTACGTATACCATTTAAACAATATTTATAGTCATCTATTTGAATATTATTAAATACAACAAAAACTTTTACATCTCATAAGCCATTTAATTTTGCTTTATTGTGTATCGAGCCTATTTTTTTGGTTCAGCCTAACTTTGGTCCTCATTTCAATTACTTAATGCAAATTTCAAGAAAAATTATTAGATGTAATTAATTTGTTACTTTCTATCCCTCCTCATTTTTGTGCTTGTGTATAGTTTACAATATGATGGTTTTTAAAAATTAAGTATGGGCAGCGAGATATTCTAATCTTTTTGTTATATGTTATACTTCTTCTATTAAAATAAAAATAATGACGAAAATTTAAAGGTGATGGAAGAGATGCTGCTTAATGAAATTAAAAAAAATTCCTTTTTAAAAATTTACGATAAAAATAAATAATTAATTATTACTTATCCAAAAACAGATGAAACACAAAAGTTTGAATATTTTGAAAATAATTAATAAATTGTTTGCCTTTTTAAAGTCTATATGGATTAAGAATTAAGTAGTTCTCCATCAAATTAAAAATCATTTAATAGAACTAAGACCTTTCATAATACTGAAGATTTTATAACTTATTTGGAAACTGATAACATAGATAGCTTAGGTTTTAATTGGTATTCTGCAACAATTATTGATTTATAAACTAAAATAAAAACAAAATATCGTGTTACTTAATCAAAATATGATAATGATTAGATTGTACTATTTTTTATGAAAATTGATCCTACTTTATAAAAGAAATCTTATGGTAAATTCTTACATTTGAAAAAAGATATCTCAAATATTTTTACTCATAAATTAAAAACACCTTTAAATGCAGTATTAGGACATTTAACATAAGCATATTATGATCAAGATGTAGATGTATAAATTCAAAATAATTACATTAAACCTGCTTATATTAATTCTAAATTGTAATTATTTTAAGTTCAAGATTTACTTGAATATTTAAATTCAGATTAAGAGAGTTCCAATTTATAAATTTGCAAAATTAATTTAAAAACTCTCTTGTTTTCATTATAAGAATTAATCTAATAATAATGTTCAATGAAAAGTATACACTTATTATTTACAATTAATGAGATGAGGTATATTAAATTAGATAAGTAAATTATATACTAATTATTTTTAGTATTTTTATTTATTCTGATGTTCTAAAACTTGAAAGGACACTTTTTAACCTATTAAATTTAACATACAGAAATACAACAGAAAATGGGGTTATTTCTTTAAATATAGGAATAGATAAAGAAGTAGAAGAGGCTTCATTTTCGATATCAGATACAGGATTAGAATTATCTTAAGAAGAAATTGATGAAATAAATTAATGGATTTCTTGTCACAATTTATTTAAATTATCTAAAAAGAAACCTCATTATTAATAAGAAATGTTAATAACTTTATCATTAACAAATAAATTGATAAAATCTATGAATTAATTCACAAATTATTCTTTAGAATTATGTTAAACTAAAAATACTGGTATAGTATATAAATTTAAGATTAATATCCATAAAGATAGATCAGCTGAAAACTCATAAGAATAATATAGAATTGGATATATATTAAAATAAAGAAGTCTTAAGTAACTTCATACTCATCATTAAATTTCACAGAAATCAATATTTTCAGGATAAGAATAAAGTGGTCCCATTCTAGAAGATTCAATAGATGAACCATTTGCTAATACTCCATTAGTTGTAAAAATGAGTATGCCATCAAAAGTTGGTTGGTTATAAAAGAAGAAATAGGATCAAACTTAATTAATATCTTAAACATAAATTAATTAAGCTAATTCAATTCTTATTGTTGATGATGAGCCATTCAATCATGATACATTAATATTAATGTTAAAATCAATGGGATTTAATAGTTTTTTTAAAGCTTTTGATGGTTAATAAGCAATTAATATAGCTTTTGCAAAATAGAATGAAATTTAAGTTGTTTTTATGGATCTTGATATGCCAATTATGGGTGGTTTAGAAGCAACAAAATTTTTAGTTTAAGAAATGATCAAACTTAATTTATCATATTTTCCTATAATTGGTTGCACTGCTCATGGAGATGCTGAATCTATAGAATTATGTAAATAAGCTGGAATGTTACATGTAGTTGTAAAACCTGTGTTTATAAAGACTTTAAGGGAAACATTTCATTTGATATCAGATGATCCTATAAAGAAATCTTATAATCGTGTTGGATCTTTGTAATTTTGATAAATATAAAAATAGTGTGTTTTAAATATAAGAATAATTAATCATAAAAATTGTCCCCCATTAGTTTTTTATAATGCATTTCTTTCAGATATCATTCTACTTGATAATTTTGAATCTCTTAGATCACTAAGTAGCATAATAGATCCAGAAGAATTTATTCTATGTTTATGTTCTTTTAATTTAAGGAGATTTTCAGGGCTTTACAATTCTATTATTGAATCATCTTATTATAAATCCATAAAATTCTTTCTTTTTTATAATTGAATTTATTCTTTGAGTATTCGAGCAACTTTTCTAAATTTGATAGTCGATGAATTTATTTTTTTTTATTAAAAGATTTTTTTACAAATAGGTAATCTTAATAAAAGAGGATAATTAATTTTGATATAATTTTTAATTTTGTTAATTAAAATTTAATTTTTGTTAACATATTCTTAGATTATTTTGCTAAAAATATAATATAAAAATGAACAATTAACTTCTAATATGATAACATAGAATATGTAAATGTAATTTCTCATCATAGTTTGTAACATTTAATATGAAGATGCTCCTAAGACAATACTAATAGATAAAACTTTTGATCCAAAATTTTCCATCTTATTTAAATTCTTAGTTTTAAATGGTTAATATAATTTTGTTAATGATTAATATGCTTGTATTAATAAAAATACTATTGTAGCTTTAAGTACAATATATTAATCAAATAGAGTAATAATAATAATTACAAGATTTTTCATACCTAATCTTACAAGTTCCCAAAAATATGCATTTTCATTAAATTCAGAATATAAGTAACCCCATGTTGATTTAATTTTGTTTAAATTATGTCTATTTTAATATAATTTAATAAACATTAGAAATGGAATTATAATTGTTAATCCAAATAATATTGGAATTGCTAAAATAGATGAATAGTAGAAATTCTTATCATATCTATAAGAAACATCACCAATAACCCAATAATATCCTGAAATTTCACGAAATCCTAAAATTGATATCAATACTCCTATCATACTAGGTTACATAGTTACAAAGGTTTAAAATAAAATGATAGCTGAAACACTTTGTTTATTATTTTATCTTTTTGCTAATATAACGAAGAAATATATGAAAAATACAAAACATAAATATAAACAAGGTGCTATTATAATCCAAATTATTCTTGAATGCAAAATATCCATTTTTAATGTGATCAAAAAACAATCAATTGAATTTTCAAGAGATTTTGTTGGTGAACCTGTACTACTAATTGCTATACTTACTAAATTTGGAAATTAAAGTTAAAAAGTTGTTAAAGTAGATATGATTTACAAAAAATGAAACATCATCTTATATAATGAACTTGATTCTTATGAATCAGAAAATGCTTTTAAACCTCCTCCTTTCAATTTAGTTCTTAGTAATTCTAATTTAAGTGTTTCAAGCGAACTATTTACTGATATCACCATAGAAATCAATGTCCATAAACCTAATATTAATAAGGAAAAGTAAGCTAGATTTGAATCTTAACATTAATAACAATTCATATTTGACTTAAAATATGATCCTTGTCCTCTAATATTATAAATATCACAAGTTTCACATAATGCTCCAAAACTTCCTTATATACATGAATCAGGTCCTGCAGCCCATCCACCTAAACACTTTTCAGGACTTATAATACATGAATAGATTTCATCATTATCAAAATATGGTCTCCAATATGTGGGTTTAATTTCAATATTTGATGGTATCACATTTTCTATCATTTCTAGATCACCAATTGAACATTTGAGACTATTTTCTTTTAAAGAATATGTTTAACCAACACATTATACACACATTGATTTAGTCAAGATTTCACCTCTTTAACATGGAAAAGTCTTAACATTAATAATTATAGAATAGTTATTATGAAACTACATTATATGTTAATTTTAATTATCATATATAGGAATCTTAATAGAATCACATTTTATTTGTAATTATAGATCTTCATTAATTAATATTCTTAGATTATCTAAATTATAATCTTGAGAAGTCATATTGAAATAAACACTATCAATTGATATATAATCTGTAGTAAAATTTTAATCATTATTTGATATAAGCCTACTTCTAATAGTACATTAAGTATCTAATAAATGATATTATCTTTCATTGAAATCATTTAATGGTATTATTCTAAACTGTATATTTAAATTCTTATAGATTTATGATGATGAAATATAATTTAGTTAATTACCTAAACCATGTTCAGTAAATTTTTCAGACAATATTTAATAATTTTAGATTTCCACATTATTTGGCAACATTATTAAATTATTAACTTCTTCAATTAAACAAATATTATTCCTATAATATTCTCTATTTTCAAATAATTTGATAGTATCTAATGATAATGCTAATTTTGATGGTTATGATTACATAAATCCAATCATCTCATTTTCTTAATTGTCCAAAATTATATTTGCTCTATTTTATTATATTGATAATGGATTAGTAGAATAAATACCAGCTCCAGATTATGCAATGTTACCTATAATCTAAGAATCTGTCATTTCTAAAAATCCTTAATTCAAATAAATTGCCCCACCATACATTGCTGTATTATTTTAAAATAAGACTGAATAACATGAAATAGAGACTTCAGATGCATAAATACAACCACCATTAATTCCTTTATTTTAAATAAATTATGTGTTTTTTATTATAATTTGACCCATATTAGTTTATAAATCATCTGCATATGTAAATAGTAATCTATTTTAAGTAATCTTTTTGATATATAAAATAGAACTGTTTCCAATATTTGAAATAAATTTAGTTTGTTAAATTACTATAGGATTGTTTGATTCCATATAAAATATATTGCAATTAATACAATATATATTTGAGATAATGACAGAATTAATAAACACTTTAGATTCTGTTTGGAATATTTAAAAAATATTGTGATTTTAGTAATCATAGGAAATAGTTATATTTTATTCACATTGATTTGTATAATTATTAAATTATGATGATAATGTATACGGTTCATAAGTACATTAATACTTAGATTCTTCTAATTTAAATTCAGAATAAACACAAATAACTTTTGTATAATTTTGATATACATTATGAAAATGACTATTTGTAATCATTATAGGACCTAATGATCGATCAAAAAATATTAATGGTCTTTTCTGAATAATGAAATTTATAATATCTACTGTATCTAAGATAACTGAATAACTTTGCTTATTTGTCATGAAACCATATCCAATTATATTTTGAACTACTAAATTCTTTATTCTTAATTCTCCTTTTTTTGTTTCAATCAGAACTGAATCATAAGTATCAAATGTAAATATATAAATAAGATCTTTCATTTAAAGTAATTTTAAATAATCTTCATATCCTATTTTTGTATTTTGAATCATACAATCTTCAATTTATAATAGATATTACTATTATAGAAAATCATTTATTTCAATTGAAATTATTGATGATTATAATGAATGAGCATCAATTATAGAAACATTTTAGAATATAATAGATGATAAATCTGATAAAGTTATCATAGCAAACCCTCCTTTATCAAAACTCCAACTATTTTCGATTGTACAATTAATTATTTGAAAATTCAATTTAGAACCTTTGCTATCTATAATTAAGGTTCCACCTTAACTCTCAAGTTATCCAATAATAGCTTATCCATTTTTGAATATTGTATTAATAATCGAAAAGATTCCATTATTGAGAGTTATTATGTACATACATCCTCCTTTATATCCAATATAAGTTTCAAATTAACTGTTAGATATTTAAATTTCTTCAACATAAATTTAAGCTATTCCACCATAACTCTTAATTTTAAAATCATGTTCCAATTACTCTTTGTATTATAAATCTTAATATTTAAATGAGAGTACTTAATAAAATAGTTTATTAACTATATTAATTTCCTTAAAAATGCATTTTTCTATTATGAATTTCTAACATTAAATATACATATTGGAATTTAAAGAACCAATAATTAAGTTTTATCTAAATATATTATTATAGAAATAAACAGATCCCTAAGGAACTAATAAATACAAATTATTAGCTGATGATCCATAAGTATTTAGTCCAATATATTCTTTATAAATTGTGTTTATAAAATTTGAATTAGTAAGATTGATAGAAATAGTATTTTTAGATTCTATTACTATGAATGCAACAGTAATATTATTATTAGATTTGATAATCAATGAATCTTAGAAAATAGAATTATTAATGTTAATCAAACATTAAAAATTGAATTAGGTACTACCTATTTTAATTACTGGTTGATTATAAGTGAAAATATTAGTAAAATTTACCATTTAGAATTCTATTTTTTTGATGTTTAATAAATTAATGATTGGTTATTTAGAATCTAATAAATATATGCAATCTAAATTTTGAGACAAACCAGTCAAATAATATTCTTAATGAATGGTAATATTTACAAAACTAAAAAGATCTAAATTAGTTGCTTCAAATATAGCACTTATTTAATTATTAATTTCAATTATACTATCTTTTAAAATAAAGGAATTAGAAAATATTTGATATGCATAATTTACATCATTTTCTATTGGAAGCATATACATTTCTAAATTTGTAATCTAAAGTAATGTTTATGATTCTACATAAAGAAAACTTGAAGAATAATAAATTGAATTAAGTGAGAATTAAATATTATCCAATAATATATCAGATATATGAGTTTTTTAATTTATATTGATAAGGTAACTATTTTAAGTAATATAATTTCCTTTAAATATTGAATTCAACAATTATATATTTTCTGATTAAGTTATATATGAAGAATCCATTAATAAATTCATAAGAATTTAAAGATTATCGAATTGAAAATCTAAACCTTAAAAAGCAAATGACAATTCAAAGAAAGTCCATTTAATAATGAAATTTTGAACTTTACTTATTTAATTAGTGTAAAATAACTTTGAATTATATAAATAGTTTGATTCTATAGTTATAGTATTTAATATTAATTCATCAACATTTTACAATTAAAATAATGTAGAATTTCTAAAAATAACATTTGATAATTTAACATTTTAAATGATGATTGATTTTATTGATTCTACTTTTAATAAAGATTCTAAATTAGAAAATTAAAATCCATCTAATTTCATATTTATCATATAAAATGATTATAAATGAGAATATTAGAAATAGAAAGAGCCTTATCCATAAAAGTTTGCATTTTCAAAACCAATGGTTATTTAATCTAAGTTAAAATTGAAAGTAATAGAGATATCTGAGAAATCAATATTTAAATTTTTAATCCATAAAGAATGAAATTCTTTGATATAAATATCTCCTAAAAAATAAACAGTTGAATTATTTGTTAATCCCATAATTTATAAAGATACTCTATTTAAAGTGTAAACATTTGCTGAGAATTATTGAGAAATAACTAAATTTTTAGGAAATGTACAAGTTTAAGTTGTAAGGTAAATGTTTAAAGTTTAAACATTCTATTCATTCATATAATTGAACATACCTTTTGAATACAACAATTAAAAAACATAAGATAAATCTGATTCTTAATTATAAGGTATATCAAAAATATTTGAAGTTGATTAATCTAACATACAAATCAAATTCAAAGTAATAGACATACTCATTTAACAAACTTAATCATTAGAACAATTACTAAATTAATAAATATTAGAATCAAAGATTGTATCTTCAAATACAGGTAATAAACATTAATTAGTGAATTAAGTTATAGACACATTTTATGCTGGAACACATAACTTACATAAAGTATGACATTAATAACATAAATTATTATTTGTACTAAGTATTAATCCATTATTTGAATAAGAGCATTTAGAACAAACTTTTGAATTATTAATAATCAAACATTCTAAACAATCTGGTGGACATTTATTTATACAAATATCATTATATACTTCATATCCTATTTGACATGAAGTACATACTATTTCAAAATCATCTGGATTACTTGATTCTACATAAGTGAGATAATCATGATTAACATTCTTGTTAACATAAAATTCAAAAAATGGTCTTATATCTTTTTTCCAATTACTTTTATTCTTTTTAAATTATTATGAACAAGATTAACATTAATTTGGACATTAAATACACATTCCAACAATATGATCTGCATAATAACCAGGAAAACAATTAATGCAAATAATTTTATTTAGATAATTTACACATTCATAACAATTCTGTAATTTTTATTCACAACCTAAAATTGATGTTGCTGTTTCTCCACCAATTAAGCAATAATAATATGGATTATTATAGAATCCTGATTCTTAACAAACTTAAGATGATTTATAACATGTAGATGAAATATTAGAATATGTATATCCAGAGATACATCTTGCACAAATATTTGTTATTAATGAACTTATTTACATAGGTTGAAAATATAAATCAATAGTGGTTTAAGGATAATCAACAAAGTAATATTATGAAATGCTATAAAGACAATTTTTAATAGTATTCATTTAACATTTGAGAGCATCAAAAGATATTTCAAATAATAATGGATCTGTACATTTTAAACATCTATTTATATGAGATTATTTAATTTCATCAAAATAGAATTCACAAATTGAGCATTAGGCACCACAACCATAACATACACCTTTAAATAATGCAAAACCAGGTTAACAAGTCAAACAATTTATAGTTGAATTACAAATGGCACAATTAATTGGACATTTTTAACATTTAAAACCATCAAATCCAAATAGATTAATGCATTAAGTACATGTTTATGAACTATTACAATTATTGCAATTTTCCATACATTTTTAACATATATTATTTTATACAAAATATCCTGTCTTGCAGCTAAAATACTAATGATTAAATTCAATACAAGATATTTTTGTTATATCATTACAATATTATAAACATCCCCAACATAATTATAAATTTTATAATTAACTATTAATATAAAATATTTCTTATTAACTTTCATTTCTAATAAATTTGATATAAGTTGACGTTAAAGAATATCTTTTATAATCATAAGTACAAACTGGATTTTAATGCCAATTACCTGAATTAAGTAAACAATCTGCACAAATTAATTAATAATCATTAATTGAACTAGGACAAGACATACATTAATTATCAATTATAAATTCACCATATTTACACTTAAATGTATTATTTTAATAGGTTTGATTCATTATTGGATATAATTCATTCATTTTATTACATTTTTGAGTTAAATCTAAATCTACAAATCCAAACTCACAAGAACAAAAACCAAATTTCCATTATCTATTTGAATTCTATGGACATGTAACACAATCATTTTAAGTTGGTCCATTACAAGTTTAACATGAATAATGGCATTTCATTTCATATAGTAATTCTTCTTCATAATTATAAGTAATTTCTAATTGGATTTTACCTTCTAAATAACTTTTATAAAAAAAGCTATCTGCTCCAACATATAAATAAACATATTGATTATGGAATTACAATGCATTAAATGTTTAAGTTAACTCTTAATCATTTGGATATATTACTTTTATATAAGTTTAATCAATCAAATATTAATAATAAATATAATGCCATTTCTGAAATCTATCTCTATTTGTTGTATTTTAAATTGCAAATATATTTTTACTTTTTGTTGTATAAGACAATTAAGGATATGGATAATTGTAAGCTAAAACACTTACATTAAAAATATTATAATTATTTAAACTTGAATCCAAAATGTAACTCATTAATAATACTCGATCTCCCAAAATACTATCATTACGATAATTTTCATTTAATGTCAATCTCATCAATAAATATCTTTGTCTTTCTAAAACATTTTCATAGTTAACTTTTACCCAACATCTAATTTGATATCTATACCCTAACATATACAATTTGGTTTAATAAAATGTATCTCCCATTATTTTTAGACCATCAAAAATATCAATAACAATTTTGTTATAAGATTAGGGATTCTAAATATTTCTAATAAAAAATTCATCAAATTCATTATCATTATTAAATGGTTATCTTGTGAACACTTATACTTCACTATATATACCATGAAAATATTCAAAGTTTAAATTACTCACCTAATAATTATATTAAAATTATTAATTACTTTTCCATATTAATTTAATACAGGAATTATTTTTTTCGTATTCAATTAAATACTTTGTAATTTGCTTCCTTTTATATATAACTTTGATCCTCCTTCTAAACTCTCAAGATAAACATAATGCCATATTCCTTCAAAATATTTAGGATCTTAAGTGAAATTAGTAATTGTTTTATCATCACTCACTGTAATATTTAAAGTTACAAAGTTAAATGAAAGCCATATATATAATTTTTGATATGGTGGTCCTTAATTAAAATTGTAGTTTGCCATTATATTTTACCCAGTATAAATGGATTTGTCGTTTAAAATGAAATCTCCTGATGCCTTTATATTAGAGAAAGGTAAATATTGAAACCAAAATCCATAATGGGTTGTCTATTAAATACTCAATTTAATTAAAAGTAATAAGACTAGCATATAATAAAATTATTCAATTAAATTAATTTGTAATAAAATTCACTTCATTTTCTTTATCGGTAAATAGTTTTCTTTTCACGTTTTTTATTTCTTATTCATTCACTTTATTAGAGGCTCCCAATAATTTTTAAGGTGCTTTAGGATTATTTGATAACCTTATCAATTTCTCAGGAGTTGATATATTTTTCACTTCATCATTTATTTTTGCACTCATATTATAAAATAATTATTGAACTTTACTCTTCAAAATTATAACCATATATTTTAATGAATTATTAATGCTATTATTATTGAATATAAAAATTAAATACATTATATTATTTTTATCTAAATGCTAATTTTGTTGAATTATAGTAAATATTTCATTTATTAAATATGATTAAAAATGAAAAATAATATATTTATAAAAGAACATTATTAAAAAAAATAAGTAAATCATTAAAGTTAATTTTGTTCTTGTTTGAATTAATCTAAATATTCATCCAAAAACTAAAATAATATAGAATATTACTTGATTTGCTACTTTATGATATTTAGAAAGTAAATAAATTTTATCTTATAGTCCATCATTTGGATGAAAGCTTGTCTTAAATATATTAAAAATTTCTTTCTTGTAATACATAAATCTCTCATAACAAAAAGATTCATGAAATTAATTTATTTTAAAACCTGGATTATTTGAAATAAAAATTGTTTCTTTTCTACTTAAATCATCAGCCATATCTAAAAAATCGAAACATTTCTATATAATTTCTAGGTCTTATTAGTTTTAAATATCTTTTTGACATTTAAGTCTAAAAGTATTTGGAATTGTATTAGCTATTCTGAATTCTTTTTTTTTAAAAATATTAGACCTTTCAAAATTTGATGATTATTTAGCACATTTATGATTCTATATCCAAGTTTATTTACATATCCAACAAAATGTATATCCACATCCAATTTCAGTTTTACAAATCATTTTATTGCATCCACTTATTTTTTCTATTGAAATTAGACATTTAGGACATTATGCATAGTTATTTAACTAAATATATTAATATTGAAATACTTTCAAATCAGAAAAAAGTTAATATTATTATTAAGCTTAAGCACATGATAAAGGCCTATGATCACCATTATGACAAAGTGTACAATTTAAATATCCACATTAACATCTTATAAAATATGTTGTAAATGAACTATCAATTAAATTTGAGCATTTCTTATTTCCACATTTCTTTTTATTCTTTAAAAAACTCTATTTTATCTAATTTTTAAATTGATTCAACTGTGAATAGAAATTAGTTGGAAGAAAATGATTACATTCAAATTAAAAGCATTTTGGAAATGATATATTTTTTAATTATTCTTCAATATGCATATTTAAACAAATATTACAACATTAATGATTACATGATAATTAAACATTGATTTAGTTAGTAATACAAATAGAGCATAAATTAGGTTCATTAATTTATGGATTCTAAATTTAAGATGATAAACTTAAATTTCTCAATACTTGCTCAATAGAATTGTATTTTAAAAATAAATCTCCAATTTTTATATGATCCCATCCAACTTATGAAAGAATAAAGATAGAGTCTCCCTTTGATATTTACAATGCTTCAGATAAATCGTTTACTATAACATCAATAAAAGACTAGATTTGGTCTATTTCTATTATTTATTGTAATTACATTAAAAATATAAAAATTAGAAAAATATATTGAAATAAGAATTTAATATACCATAATTATCTTTACTATCAATCCAATAAAACTTTGTATTGTTATAAATTCTAATGTATAAAATTTATCAGCCAGAATATATTTTGAATTAATTTTCAATTAGTATATATATATTTATAAGAGAAAGTAATTTCTTAATGAGATATTTTTTTTTTTCTTAATTAATTTTTATAATTAATTTGATATTAAAAATGGCAGAATTTAAGGAGGTATAAAATTAATTATAAATACTTTAGGACAAATTCTTTAATAAGCCTGGAGATTCTGATGATTCTGTTAATAAATTAAAAAAAAAAATATCTAAGCCAAAGTAATAAAATTTAATCTCTACATCATAAAAGATCAAAGAAATGTTTAAAAAATAACAATTCAAGGATATTGTTAATTGGGCTGAAAAAGATACTACTATAACACTTCATGAATATGACGAAATGAAAGTAAATTCCTAAATGTTGAAACTTGGTTAATACGCTTTAATAAAAAATGCTAAAAATCCTTCTGAAGATTACGTTGGTAAAATTTAAAGGATTATTACAATAAAAGAAAATAAATCAACAAAATTAATTTGTCTATGTGAAGTTAATTGGTATATCTAAAATTCATCAAAGGTTTTATAGAAAAAGTGAAATAATAAAATTTAAACCATAAGCCAAACCATGGATATCCAATAATGAAGTATTTAGTACTAATTGCACTGATTATATTTTGGCATCCACTATATTGTCTCCTTGTCGTATTGTTACTTTAGAGGAATATGAAACATCTTCTCAAGTTGACAAAGGAGTATTTTTTACTAGATTAGAATGGTTACCTACAAAAAAGAAATTTGATGGATTATCTAAACTCTAAAATCATTGTACTTGTAAATAACCCCAAAATCCAGACTAAATATATATTTAGGTATTTTCTTATCTATATTTTTAGTGTGATAAATGTTAGAAATGGTACCATATTACATGTGTAGGATTAAAGAAAGGTGAATATGAACAGAAAGAATACATTTGTGGATGTTGTAGATGAAATATAGTTAATAATATTATTTTTAAATATGGGAATCGATTCTTTATTAAAAGCTCTCAAGTCTGTAACAAAGCCCAAACATATTTCTGAATATTAGAATAAGAAAATAGCTGTAGATACATATTGTTGGTACTTTCAATACTTATAGTATAGGTTACATAAAGGGATATTTTTGTGTGCCTAAGAATTATCAGATGGCAGAGAGACAAATGAACATATTAATTATTGCTTAAAAAAAGTAGAGTTGCTCAAGAAATATAATATTACTGTTATTATGGTATTTGATGGAGCAAAATTACCTAGTAAGAAGATCACAGAAGGAGAGCGGGAAAAGTAATATAAATTTATATTATTAGAAAAAGGAATGAAAACCTATAAAAGCATTTAGAATTTAAATAATAAGGAGAAAAAGATAAAGCCTATTAAAAATTGGTTGAATCTATTGATGTTACTCCTTAAATGGCATCTAAATTATTGGAAGCATTAAGAATCAGGAATATTGAATGTATTGTAGCTCCATATGAAGCAGATGCTCAATTAGCATATTTATCTTTAATTGATTATGTTGATATAATAATAACTGAAGATTCTGATCTTATTGCTTATGGAGCTAAAAAAGTACTTTACAAATTAGACAAATTTGGTTATGGTGAAGAAATTGATTACAATTCTATTTAATAATGCACTGAATATAATTTTTAGAATTGGCATCATTAAAAATTTCTAACATTTTGTATTTTATCAGGTTGTGATTATTTGAGTTCATTAAATGGAATAGGAATAAAAAGAGCATATTAAATAGTAGCAACTTCATAAAATTATAGATAAGCTATTGATAATCTTTAGAGGAAATAAAAGATCATAGTTCCTTTTGATTATGTTGATTAGTTTGAGAAAGCATATCTAACCTTTCTATTTTAGAGAGTATTTTGTCCAGTTCAAAGAACAATGGTTACAGTGAATACATTTGATACTGATCTATTATATTCTCAGATGAAATCTCTTTTGGAAGGAAATCTTGACTTTTTAGGTAATGTTTACACAGATACTTTGATTCAAGATATAGCTGATGGTAGAATCTGTCCATAAGATTTAAAACCATATTAATAATCATCTAAGAATTTAAAATATTCAAGTATGGAAAATAAATAACAAATTGAAAATAATGAATTGGATATACCAACATATGGAAAAGATAAAAATGTTTAAGTTTTTAAATTTATTAAGAAATCTTAATCAACAAAAATAAATCCAGAAGAAATTATTTAAAAATCAAATGAATCAAAAATTATAAACTATTCCTAAGTAGTTAATTCAAAATAGACTTAAATTAATGAATAATCTTAAGTAGATAACCTATAAAACTATGAGTAAAGTCATATATTTTCTAGTTAATTAGAGACCCTTAAATAAAAATCCTTATTCAACACTAACATTTTAGCCAATTAAAATAAAAAGAAGCAGTCTAAAATTGTTATAAAACATGAATAAAAAAGAATTAATGAATATTTTCAATCCTCTATTAAACAACCCATATCTCTTATTGAGAAATAATATTAAATTTCTTAAGTAGTCAATATGGTTGAAGAGAAATTCTAAAGAATTGAATAACAAGCTAATTCATAGTTGGAAGAAGAATTTCAATAATATAGTATTTCTGAGGAATTTTCTTATAATTTTCAGAAAAAATTCTATTATACTGACTTTGGACTTTTCTTAAATTAAGAACTTCAATTTAAATAAATATAGCTTTGAATTATATATTTATTTTACTTAATTATAATAAAAAATTGAAAATTCAGTTATTATGAGATTTAATATAAAAATTTATAAAAGATAAATGAAAATAGAAAAATTTGATATGAACTTTCCTTAAAATAATTTGAAATAGACATTATTAATTATTTTCCATATAAAGAAAATATACATTAAAATTAAAAATTAAGTTAATTATATTATCATAATAAATTATTTATATTTATAATATTTTTCAATTATGTTTTCTAAATTAATTCAGATCTTCTTCGATATCTAGATCCTCTATAAATTAATTATGAATATTTACATTAAATTGGATTATTTGAAAGGGATGGAAATTGATCATTATCGTTCTCTTCAATATCTTCATGTTTCAATTGTTATCCAATTTAGTCATTATTTTCCAATTATGTCTAAATTATTAACTTTATCTCATTACCTTTTAGATTAGAGTATTTGTAACTTTAAATTTACCATCTAATTCATAAATAGTTCCAGTTTCCTCTGATTCAGCCAAAATAAAATTAACAACCTCTTCTTGAACTTCATCTATATAATATAAACTTAAATTTTTTATTATTTAATTATGCTTAGCATTATTCCCAAATGAACAAATCACTTTTATTAAACAATCTACTAATTAATCAGGAAATTATAAATTAGGAACTTATGGGTAATATCCTTCATCTTATTAATTAATATGAATTCAATACTATATAGTGATCTTATTTTCTTTTTAAAATTATATTTCTACTCTTCTCTTTTGGTTCTTCTCTCTAAAAATAAATAAGGCGAATGTTTTCCTTCAATTATTTTTTCTTCAGATGGATGATATTTTATCTTTTTGATATTTTTTTGAATGGTTTATTATTAAGCTTATTGTTATTGCTATTATAATTGCTGAAGTAATTATTTTTAATAATTTTTTCCATTTTTTATCTTAGCCATCCTAAACTCTATTTAAATTATTCAAAATTATGCGGTAAATTTAAATTAGTTAAACACACTTTTATAAAATTTATATAATTTTAAACTATGTTATTAAATAAATAAATAACTTCTTTTAATTATTTAATGATGAGATTTCTATATGTTTTTGTTATGTTTTGAAATAAAAAAATAATGTTTCGTTTTTAATTGGGAATTAAAAAAACCAGAAAAATATAATTAATAATATTTAAATAAATGAATCAAAAAAGAATTCTGTACTCTTTAATATCCCAATATGAATTATCACTTTCTGTCATTTTCTAATATATTTTGACATAAAAACTTAAATCAAGTCATCTAATTTATGATTCTACATATTCCAAAAAATAATAACTATAAATAAATAGACTTGATATTGAATTATAAATGATAAAATAGAATTGTTTTTAAATTCCAATACTATTATTAATAACAAAATCATCACGCATAATTATTTAGGATATCTTCTGTTTCTTTATCATCATATTCAATTTTCCAAAATAAACTGTGATTAAATAAAGATGAAATATTATAATCTTTGTGAATGACTTCTTTATCATTATCTGAGGTCGATTACAAAGATTTTTAATTTAAGTTTCCTTAAGCTTCATCATCTTAATTCTCCTTTTTTGTTTGAAGTATATCCTCAATCCAAACCTAATCAACATTCATGTCCATCATTATATTCTCATCATCTTCTAATCCTCCATCATCTTATTAATTATTAGTCTCTAATTCTTATTCATTTTTTTATGTTTCCTTATCTTATTCTTATTATTCTCCTTAATTTTATTAACCATATTAAGAGTCATTGAATTTCTATATTATTAATCATAATAATTACTTATAAAATTGACATAATGTCAGATTCTTGATCATCTGCAACTTCTGATTTGGCTTTTGGATTTACATTACATAAAAAAGGTTTCTCTTTTTAATTGATTTAGAATAGTCTATTTTTAACAAAATTCATCCATTGTTAATCTATAATTAATATATATATTACTGTCTTTATAATACTATAGAATATTCTGGTTATATGATTTTTCAAAGAGATAATTTGATAATGAGGTCAAAAGAGCCAAATATCCCTTCTTATCATTCTACTCTGTATGATATCCAATAATAAATTCAATAAGCTAACCAAACTCAAAGACCTAAAATAATATATAAAGTATACATTTTCTGTTAATTTTTCATCATTTAAATCTAGAATAGATTTTATGATCTTTTCTGTTATAATGTGAATTTGATTATTAGATGGATATTAAATACAAATAGTTTCTAACACTTAAATTAAACCTGCATTTAGTAGAGCTTCAATAACAGTGATATCATTTGTTCTATAAATAATTATTAGAGATATACTGAACAAAAGTTTAAATTAACTTTAGTAGCATAATTTTATGTAGTCCAAATGGTTACACTTATTCTTAATTTGAATTGTAAAAGTTAGCAGCACAATATCGTTTACTTAATAGATTTTAAGGGAGTTCAGGTACAATATTTTAAAAAATTGAGAAATCTTTCTCATTATTGTGAATTACTTCATCATCCTCTTCTTTTTTAGATTCTTTTGAAGACATTTCCACTAAATTGATTAGAACCTATAATGGTTATTGTTTTTAAGTTTTAATTGAAATTTCAAATAATAATTCTGGTCTTGTAATTTAATCAATAAATGGAACAATATCAGGATTATTATAATATAAACAACTCATATTTTTGGTAGTGATTTCAATTAAAATATCACAAATATTTTCTACAATCTCTGAACAATAATATTTATTTTGCATTAATATTATAATTCTTTATAGTAATGTCTTTCTTTCATTAAGATATGTTTCCTCTGTAAATTCTTAAGTTGTATCTAAAATTATTAATTTTTCGATTATTTCTGCAATATGTTTACAATCTATGTGTTTTATTAAATTAGATAAAATTTGTTTATTATTAATAATTTGAGTCCATACCTAAAAATTTGAATAAATGATACATCAAATCCTCGTTTTTTAATAATTGCAAGGATTGCTTTAGAAAAATAGCCTGCAGATGTCATATTGAAGACATCTTCTTCAAGAAAGCTTATTAATTGATCATACAAGCTAACTCTAATCATTTCTGCATCTGCTTCAATTCCTTCCTCTGGTCTTTCAAATAAAAAATCCAATAACTTCTAGTTTTAACTGCCTAAAATTTCACTGCATAAGAATGGGTATCTTTGATATTTATGTTTTAACTTACTATATTTAAGTCTTTTTATCAATGAGTTCATCATCTACAGAAATTATATAATTAATCATTCTTTAATACATTTCAGGATGTTTGATTATGCTATAAAATTGATTATTTAATATATACTGATCAGCAAATTTATTGGCTCCCATTCCTTTGATTTCTTATAAAATATTATCTGCAGATAAAATAGTTTCTAATTCACAATCAGGGTCAGCTAACAATGAATCCAGTTATTATTGCTGAGGAAAGAAACGAGCAAAGCTAAAATAAGACAGAGTAATACTTAAAAAACATAATAAATTAAAATATTATATATGGATAATAAAATCAGAATTCATTTTAATAAGTTAAACAATTTCTCATGATGTTATTTAGCATGTGATGGAGATTGAACTTAAGAGTTTAATTATAAAATAGATGAGAATCTTCCTTATGATTATGAAAGACTAAATAATTCTATCAATGATAATTAAATAAAATTACAGCTTGAATTTTCTTTTGCATTAACATTATAACTTGTTTCAGCAAATAAATTTTTCAAGATTAAATTCTCTTACAATATTTCTTATTGATTTTAAATTAAAATTTCATTATTTTATTTTAATTCTTCATTTTATTATTACAACATCTAATTTATTTTGAATAATTCTGTATAATCTGATTATTGTGTTTCTCTTGATAATAAAGATAATATCTAATTATTTTAAACTAAAATTTTATTTCTCAATTCTAGATCTGTATTTTATTTAGTTAAACATCTAGGACAACCCATTTTTAAATTTTATATTTATCTTTTCTATTACTAAATAATTTATTAGAGTTGTGTAACACTTTCACTTTAATTTATTGTATTTGTATTAGAATTATATGTTGTTAATATATTTTCTTTAACATTTTCATATTCATCATTATTGCTTTATCTACTCAAAAGTTTTCTACTATATTTACGAGCATAAGAATTATTCTCTTTTTCATGTGTTGGAGATGCATTCTTTCTTACTAATTTTTCTGTGGAATGCTTTTTATACATAGCAGTTAAATTTTAATATTATTAGAATATTACTTATTAATTGTTATATGGATGTTTCAAAATATAATCAAATTTATGTTTGTATCAAAAATAGAGTAAAAAATTCATGAAGTTTGATACAAATTAGCCTTTTTAACTAACTATAGAATTTATTTTAAATAGAAATTATGTTACATTTGGGAATTGTATTAATTAAAATTTTGATCCTTTTGCATTTTCAATAGTTTTACTTTTTTTATATTATGAATCTTAAGGAAATTCTAATATTGTTGTAGATGAATTTTAAATGATATACTCTTTTAAGGAAATTAAATACTCTCAAAATAAGTACATTACTCTGTCTTTCGAAAAGACAACAATTATAATTTATTTTCGATAAATTTAAATGATTGAAGCAATTAACGAACTTAATTACTCATAAATCTTTAAATAAATATTGGTATAGTTTTTTCCTTTTTCTTTTTTTATGAAATCATATTTTTTGCATATTCTTATATTACATAAATTGGATAGAAGAGAATCTGAATTAGAATATAAATGCAAATGCACACTATTATCAACAATCCTAATAATGTAGTTATATTTAAAGATAATGTTTCTTGCAAGCTTTCTGATAATTTCTATTCAAACTTATAATAGAACTCTATGTATTCTTGACTACTTAACAACCTAACTTTTTTAATTTATTTTACATTATTAAAATCATCTTAAATTCAGCTATTTCTTAAATACCAATAATCATTTCTTAATTATAAACAGAATTATATCTACATTAAAGAGTAGAATTGTATAATTCAAAATTTGGGCAAGATGAAGATCCGTTATGTTTCTTTATCTCTTCCCAATCTGTCTAATTGAATCCAGTAATTGTCTAATTAAATATATATAATGGTAGATATTCATTAGACACTTTATAGGGATGCATAATCATAATTCCTTCATTTGATATTAGATATATAATTTAAAATCCAAATTTACTCTGTCCAACTTCTTAAACAAATTCATTTCCCAAAAATATAGAACCAACTCCACCTATTAATTTAGTTTATTCATCTACAATTGGCATTGCCATTGATAAACCTATTTTTTTTTCCGTAAATACTAAATAATATGATTAACTTATATACACATAAAAGGATTTGTAAAAGTATAATTGTAATTTTCATAATTTTGTGTTTAATCATAATTCCTTTACAACTCAATATACCAATCTCGTTATTCAGGTTTGTAACTATAAATTCCTTATTGTCTATTTAAACAAGGATAAATAGAAGTTATTTTTTCCTTTGGAATGTAAGAATAAAAAAAATATTGGTTGATATCCTTTCCTTGGTATAAAAGTTAACCGTAAGCTTGCACTTATTCTTACATTTTTATTCCAACCAATTCATCTATAGTTTTTGGTTGACTGTATGAACTTAAGTTAGAATAACACATTAAACAATATGAAATATCAAAGTTGCCATATCCTTTAATTATTCTAAGTGGATCTGGAATTGGATTGATACCACCATAAGGCATTTAAAATTATTCATTTATTGTGAAGTTATTTTATAAGACAACTTAATTTTTAGTATAGTGATACAATCTGTGAAATGAGATTAAGGTATTACCATCTAATTATATATATGATTACTTAGATAGAAGACTTTATCAAAGTAGCTTCTATATAATTTTATTATATTTGATTGAATCCTATTTGAACTTTCCTTATACAAATTGTTGGAAGTGTCTGAAAAGTATACATTTAGTAGAGAAAGATGAATCATATTTTATGCCAAAACATAAGACATAATTATGAATGCTTAGACAGAAGCTATTAAAATCAATTAATTTCTAAGCCTCATATTCTTAGTGCATTTGGAGAATATTGATTGAGATTGTCTCATTCAAAGTAATTATCTATTATCAAAAATGATTAATTTGATTTAAATTTCATCATCATATAATATAAAATTGGGATTAATTTCATTCTTTGCAATAAGTCCTTTACTATTCATTTTTAATAATAAAATATTATCAATATTTAAAATTTTGAATTTTAGTAATTACAAGAGAAGCAAGTCTTTTTAAATTTAAATATATATTGAGAATAATAATATAATTTTATACTAAATAACTTTTTAGGAAAGATGTATAATTTTGTTAAGTAAAATATTTAGTCTCTTTTAGAATTGTGATTATGATCCTCTATCTATAATATTAATATAAAATAAACTGTTTTTATTATTCAAATTACTCTATCAGGTCCATACATTTAAAAAAAATAAAATAAAATAAATTTTAATATTCACTTGAATTTTAATATTAATATTATAATTTATGCTTGGTTTATTTTACTACATAAAGAAATAATTTAATAAATTATACAATAATGTTCTAATTATATCGTTTATTTTTAATTATATTCTATAAGTAGATATACATTATTTATTTACAATTGTTAATTGAACTTAATTTGTGATATTTATATAAATATATATTAATTATGTTGGTGCGTAAACAAAAATCTGAAATACTAATAAATTTAAATCAAATATGCTCTTTTTTGAATGTTGATAATACGTATCAGTTTAAACTTAAGAGTTAGAGTTGTTAATTCTTTCATTATTAAAATTAATAATGAATCATATTTAACAAGCCTTTCTTTAGAGTATTATGAAACAATAGTAACATGAAAAATAATAATAAGTGAAATAGGAAGAGAACAGTTAGAAACAAAATATTTAAGTACAACATTTCAAATTATTTGTTTAGTATTTGCAGAAATAATAACTTCTCTCCATTATCTAGCAATGTCAATAGTAATAATAACCAATTTAACAAACATCGTATAATATTTAAATAATCATTTAGCAAGTCTCCTACTTTAATTGAAGTTTAAAATTAAGTCACATCATACTTTTAGAAAATTATACTATAGAAACAAACAATCAATTTAAATAATGTATTGGAATAGTAATTACCATACTTTTTATAAATAATGGGGAATCTCATCATTTATGGATTAGAAAATTGTCCAGGAGAAAAGGAAATTGTGTAAGAGATGATATCATAATATAAATCCAATCCACTTAAAATAACAATGAGCTGTTCTTTATTCTAAACAATAGGACTCTTGTTTCGTTCCTAATTAGTGTATTATGATTAATGTAATGAATTAAATACTAATTTAAGGTACAAAATATCTTGCCAATTTTTTGTTATTCCGTGATGACTTTTGTGACATCTTCTTTAATACATTATATTGTTATTAAATTTCATAAGGTTAAACATTTAGTCAATAAATTGGATTTACATAGATTAATCAAATGATTAAAAAAACATAAGATGATGTATGGACAGCATTTATATTCAAAATGCTTAGTTAACAATAATAAAAAATGACTAAAGATATTTTCTTATTACAATTCAATTAATACACTGTATCTATGAATAATTTCTTTACTAAAAGCAATTTAATTATGGATTTAGTTGCTTAAAGTGTAAAATAGACTTCAAAATTACATAATGATCAAATATTTTAAGAAGTAATTTATTTACTAAAATATAGTATTTGTTAATTATGGGAAGTTTTAAAGCTACAACATAAGATTTTTTAAAGAAGGCTACTTAAGTATTCTTTGAAGAATCTAATGATCTTGATTTATTATAATTTAGCAGTAACATAATAAAAATTCATAAATAAATGAATTGTTAAATATTATTCATATTACCTATGTTATTTTTATTAGAAAGTTAATACTTAGATCATCTAGTTTAGAATGGAATTGAAGAATAGTAACCAGTTAAAAATAGTTCAAATTATTATTTAAAGATGATTGAGAAATTAAAAAATAAATGTGTATATAATGGTGAAGAAGAATGTAATTGTAAAAAATGTTAATGGTATTTAATTCTTTAGATAAAATAGTATTAGAAGAAATAGAAACTCAGCAAAAGAATCTTAAAAAAAGAAGAGAGAAGCATTAGAAAAGATAGGTCCTTTATAAGATGAGTATGATAAAATTTAAAAGAAAGTATAAATATATAATACTTTTAGGTATAATCACTTGAAAAAGAAAATCAAGTTATTACACAATTATTACTTGATGTATTTAGACACCCATCTCTAGAAAAATTGGCATCCTAATTCATAGAACCACTTACTAAAATTATAGCTGATTAAGAATCCTATAATATTGATGAATGTTGATGATTTGAAATTATATTTATCTATACAATTTAATTTAAGAATTCTATATAATTTATAAATTTATTTAAATGTATGTTTAATAATAACTCATAATAAGTCAAGTCTACGAGGTCTATCCCATACTATTTTACCTTTTTATTTAAAATATTGAACTCTATGACTTTTTACTTAACTGTTAATAAAATCTGTAAAAGGAACTTCCATAATTCCTAAAAATCTATCTTCATATCCTACTACAAAATCCTCTTTATTAAATTTAACATCCCAAAGTATTCTATCAATAACTTAAAGAGTAGGTTTAAATTTCTTTTGAGTTTCTTTTTACTCTAACATCTCTGGGAAATAATTAAGCATAGTTTTTTTATCAAAAATAGAACAAACAACAACTAAATAATCTTTGCTTAGATTTACATAATAGTGTCTATATTCTCTTTTATCACTAAAAAATAATTAATTTTATGATTTACTTGGATTTCACAAAGATTTTAGATATATCACTCCAATACTTAGATTATTATTATTATAATTATTGTGCTGGTTCTTTTTATTCTTTTTGATCTTTAATATCCTTTTATTCTTATCTACTTTTTTTTCTTTTCTTTCCTCCTTCATCTTATTATTATTGTTATTATTATTATTATTATTATTAAATATCTTTTTCTCTTTTTATTTATTTTTATTAGTTTTCTGTCAAATAAAGTTTACCTGAATGTGTTAAAATGGCTACATTTTTCCATCCACATTCAATTTATATAATTTCATCATCTTCTTCTAAATTAGGTAATGATACTTTTGTAAATTAAATATTATTAGATAAAGGAACAGCCAATTAACCATAATCATTTTTACCCCAACCAAATAATTAATAATCTTTATATTATAATTCCATGGCTCTTGTAATTTCTGTACTTAATTTAATTTATAATTCAGCATTAGTGAGTCCAAGAGTATTTATTTAGAAATCTTAATGAACAGCTTAAGTTGAAAATTCTAAACCTGTAAATTCATTGTATTTTACAATATTAACATAATCAGAAAATCCAATTTTATTAAGCCATACTTAAAGTTCTTCATTTGTCCATTCCTTTATTGATTTAATATTCTCTCTTCCAAGTGCTAAAAAATAATTAAGACCACTATAAATAGATATTATAGATCTTTTATCAAAATAATTTTATTGAACAGTTTTTATAATAGGATCAAATACTTATTCATACTTAGTATCTGAAGAATACACTTTTTGTGTTTTTGTCAAATAATAAATAGCATTACTTCCCATAGCTATTTACATAATGTTCTAATATAATATTATTTAATACTTCATTATCTGGTAATATAATTTATTTGTATCTTAATGCTTAATCACAATTTTGAGGTGATAAATCTTATAATTAATATAGAATAGCTCTAGTTTATTCAAAAGGCAATTATGGTATTTTTTAAGGATTGGTGAAAATAGCAACAAGTTGAAAATAAGAAGTTTCAAAAAATTCCACATTTTAAGCTATCAAATATTCTTCAAGATTTTCAAACATTACAATTAAGTCTCCATTCTCTTTCAAGTATATTAATTTTCCTTTGCTTGCTGTTGAAAATTATTTTACTTAAAATCTGTAAATAATATATATATAAATAATTTACTTAATAATAAAGTTTGGTTTTTGATTGATGACTTCTTAATATTCTTGTGATAAACAAACATACATTCGATTTTGAATTGTAAGTATGCCAGTATAAGTTAGTCCTATTTATATTGATTTTACTGGCATTCCTAGAATATGTCTTCTTTTGAAAGGTTTGACACTTTCATCAAATGACCAAAAATAAGTCTCTCTTCCAAAGATTGTACGAAAGATAATATTGTATGGTGTAGTTGTATTTGGACTATTAAATCCAATACTTGCTAAGAGTGCTTTCAGGGCTAATTGTACGTTTTCCATCATCTGCTTTGAAACACTCTAAACATTAAGCAATTCCTTGATTGAAAGGAAATGTGCGATGCCTCGGAATACATCAAATGTGAGTAGTTGAGATTGCTACATATATTTTATTTTATTCTTTAATAATAATAAATCAAAACAAAATGCAAGAAATTAAACAAATACCATCATTCCTATAAAAATTATATGAAATACTTGAAGTAATAGAAAATTTGTTATTGTTGAGTCTGAATAATCAGCTATTGGTTGGAATAAGGATGGGACTACATTTTAGATTTTAGATTCATCATTATTGACAGAACAAATAATGCCTTAGTATTTCAAACATCGCAACTATTAGAGCTTTCTGAGGTAATTAATCATTAATTTAAAGTTAGATAACTCAATATGTACGGATTTAAGAAACTTAAAAATAAATAGGGTAAAAGTGAATTCTAACATTCACAATTCAAAAAAGGTCTCAAGTATTAGATATGAAATGTACATTTAGGAATAATTTATTAAAAATCAAAAGAAGAAATTAAGATGATATTAAGCAAAGTTTAGAATCTTTAACCAAAGAATTCGAATAAGAGTCTTATCTAAACGAACATGAAAAGCTTCGCAAGTAGCTTGTAGAATTATATTCTAACTAAAGATCTCTCCTTGAAGAGATCAGACGTTAAATGGAACGTAACAGAAATCTACAACGAGAGACTTAGGATATTACTGAAGTATAAACTATTTTCTATATCATAGAGAATTAATATAGTTAAAAGTTATCAACTTAAAAAATTAGATAAACTTATAATCATCATTTAGAAACTGCCTGAAGATGCTCAAATCAGTAAAATGGCATTAATGAAGGAAAAAATCCTGAGAAAATTAGAACTTATTGAAGCTGAAAATATTTGTATGAAGGAGATCTCTTTAGAAAAATAAGATTCTTCCATGTATTAAGAACCTAATCTAACTGGAGTCAAGAGTCCTGCTGGATACTCACCTAAAACTAAATGAAATCTATAATATTTATATATTTTCTATAATTGATCATATATTAATTTATAAGTCACGAAATTACACATTAATGCAAGCCAATGTTCAAAAAATTTGTTTAAATCTTAATTTTATATTATTAAAATGAGAGGAGTAACTCTACGCAGATATCCAGATGAAAGTTTTCCAAAGAACATTGACTTCTTTGATTTGAAGGAGTTCCCTATTCCAACAAATCTTAAGGAAAATGATCTTCTTATCAAAGTTTGCTATGTTAGCATCGATCCTGTTATGAGAGTATGGTTTTCAGGAGCCAAGACTTATATTGATACTGTACATCAAGGATAAGTCATTCCTGCTTTTGGATGTGGAGTTGTTGCTGAATCGAAAAGCAAAAGATTTAACAAAGGAGATTTAGTGTTAGGTGCATTAGATTGTGCAGACTATTGTGTTAGATCAGCTAATGCAATATTCAAATTGCCAGCTGTATAATCAAAAAATGATCCAAACTTACCTCTCTTTTTGTCTGTGTATATTTTAATTGTGATAATTTAGTTATGGTGTAACTGGAATCACTGCTCTCAAGGGATTACATCAAATTCCTAAAGAGAATCTCCCTACAAAAGAATCCAAGAAGACTCTAGTGGTATCATCTGCTGCAGGATCAACAGGATCATTTGCTCTATAAATAGGAAAATATTGGGGTTATAGAACTGTTGGTATCGTTAGTAGTAGAGACAAGAAAGACTTTGTGCTTTCACTAGGAGCTGATGCTTGTGTTTGTTACAATGACACTTTGGATTCTAATGGAATTGTTGACACAGAGTACATTAATTAACCTATTCTTAATTAGCAAATTGACAAAATTAATGAAGTAAGCAGCTCCTGAAGGAATTGATGCAATGTATGACAATTCAGGAGAAGAGGTATTAGATGCAGTCTTACCAGCTATGAATAAGGGTGCATTCATTGTATTATGTGGAGCTACTGCTACATATTATACATGGAAAAATAGAGGAGGATTGAAAAATTTATCTCATTTTATTACAAAGTAAATTAAAGCTGAAGGAATATTGTACTTTGGTTAAAAGAATGCCATAATGGAATCATTTAAAGAAATGAATGAATTAGTCACAGGAAATCATATTTAGTAATAATTTATACTTATATGTATAGACACAAAGAAGAATTTATAAATGGATTAGAAAATGTGACATTAGGATTATAGAAAGTGTTTTTAGGTAAGAATTTAGGAAGAGTGATTGTCAAATTAGATAATGAAATTCCATTGCCAAAGTTTTGAGGCTTATATACATAACAAATTTAAATGTTGGAAAATTTCAAAAATAATATTTATAAACTAATTACAAATGTTTTGGTCTAAAAGACCCGATGTCTATAATTAGCCTCGTTAATTCGAGGGAAATTTTAAGAGTGAGAGAACATTATTAGAGTTGGAATAATTCCCAAGTAACTTCATAAAGACATCAAGGTATGAGATAATATAAGAGTTATGTAGATATAATATAGTAAGTTTCTTGCCAAAATCGTTACTTTTGTAGTTTACACGATATGCTAACATTTATTTCTTATGCATTGCTATAATACAGTGTATTCCAATATTATCAACTTTGAATCCATTCAGTGCAATAGCTCCTTTAGTATTTGTATTAGGATTATCAATGGGTAGAGAAGGTAAGAATAAAAACTAATATGAAAGGTTGGGAGGATTATGGAAGACATGTATCTGATAATGAAGTAAATGCAACAGAATGTGTGATAATGAAGTCTCGAGTAATGACAATGTAAATAAAAAAATTAAGATTATATAGATCTACATGGGCTGAACTAGCAGTAGGAGATTATATATTAGTGAAAAAGGATGAGAGTTTTCCTGCTGATTTAATAGTTTTGGGAAGTTCTATAGAGAGTGGTGCATGTTATATTGAAACATCTTCATTAGATGGAGAAAAGAATCTGAAACCGAAGAGTGCAATTTTGGAGACTTAACAACTATATAGTGATAAGAATAATTATACAGATTAGATAATAAGAGTGGATGCACAAGTTCCTACTTAAAATCTTTATGAATTGGATGCATCTATATATTTGAGTACAGGAAATGGTTAATAAAAGAAATTTTAATTAACAGCAAAACAGTTATTACTCAGAGGTGCATATCTTAGGAATACTGAATGGGTGATTGGATTAGTAGTTTATACAGGTTAGGATACTAAAATAATGAGAAATGCTGATGCTGCAAGAATTAAATCAAGTGAAATTGAAAGAATTATGAATATTTTGATTTTGGGAATATTGGTAGTTCAAATCTCATTATCAATAATTACAGCATCTTTCTCCTCTGCATGGTTACATAAATATGGTAGTGATAGTTGGTATTTGGGTTATGATGATGATTTCTCTCCTAATTTACTAAGCTTTTATTCATTTTTCAGTTATATTTTATTATATAATACAATGATCCCTATATCATTGATAGTTAGTTTAGAATTTGTAAAAGTATTTTAAGCATACTTTATTGAATAAGATGAAGAAATGTATGTTTAATAAAGAGATAAATATGTTAAAGTTTAAACCACAACTATAAATGAAGAACTTGGTTAAATAGAGTATATATTTTCTGACAAAACTGGAACGCTAACTTGTAATTAGATGGAATTTAAGTATTGTATAATAGGAAACACTCTATATGGATAGGAATAACAACATACAAACATTCCTATATAAAATACAGATTTAAAAAGACAATAAACTGCTAAAGTACATCCTGCAACTGAAGTGTTTTAACATTCGGTATTTAATTTCCAAGATCTTGAATTAAGTGCAATTCTTAAAGGAGAAGGGTCATCTGGAGAATTACCAGTCAATTTAATTATTTAGTCATTAGATGGTAAACAATAAATCAAACTTTAAAAATAGAGAAATTTAATTGAAGAATATTTTTTCTTATTATCATCTGCTCATGAATGTATTATACAGTATGATAAAAATTAAAATGCTTCCTATTAAGGACCATCACCAGATGAAATTACTTTGGTTGATGCAGCAGCTAGAATGGGTTTTTAATTCACTGGTGCTTCTGCTAGTGAATAAAAGTTTACAATTTTGGGAAAAGATAAAAAAGTTAAATTATTAAAATCTTTTGAATTTGATTCAACACGTAAGAGAATGAGTGTTATTATTGATGATAATGGAGTTATCAAATTATTTATTAAAGGAGCAGATAATATTATAAAAGGAAGATTAGCACCAAATTAAATATTTCTTAATCAAATTATAAACTATTTGGATGATTTTAGCAAAATTGGCTTAAGATGTTTATTAATGGCTATAAGAATATTATCAAATGATGAATATAGAGAATTTGATAATGCTTACAATAATTTACCAGACAATGAGACAAGAGCAGAAGAACTAGGTATACAAAATATATTGAAAGCTAGAAAAATTAACAAGCAATTTAGAACAAAATTTAACTTTAGTTGGAGCATCTGCTGTTGAAGATAAGTTATAATCATTGGTTCCAGAGACAATAGCTGATTTATTAAGAGCAAATATAAAAGTTTGGATGTTGACTGGTGATAAGTTAGAAACAGCAGAAAACATTGCTAAAAGTTGTCGTTTAATTTAAGGTGATTTTACTGTAATGAGATTGTCTGAATCAACTGTTGAAGCTTGTAAATAAAAGATTGGAGATATTTAAGATACATATGAACAATGTATAAAAATGAATAGAAAAAAAGTATTTAAGTGCATTCTTACCTTTAGTCATTCGTTGTAGAAGGATAATCCCTATAATTTGTAATTGATAATGAGGATTTAGCCTAAGCATTTGTGAGTATGGCTAAAGATTGTGAAAGTGTTGTTTGTTGTAGAGTAACTCCAAAATAGAAAGCTGATGTTGTAAGATTAATTAAAGACAGACTCAATAAAATTACATTAGCAATTGGAGATGGTGCAAATGATGTTAATATGATTCAAGCTGCTCATATAGGAGTAGGATTATATGGTAATGAAGGAATGAGGGCTGTTTAAAGTAGTGATTTTGCTTTAGGGGAATTCAGATGTCTTTGGAGATTGTTATTGGTTCATGGACATTGGAATTACATTCGAATTGCAGAAATGGTTTTATACTTCTTTTATAAAAATATGATATTTACTGTTCCATAGTTTTTCTTTTCATATTTTTGTGCATTCTCTGGATAATCATTTTTTGATGACTGGTACATCACATTCTATAATTTAATATTCACAGCACTTCCACTTATAGTAAGAGGTACTTTTGATTAAGACATCAATTACAGATAATATGTTTAATTTGATGAGAGGCAAGAAGTAGCTTCTGTTTAATAGAAATTTGAAGAATATCTTAAAACTAAATTTCCAACTCTTTATTATGTGGGATAGAACAAAAGTATTTTTACTATACCAAATTATATGTTTTGGGCATTTACTGGTTTAGTACATGGTATGATAATCTTCTTTTTCATACTTTGGATATAAGATTTTGAGATTGTAGAAGACAATGGATTTCCTGGAGGATTAGCAGCATTTTCATTGACAGCTTATTCAAGCATTATTTTAGTATTTAAATTTTATTAATCATTAAGATTGCAGACGTGAAAATAGCTATCCATACCAAATATTGGACTTGGTTTAATTTTGTGTGCATAACATTCCTATCTGTTTTACTTTATATCATCTATGTCATTATATCATAATTTTGGTCAGGTACTTTGATGGAATTCACTCCATTTACTATGGTTGGAACTCCTCATTTTTGGTTGTCAATAATACTTATAGGAGGTATAATAGGTGGATTAGAGGCTATATTGGCTTAAATATATAGAGAATTTTTTACTGATTCTGCCACTGAATTATTAATTAAAGCGAATGATTTTGGAAAAAATCAATTAAAACTCATTGAATTAAAAGAAAAGAATTAAAGATAATTTTAAGATTCTTTTTGGGAACCTATATATAAATAATAATAATAATAAGACTAAGAAATAGAATAATAATAAAATGAAGTAATTAAATTTAGCTAATCTTAGCATGCTGAATGATATTTTTTAATATATATAATAATAATAAAATAAAAATGAATAAGTTTTAAGAATCATAGACACTTAGACAATAAGGACCCTTACAAACTTCAAATAGATAACTAACAGGTCCTTAACTTTACAATTTAAATAAACACACTTCCTATGTCTTTGCAGCAATTGTCCATAATGTAATTTTACAAGAAAGTTATGATAAATGCAATGAATTTGATGATAAGAAAAAACCAGATTTAGATGAAACAGAATGGAAAAAGCTAAAAAAAACACTTTGGGAAGAGAAAATAGAGAAATAGAATAAATAAACTTTGAAATAGCAAATATCCTTTATAGTATCTGCAGGAGCAGATAAAAATATATATTTGTGGGATATTCATAAAATGAAATTGTAAGACAATTCATAAGTTCCAATTAAGCCTGAATAATTACCATAATAATAAAATACTTAAATATAATCTAATTCAGACAATTAAGGGAATGAAAATTAAAATAATTAGAATTTTTCAAAAGATGAATTAGATTTAGAACATGTAATTATACCATATTAATAAAATTTTTATGAATTTGTTACTTGTTTGCTTAGTGTAGAATTAAATTAGAATTAATCATATTTAATTGTTGGCTATGAAAATAATCAAATAATCCGATACGAATTATCTGGTGAATATTGGATGAAGGGTGTTAATTCATTGAGATACAATTTTAATTTTTAGAACATGTCTTAAATGATAACAAAATTACAACACCATAATGATGCCGTAAGATCTTTAGTCTACTATAAAGATTAACTATGTTCATGTGGTGATGATATGTAGCTCTTAATTCAAACTATAGATGGAAAGGTTTTAAAAAGATTTTTCTTTGATAGCATTATTGATAATCTATATATCTGGAATAATCATCTGATATTTCCTCATTTTACTGTTAGTTTATAACCTTTTAGCTACGAAGATGAGGAAACACGATTTGTAACAAAAAAAAATGTCTAGATAGAAATGGAAAATGAAAATTAGAATTAAAACTAGAATGAAAATTAAAATTAAGCAAATTAATTAGAAGCAGGAGCATAAAATTAGAATTAGAATTAAAATTAAGAAAATTAATAAGAAGCAGGAGCATAAGCATAACCAAAAGAAAAACAAAAGATAACTCAAATAGTAGAAAAACAAACTTATACTTATGGTTTATAATAATGTTTAATGATTATGGGGGAAAATTAATAGAATAATTATGATATAAAATTAAATGATTTAATGTTTTATCGTTCATTAGATGATGCTTATAATTAAATGGATAAAATTACTTGTTTTGAACTTTCAGACAATAAAAATATTTTATATTCAACAGAAAGTGGGAAATTAATTATGATTTAGGAGCCATTAAGGAATCATTCTAAAGGAGAAACCATAACTGATAATTACAAAGATTAAGAAAACAAAAATTAAAAATACAAATATCAAATATTATTTTGCAATACGAAATAGTTATTTTAATTCGATATAGAAATACTAATGTCATTCATTAAGTATGAATCTAAGCTTTATATATTCTGTAAAAAAAAATAAAACAAAGAAGAGGTAGGTTTGATAATAGGTTAAGAAATAACTGATTCAAAAGATTACTAATATAAAATAGTTGAGAAACCTTTAAAAATTGAATATTTATAAATATATCAAAAAAGAGAAGAAAATTAGCCAGATCCTAATCCCATTATTAAAAATTATGAAGTATTTTTACAAAATCCTATATTGGTAAAAGAAGGGGATACAAAAATAATTTTGTTTTGTGGTGATTAGTTGAGATATTATAAGTTATGAATTAAAAATAAAATTATGAATTTCATTTCTTTCCCTCAAGTATTGAAAAATACAAATCACATATATATTTAGAAACAGAGAATTTGTAAAATATTAAATATAAAATTAATTAGTGAAATTTGCAATTAAGAAAAAGGATAAATTGATAAAGGAACATTATAATTAATATAATATTGTAATTAGAGTAGGTTGATTAGATAATAGAAGAAATAGTAAATTAGATTAGTTAAAATATTTGGAAGTAAGAACTATTTTTAGAATTGACATAAAAAAGTGAAAAGTGAAACAATCAATAGTAGAATTTGATCATGGTCAACAAATTGATTTAATATGGTATACTAAATAAAATGTTTAATAATTGAGAATATAAATATTTATTAAGATGATTGAAATGTAAACCTTTAGAAATCAACCAACTTAGGCTAAATTTTCTTTGTTGATTAATGCCTCTAGAACTTTAACTTATTAAGAATTATTCAATCTGGCATACCCTTTTGCACTATTCGATATTAAAACTCTTAATGCAAGTCTGTATGGTTAATTTAAAGAAGTATTCGTCACTAAAGCATAGGCAGTCACAGTAATAGAAATTAATAATATAAGGAATCATAACTAGAGGAAATCATCTCCTTAGTAGACTTTATCCCTGGAGCAACAACTTCATAGATGATGGTAGCTTTAGGTACAATAGCAATGAAAAATGCTTAAGGTGGTGTAGTTGCATTGATAGCATTTGCTACACCTGGAGCATTATTGTTAGCAATATTAGGTTTAATATATAGTAAATATCCTGATCCAAGAGATTTGAACATTTTGATATTTTTAGGAATACAAGGAATCAAATCGAGTACAGTGGCTTTAATATTATAGTTAATGATTTCTATGGCTATGCATTCAATAAAAAATAGAGTGCATTTTAGTTTATCAGTTTTAAGTGCAGTTCTACTAGTAGCATATCAATAATCTTATGTGTTAATATTAACCATGATGATGGGTGGAATCTTGGCTATAATGTTGGAATATGATGCAGAAAATACTATAGGTCGAAGAACTTTTATAAAAGATCAAACTGTAACTCCAGCTATTGTTAATGATCCAAATTTAATTAATATCAAAAATAGTCATAAAATTAGTTTATTATTGGGAAATAAATCCTTATATTTATATACTATCATCCTAATTGCATTATTATATCTAAATTCATCATATTAATCAATGATTTTAGATATATCCTTATCCTTTTATAATATAGGAACTTTTATGATAGGAGGTACTCCAATAACATTACCATTTATGTATGCTGAAACTGTACTAAATCCTTTATATATAAATGAAGATGCATTTTGGTTGGGATTTGGACTGGCAGCTGCATTACCTGGTCCATATTTGAATTTCGCTATATTTTTGGGTACTCACAGCATGGGCATTTCTGGAGGAGTTTGTTGTTGGATAGCCATTTTTGTACCTTCAATTCTATAAATCTGGGGATTGCTACCTCATTGGGGCAATTTCAAAACTAACGTATATATGACGAAATTTAAATAAGGAGTAGTCAGTGTGGCCATAGGATTTTTAGCCACAGCTGTATATTATTCTTGGGTAGATGCCTGTAAATATGATATGCCAACGGCTACTGTGATAACATTTTTAAGTTTAATATATGTGAGTCTTTTGAATTTTAACAGTCCAGCAGTTATATCTTTGGGAGCAGCTTTATTCATTATTCGTTATTTAGCCTTATGGTATTATAGAGAATTAGATCCGGTGATATTTAAATAATGATTTTATTTATTAAAATTTATATCATCATTATAATTGTTTCCATTTCTTATCATAAACATCTAATTCATCTATTGAAATGTTATTGAATAATAACACATTTTCCTTAGACTCAATGATTCTTTTATTGTTTTCCATTTATATAACAAAATATTGTAACTCATTATTTTTGTTTAAAATTTTACCAATAACATCACAAGTATATAATTATTTCGATCCATCTCTACATCTCAAAAACACTAAATGTTAATTGAAAATAGAATCTTTCTCATTAATTAAATTTAAATTATTATCTAGTTATAATAATCTTTTATTATTATCTAATAATTCTTTGATAGAGTTTGCAGAAATTTGCAATTCTTAAGTTAATTTAAATTATTTTGTTAATGAATATTGTATATTGCGAATATTCCCAAAACTGCTAAACTTTAGTCTTAAAATTAAAGTTTCTAAATATATTATTATATATACATGTTCGTAACTATGACAAGAACGAACCTGCATTGTCTAGTAAATATAATCTATTATTATGGTCAATTAACAGCATATCATATGAATTATACTTTTAATAATGATTTATTAATAAACCATTAAAATAAGTTGTTAAATCTATATTTTATTCATAATTTTAATCAGATATCAATACTTTTAAAAATTTAACATCACTATTTTCTAATTATTATCTTCTTAATTATTTATGATTAATCTTTTCATTTGGAATAAATAAATTTAATATTTCTAATTATTTATTTTTATCTTAAGTTAATTTCAGTAAGATATCAATCAAATATATTTTTTAATTTCCTTTTAATAAAAACTTTTGATATAATTCATCTAAATTATATGATGCTTGATCCAATTTAAAATATTATTACATTAATTATTTGAATTGTATCAAATTTAATATATTACCAATCTTAAATGTATCTGGATGTGTTAAGAAATTGTGTTAAACTTTAAATTATTATGCAAGATCATTAAAATTATTGATAGCTGTATCCTTGCTAATCATTCTTTCATATTACAATCCTTCTCCTATTAATAAAATTGAATATTCTAATTCAGATATTTAATAGTGTCTTTACATATCATAATTATCATTTAAAATTAATGAATTCTTATAAATTGTATTTATTTATAAGTAACCTATATCAATTTAACCTATAAAATTATCATTTATCTAAATTTCCAAAATTAATGAAAGGAATGGCAATTCAAAATATAATCCATCTTATTCACTTCTTTTTTAATTCTAAATTGTAACTATATTTTATTCATTAAAATTTATTTAATATAAGTACATAGAATGTATTAAAATATGAATACTTTCAATTTTTTATTTGAATAGATATTTTTATTGTGATCTTAATATGTTTTCTGATTACTATTCTTGAATCTCATAAATAGAACCTTCATGTTCTTCAGGAACATCAATTATAAAACTTTATTAATTATTTTATTATTATTCAATCTGATCATTACATATTTATTCTAAAGGATTACCATTTTATGTTAAAATTTCAATAATTTATTCATCAGATTCTAAATATATAAATTCCTGTTGAATATAAGAATTATAACATGCCATAATCAATTTTTCAGGATCACATAATAGTTTACCATAAATATTTAACCCTGTCATAAATTCTTCTTTGGTTCTATATTTATTCTAATCCACTTCATTTAGAATTCCACCAATTACACTAGCTATTACTCTATCATAATCTCCATTTACATAACCAATTCCAATTATATAATCAAATACTCTTAACCATATATCAAAATAAAAGAAATCACTAAATAAATTATTCAAATGAATTCTAAACCATTCAAAATCTAATTTCTCACATTTAATTTTTGGAATCATAAATTTATAATCTAAACTTAAAATTATTTTCAAAACATAATCATCACAATCTTCTCTTTAATTAAACAGTTAAAATAATCTAATAGTCAAAATCATTTTATTTTTCTTATGATTACTCAATTCAAAACAATTCAATAGATATGCAATTCTATCTTTCCATAGTTATAACTTTTTAATATATTAATCTGTCCAAACAGTTATTTATTTAAATTATAAACTATCTATATAATTTTATACTTTCTCATTATTAAATTATATTGTATCTTAATCTAAATACTAATTTACTTCATTCTAAATAAGATTTAAGACACTTTCATTTTAAATCCACTCTAATCCAATATCTTAAGTAAATTTTGCTATTTTTCTATTAAATTATAAGAAAATAGGAATTAATTCATTTCGAGATTATTTAGTAAAACCTTTCCTACAAGCTTCAATTATTTTATTTTTCACAAAACATTATTTATTTTGAATTGGATTTAATTACAAATATTCAGCTAATTCTATAAATTTACTTTTTTATTCTTCAATCCCTTTTTCTTCTAAAATAAACTCTTAAATTTCAATCAAATCATCCTCTGATTATTTACTATTAACCCATATCTATCCTCTAACTTGAAGAGCAAATTCTAAAGAATCAATTTTGAAGGAATCCCATTATTATTACAAACTATTACAAGGAGATTTTAATTATCTTGCAAAATACTTCATCTCTTAAACTGTAAAAGGTATTTCTATAATATCTAAATAAAATGGATTAACAGTAGAATTTGAAATCTAAAAAGGACTGTCTTCATGGATATCTATTTGTATCATAGGAACATTTTGTAATTAATTTCCTATAACTTTTTATTATAAATTGGCTGACATCTCTAAACTAGCAAAATGTCTTCTATTATTGTTTAAGTTTTTCTCAAAGTCTCTTAAGTAAATTCTGCATTACATAACCTTCTTTGCAATAGAGAGAAATGCCAAAATATTATTTTATTCTTCTTAAGCTCTGGCCAACATTTTCTCATTTACTTCTTAATAATCATTATAAATCACTATATCTAAAGCATCCTAAATCTAAAATCCAGATAAAATCACTTCAAGATCAGTTGTCCATCCCTTCATATCTAATTACATAAAATTAATCTCTTGACCTCTATTAAATTCCATTTTACCTAGATTATTCGATTCTAAACTCTTAAATTGAATATATAATATTGGATTAAACAATTTAATATGTTAATCTATAATAAGTTTAAATTTTGTAAGATGTAGATCTTTATGTTAAGGTAAATTTTATTTTTAAGACTACTGTTATATTTAAGACTACTATATTTAAGAGATTCTTTACTATTCATTTTCAATAGCTTCAATCTCTGTTTACAATTTTCTTTCCTCATCTTCCAACTCTCTTTATTAATATTCTTCTAAATCTTCTTTCTCTCTTAATGTATCTAATGCAATTGATTTCCAAATTTTAAGTAATCCCCTAATTGCCTAAAGCTCTTTATTTTTAATAAAGTTCTCTTACTATTACAAAATCTCAACTTTTTATTGCTAAATAGTTTGTTTTTTATTCTTTTCCTCATATTCAGCCTTATTATATAAAATTTTAAACATTTATTCATAAATTGTCTTATCATAATCTAATAATTCATCATAATCTAATAAAAATTCATTTTATTCTTTAAGTTAATAATATTGAATTTATTATGCTTCAATATGCATTTTTTCAATTGAGCCTTAAATTATCTTCTAACTTGATTCATGAAACCAAACTTAATATAATCTGATAAGAATATCATTAAAATGATTGAGTTTCAATTAATTTTTGAACTTCAAAAATTCAGCAAATCTCATTCCTGTTTCAATATTTTCAAAATAAACAGCAGTTGGTTTTAAAAATTGTAAATATTATGTCTTATTCTATCCATTAGAAGAACGATCAAATAATACTCTTACATTCTTATTCTTATTAGTTGTCCAACTAAAAAAAGTCTTTTGATTTTCTGGTAGCTTTTCAAACTCTTACTAATTTATTAGACAGCAATACTTTAGTAATCAAAAGGAAACCAATTGGATAATTTATTTACTTTGAATTTTTAATTTGCACCATATGTGTTTCCTCAAGTCTAACTAATCTAGATAATATTTTCCCATTTTATTTTGGTTGTTTTTCCATCTCAATTTATTAACCTGTTAGAAATTTTCTAGTATTTTTATCATGAGTTTAATAAAAACTCTTTGTAAATATTTAAGATTGTTTCATAATATTAAATATATAACTAAGTTAATAAAAATATACATTTTTTTCAAAGTAAGAATATATATAGAATTATTTGTAATATATTATTAATATGTGAATCTTAACTCATTCAAGATAAGCAACATAGGATTCATTTTAGACACCACAGGGGTTACCTTAAGCTGGTAATCTAATATATCCTTTTTCTCCCCATCCAGTTCCCCATGAATTCTTGATAATCCAAACTCCATCTTCTTAGAAACCAGTAGCCAAAACAGCATGATTTAATGATTTTAATGTGCATTTATCAAAAACACCAGTTTTATAATATTACCATGAACTGGCATCAACAGCAACAGTAATTGGTTAATAAGATAAAGCAGTGTACATGTTACTTGCAGATACAACTTAATATCCTGATGGTTTATATTATCCAGTTGAAATTTGACATTTTTATTATTTACCAACATATGGATATTTGTCACTTGTTGTAAGACCATTCTTTTTAGCCCAAGAGATACCCAAATTTTCAAAACCACCATTACATCCATTGTTTGTACCTCTATCACAATCAACTAATTATTATTCTGATAACCATGTGTTTGATGGAAGAACTCCCTTAAGAGTCAAAAGTGTTTCAACTGCACCTACAGCAGAAAAAGCCCAGCATGAACCACAATTACCTTAATCCTTAACTTTGGTAATATTTGACCAATCAGCTGATGCACCTACAGGTCCTTATGGAACATATAATTCAGCATTAAGATTCATGTTTGATTAATTTCTTGTTAAATATAAAGCAGCGAATTCTTCAGGTGTTAAATCAGTGAATTAATTTTCTCCGAATTTGGCAGTGCTACTTAAGTCAGCATTTTAGATTTAGATTTATTTCATAGCATCTTCATAAACCTTTGATCTATATGCTTTCTCAGCTGGTGAATAGATTTTGCCATATTTTGTTGTGTAATTTTCAAATTACAATCTTTAATCAACAGATTCTGTTTGGCTTAGTTAATGGATTCCAACTGTTAATAATGTAATAGCTGCAAATGCTAGTAATTTGTTCATTATTATTAATAATCCTTTCTCTCTTAATTGGCTTTTATAATTGCAGTGGTGACATCATCGTTAAATTATAATTACAATCTTGTAATTAATCATTTTTAATAAAATAATACTATATTATAATTATATGTTATTTTTTTCTTATTTTCAAACAGAATTATAATTATTTAATCTAATTAGAGAATTTACAATGCTTTTAAATTTACATCTCTATATATATAGATAATTTTAAATTTTATATTAAAAAAGTGATAGAAGTTTGGAATAAATTATTTAATCTTATAAAATTAGTGGTAATAGATTATAATAAATTTGGATGGACTTCATATAAATATATATTAAATAAAAACAATTTATATTCTGATTTATAATTTAATTATTTATTTTGTTAATATTATATATATTATTATTATTATATTCCTTAGTTTAGAATTTTATGAACAAACCAGCTAAGTTTGTTGCCATCCTTTATGATATCTTGGAAGTAAGATACAATTCATCTATATAAAACTAGTAAGATAATTTTAAGACCACTATTCGTTGGACAAAGGATGGAAAAGGATTTTATATTTTAAGAATTCCCGAATTTTAAAGCACCATTATGGAAGAATTTTTTAATACATAGAATTTTTAATCATTTTTAAGACAACTAAGTTTATATGGATTTAAGATGAAAAAAAATGAAAAAAATTAGAAAATCTATAATCATCCTTTATTTTTTTAAGGAAACTAGTATTAATAATGGCTATTTTAGTTAAGAACTTTACAAAATTTAAAGAAGAAAAAAAGCAAAAGATATTCAAGAACAATATTTTGATAGTGTTTCACCTCAGATATCAATTAATAATATGAGACATCAATTAGAAACGTTGAGAAAATAATAATAATAATTACTTATGCAAATGAGAATTCAATTTTAAATTTAATTTCTAATAGCTAAAAAAATTAATGCAATGGTTGATGTATAAGTTTATATTTAATATATATAGCATTTTAATGAGAATTACACAAATGAACAAAGAAAATAAATATATGAAAAACCTATGCATTTATTATTTCAATTAATTTTTGGACATAAACCAGAATTTGCTAGTAATTTAATGGAACCATTATATGAAGATCTAATTGGATAATTATCACCATTTTCAGAATTTCCTTGTTCTCCTATTTAATTTGCAAAATTTTTATGACTTTTAATTTAATTGGTTGTTAAAATTATATTGTTAAATTTAGACAGTATTCTTTTATTGTTATAATTGAAAATAATGAGAAGTTTAGATAATATTATTTTATAATTATAAAAATTATAATAAAAAGTGTTGTGTTTATACATTTACTAAATTTCAAAATTAAATTTTTATGTTTTCCCTCTAAATATTATTTTAATTATTCTTAAATTAATAATATAAAATGGAAGAACTTGTTCAATAAATGATTGCAATATCAGGAGGTTAATTAAATGAAGAGAAAGCTAAATAATATTTAAAATATGGCAAAAATGATTTAGAATTAGCATTAAATTATTATTATCAAGCTGAAGAGCGAAAGAAGCGATAATAACCAACATTGGCTTGTACTAAATTAATGGAAGGAGCTAAAAAATAATAATAGTTAGAAAAGATTTTAAAAGACTTAAATCAAGAATATAAAAAACCAATTGAAGAATGCTTAGATTAATAGATAGTTTTAAGTAAACCCTCTGGAAATTTAGATTTTTAATAAACAAATGATATTGAAGAGATTGCTATTCAATATGCATAAGAAAAAAGATAAGCTAAATTTAGATAGAGTTCAGAAATGATAAAATAATAAATAAATGAGGAAGATCATAAAAACACATAATTACAGAATCAATAATAAAAAATAAAAAAAAAATAGAATAAGATTAGGGAATAGAAAGATTAAATATTAGAAGAAGGGGAAAGTAAAAAAAATGATGATTAAGAAATTAAATAAAAAAAAAACTAAAATTCTGGGTTAAAACTGAATTCAGGAGAAACAACTATTATTCGTGGCATTACATTTCCACTATTTATAGGAAGTGCAAAAATTAAAGGTTATGCATTGGGAAGTCAAAATTTGAAGGATGTATAATAATAATGTGTTGAAATTATTTTGGATGGGACTTGTAAAGTAGTTGACAGAGGAAAAAAGTCAAATAAAGTTGTAAAAGGATAGAATATAATTAGGATATGTTATGATGAACGTGAAGTAAGTTTATGCAATCATATTAGATAGGTCGATTGAATTCAGAATATGAGGATTTATTTAGTCCATTGTTATAAGAGAATTATATAAAAATAATTGCATATCATGTTTAATCCTAAATATTATGTAAGACTCATGATACAATATTATTATAAATTGATGTATTTTTAAATGAGAAAGCATTATCTGATGGAACAAGTGATTAATTTGATGATACTGTACAAGAATTTGTTAAATATAGTGATAATTTTTAAAAATTATATGATTTAGTAAATTGTAAATTGATAACTTCAACAAAAGTGGATGTTATTGATAAGAAAAAAATAGAAAATAATAATTTAGAAATAAAAGAAAATAGTAATAATAATACTTTAAGTAAATCAGCAGTAACTTATTAAGAAGATCCTTTTAAATAGAAACCAAAATAATTATCTTTAAATGATTTTAAATTAAAAAATAATGTTTAAGATTAAAATTAAAGTTAATTGATGAAAGTAGAAATAGATAAAGATAAGCAATAAAATGAAATGAATGAAGAAATAGATTGTGATTAATTTTTAGGTTTTAATAATTGTACTCATCATGATTTAGAAATGCATGATGGACCAAAATAATTAGGTTCTAAATTATTTGATTATTAAAAATAAGCATTAACATGGTTATTATAAAGAGAAGGAGTAATTAAAGCAGAGGATGAAAGTTCATCTAATGCTTTACATCCTTTATGGAAAGAATATTAAACAAGTTAAGGTGTAAAAATATATTTCAATCCATTTTCAGGATTATCTTCTTTGGATTTTCCATCTTCATCTAGAAGATGTAATGGTGGAATTTTAGCAGATGAAATGGGATTAGGTAAAACTGTAATGTTAATTTCTTTGATTTTGGCTAATCCATTTAAAATACCTTAAGATTACTATCATAAGAGTAGTAGAAAGAATTAGAATTATAGTGGGAAGAAATTAATTGGAGATTATGTAGGATATAAAAAGAAGAAGTGGGCTAGAACATTAATTATAGTTCCAGTTAGTTTATTATAATAATGGCAAGATGAATTGAATTATCATTGTAGTTAACATTTAAGAATATTTCAATATACTGGAGCTGAAAGAAATCAATCAGATTTATGTTAATATGATGTTGTTGTTAGTTCATATCATACAGTTAGTGTTGAATTTAAGAAACCTTCAAAAGATCCTTATTCAATTTATAATTATAATTGGTTTAGAGTGATACTTGATGAAGCTCATTACATAAAAGGAAGAACAACTTTACTTGCTTAAGGTGCATATGAATTAGATTGTTATTATAGATGGTGTTCAACTGGAACACCTATTTAAAATAATCTAAATGATATTTTTAGTTTAATACATTTTATTAAATTAGAACCATGGTCTGATTATTTATGGTGGAATGCTTATATTAATAAACCTCATGAGGAAGGGAAAGATAATATATTTCCCTTATTAAATTCAATTCTTAGACCAATTCTTTTAAGGAGAACAAAAAAGAGTAAAGATCAAAATGGGAAACCAATAATCAGTTTACCAAATAAAGAAATTCATTTTGAAAGTATAGAATTAAGAAAAGATGAGAGAATGGTTTATGATAAGATGGAGAAGAAATCTTAAGATGAGGTAGAAGGTTATTTAGCTAAAGGAATTTTAATGTCTCAATATATGAAAGTTTTTGAATTATTAATTAGACTTAGATAAATTTGTGATCATCCTTTACTTATTACATCTAGAAGTGATGTCAAAAATATTGATTAATTAGAAGAGTAAATAGATAAATTTCTTTCTAATTAAGCTTTAGATAGAGAAGATTAAGAGGAATTATTAATGAATGATTAATAAGTTTAAATCTGTTAAGATAAATAATAATATAAATAAGAAGTTTTAAGAAGAGTTAAAGAAAATGATATACCACCATGTCCTGTATGTTTGGAATAAGTTGAAGATACAATTGTTACAATTTGTTTGCATTTTCTTTGTAGATTATGTTTATATGGTATTTTGGCTAATTCTAGTGAATGTCCATATTGCAGATAATATTTAACAAAATAAGATACTATGACATTGCCAAGAGAGAGTTCATTTAGTTTAAATTGGAAAGAAAACTATAAAAGATCAAGTAAAATAGAAAAAGTCATGTAAATATTATAAGCAATTCCAAAAAATGAGAAATGTGTAATATTTACATAATTTATTGGGATGATACAAATGATAGAATTTGATCTTGATAATTAGAAAATTAAACATTTAGTAAAAATATAGATTTATATATTTAGAGATTAGATGGAAGTATGCCATAATAAGAGAGAGCTGAAGTATTAAGAACTTTTAAAGAGTCTGATGAATATAGAATATTTATTATATCACTAAAAGCTGGTGGTGTAGGATTAAATTTAACAGCTGCCAATCATGTTATTATGATAGATCCTTGGTGGTAAATTTATTAATAAATAATGAAGGAATCCTGCTGTAGAAGAATAAGCTATAGAAAGAGTTTATAGAATAGGATAGACAAAAGAAACACATGTTTATAGATTAATTTGTAAATAGACAGTAGAAGAAAGAATGATAAAGTTACATGATATTAAGAAATAATTATTTGAATCAAGTATTAGAACAGAAGAGAGAAGCAATCTTAGAATGGAAATGTTTAAAAATATTATTTTAGGATCTTGAAGTATTTCTTTTTTTATCAATATTTAAAGTATTTATACTTTTTGAATAAATATTATTTTATAAAGAATTAGATATATATTACAAATAAAGTAGTTAAAATTTCTAATTTCGGTTTATTTGCTTAAATAATATTAAAATATTTATCATTCCTGAATAAATTAGATCTCCTATTCAATTGCATTTTAATAGCTCTATTCTAAGAATATTAAAGATAGATAGAAAGGGAAATAAAATAAAAACATTAAAATACTTTTAATAGATTTAATCATTATTGTTCTAATTATGTTTATAATTATAGAACTAACAATTACTACTACATTTTCTTTATTTATAAATACTTATTTAGTGCTTCATAATTATTTTGTAATCAATACTATACTTTTATCTATTTATAACTAATACAATAATTGAGATTGATAGAATGCTTATATTATGATTATTTTTAATGGAATATTTGTTTCTATTAATACATTATAGAATTATTATTATTTGTATTAATAAAAGAGTTGGCTCAATTAATTTAAATTCAGCACAATAAAAAAAAGAGCAAATTAATATTATTAATCAGAAATGATGAATGAATCCTTTTATAGGATGTGTTTTTAAACCTTGCGCTCTCTAGGCGAACTTAAACTTGTTAATGAGGAAGAGAAACTTTTTCTAAAAGATCTAATAGTTAGAAATGAATTTAAAATACCTTCTACAATGAGTGCAGAATAACTCTCATTCTTTTTTTTATAATTAATTAAAAAATACAGAAGATAGTTGTCTATCAAACAAAACTAACTTCTTATAATTGATGAAGAGACAGATGAAGAATTATTTTGAGAGTACTATTTAAAAATATTTTCAGTGAGATTTGTGTATATATTTTCTCCAAATTCATATATTAACCAATTAATACATATATATAATATAAGAAATGCTTCTAGAATTCTTGCCATATATAATTTTTGTTTCACCAACATAGCTTATATTACGCATCTTAATATAAATAACATAAAATTAATACGCATTATTTTATTACTAATATATATCCAAAAATTCAATTAAATTTCCAAAAATAAACTAAAAATAAAATCCCCTTTTAACTTAATTTGATATAATTTAAAATTATATATTATATAAAAAATCAATTTTCTTAAATGACGCAAACCTATTTCTAAAATGCTCTCAAATATGTGCAAACACTCTATGAATAAAAGTATATTGCTAAAGAGGAAAAATCAATACTAAAAATGATAATTATGCGTCAAGATGTTAATGACAAGTTAGTAGACAAACGAGATGCTATAACTTAAGTCTCTCAGAAATTAAAAACACTCAGAAGAATTAAGAGATTACATCTCTAAACTTCAAGCAGTTTAAATTAAATAACTGAAAAAAGCATCGAAATCGATTCTTGAATAGAACCATCTTCTAATGATTTTAATTTGTTATTATTTATTCGTATTTAATACTTAAACTTATTCATATTTTACTGATCCAATATAAATACACCATTATTATTTACACAATATAATACTATAATATAATCATTATATAAATTATATACATCTATTATTAAAGATATATTATATTAATAATTTAATTCATATATTATATTAATAAAAATCTTCTTAAATTTCATATTTTTATTCTTAAACTATTCTCTTATTCTTTATTAAATTTATATAATGAAGTTATTTATTAATATTGAAAAATAATCAAATGAACAATTTGCTTATGTAAATAATTATAAAATGTAATCTAGTCCGTTAAAAAAAAAGTTCAATCTCACTCTAAATACGTCAAGAGGAACTCGGGCTTCATTTTAAGAGTCTTGTACTTCCAAGTCTCCTTTTAAATGTAATACTGATTAGATAATAAAATGTAATCAACTTGAATAGGAATTACATAGATCAAATTAGCAAAGAAAATTGTTAGAATTAGAATTAGATGATTTAAATAATCAATATATGAGGAAATCAACTGCATTACATGAATGTGAAATGGAAAACCTTTTATTAAAGTAATAAATTTAAGCAATTAGATAATAGTAAGAAATATAAAAATTATCATACACTTACAAGTAATTATTTATTAAAAGCAGATAGAAAAACTAGAACTTTTTAGAATAGTATCAAAAATACAGATGTATGGAAAAAAAATTGGAATATGAAAATAGTTTAGAATATTAAATAAGACAATTATAAGAATAAAATGAATCAATGAAATAGTAGCTTTTAGAAATGAAATTACAATATAAAATAATATAAGATAATTAATAGGAAATAAAAGAGGAAAGGAATTCATTTTATTAAAAATTGGTTGAAACTTAAACAAAAAGTGTATCAAAAGATGATAAAATAAAATAATTAGAAAATGATAATAATGTATTGTAAAATCAATTAAATGAGAGTAACAAAAAGTTATAAGATTAAATCATATAATTAAATAAAGTTTAAGAGAAAAAAGAAAAATGGAAAATTCGATATAAAAATTATAAGAATTAAATAGAGTATTAATAAGTAAATAGCAGAAAATCAAGTGATTCTTAATAAGTATAATAAATAATGAATATTGGTTCTGATTAAAATAATCTGATTGAAGAATTGAATGAATTAAAAGATAAATTACAATAATTAGAAGTTGAAAATTAATATTTGCGTGAATAAAATATAGAAATGTAAACCTAAGTTTAGCTAACTACTGATAAGTTACTTAAATAACAATTATAAAATTCATTATCTAAAGAACAAAGCTAAGCATTTTCATTCTAACACTATAATTAAGATTATTATTAATCTAATTAGGAATAAATGGAACATGAATGATAATATAAGATTTTATATTCATATAATATATGAATTTAAATTATTTTTTAATTACATAAATCCTATATGAAGAGATATATTATAAATATAATTACTTTAATTGATATAAGGTTGTAATTGATAAAATAAATGTTATTTTACATAATTTAAATCAGTTAATAAATTTGAATATTAAAAATGAATTTGAGGGATGGACAAACAGAAAAGATTGAAAAAGACTTTTCACGATTGTTAGAGAGATATAATCGTTCAAAACAAGTCATTGATTAATTGTATTAATCAGGCGGGAAGAATGATACTACAATACGTTCTGAGAAAAATTATAAAGAGGAAAAGGAATACGTATCAAGAGATAAGTATAACAAAATGAGAAGTTTAAATAAAGAGCTTAAAGTATAAATTAATAATAAAAAAAGATAACTCTAAAAGAATATATTGATCAAACAAAAGAACTGGAATCAACAATTAGAGGGAAAGATGAACTTATTGAAAAGTATGAGAAGGAACTAAGAGAATAATAGGAGAATTTGTATAATCAATTACAAGAATAAAAAGAATAGATTTTGAAAGAAGATTAATAAGCACGATCTAATGAAGAACTAAGAGCTTAATTATCTTAGGCTAAATAGAAATTGATTAAAAAGAAAGCAAAAATTCAATTATTAAAAGACTCTCAAAAAACAAATGATGTATAATAAAATTAATATTGTATTTAGAGTAAGTTTGAAGATTAGAAATAAGGATTTTAATAAGAATTAGATAGAGTGTAAAAATTGTGTGAAGACTTCTCAAATGAAATGTAAGATTAATTGATTAATGGTTAATTAGTAAAGATTCAGAAAAGAGACTCATTTGTTTAAGTGATGATAATGAGCATTATAAATAATTACTAGATTAGAAAGAGGAAGATAGAAGATATTTAGAGATGATGATTTAAGAAGAGAGAGAGAATACAAATAAAATTAGGTCTAAAATTTAAGAATTTATAGATGAGAAAAAGATTTTGTAAATAACAATTGAAAATTAAGGGAAGAGAGTTTAAGATTTAGAAGAACAATTAAAATAAGCTGATATAAGATATTAAATGTTGTAAGGTAAATTAGATTAAGAGAAATAAGGATTAATAAATGAATTATAAGAAACTTTATAGAAAAGGAAATAAAAAACTAAATAAATGCAATCTTAAATCTAATAATTAGAATAAAAATTATAAGAAAAAGTAAAAGAAGATATTTTAGTTAATAAATAAATTTAAGATTTATAAGGAGAATAAATGAAGTTGCAATCATTATTTGAGGATTAAAAATAAAAAACAGATTAAGCACACAATGAAGTTTAATTTAAAGTTCAAGAAGTAAGAGATCTTAAAGGAGAAATAGAGAAATATAGATAGACTATATAAATTTAGGATGAAAAATTATCAAAATATGATGTTCAATATTAGATTGATTAGAAAGAAAAATAAAGATTACATCATGAAATTGAGATTTGTGGATAAGAAAATAGAAAATTATAACATTTAATATATGAATAAGATAGAGAAATTGATTACATGAGATAATCATAAGAATAAGTATTATAAGATTTTATACAATTATAATAGGAGATCTTACATATTGAGAAGAAGGTTGATTCTTTAGTTACAGAAGTACATGTTGCTAGAGATGAGGCAAATGAATGGAAGAGAAATGCTAATGATTTGAAAAGATAGTTATAATAATAAGAAGAACATACTAATTAATTTAAAGCTAAGTATTTGAAGAGTAAATAGAATTCAAAAAATTTAGAGAATGAATAAAGATTTGTAATTTAAATAAATAATAATTTGTAGCTAGAAGAAAAAGTGAAATCATTAGAAAATGAAAAATTATATGGAGAAAGAGAAGCCTTGAAAAATACTGTAGTTTAATAAAAATATGTTTAATAAAGTAAAATTAAAGTACTTGATGAAATCTAGAATATGATCAAGTAACATAAATATAGAGAATGATTTTTTTATATATTTAATATTAATGAGGACAGCAAAAGAAGGAGAATATCCATATTATCATCATTTAAAAAATACTATTGATGATAAAACTCAAAAGCTTTTTGATAAAGATGTCTTAAATGAATAAGAAAGAAATACAGCTGCTGATCTTTACATTGAATACAATAAAAATATAGCAGATGTTAATTAGTTTTTATTGCTTGAATATTCAGTATTACAAAATAAAGTATATATTTAATATCATTATTAGATCAACAAATGTCTTAGAAATCGTTGTTATGATGATATATTTAAGGATAGATAATCAATAAGATTTTGTGTAATTGAATGCACATAAGGTTTGAAAGATGCCGATAAGTTTGTTTAGAATTAATTTTAGTTATTGAAAGATGATTTCTAAGATTGTATGGAAAAGACTAATACAGGATAATGGATGATTTCAGGTGTATTCAAATGTTATCATAATTTGAATGAAAAGTTTTCATAATTAAAATTAAACATTAGAGAGGAATTTAATTATTATTAATGAATTATAATTGTAGATAATTATTCATTGGCATAAACTATATAAATTTGTACAGAATTCTTCAATTGTACATTATTCTTTATGTTAAAATTAGATATATCCTTATTATTGATCTATTTATGCTTGTAATCTCTCACTAATAATCATGTTCTCTAAAAGTTCATAGGCTTAATCCTCCTTTAATTTACAATATTGACCCAATTTCTAAATAGAGATATTACTATAAAATCGACTTATAGCTGTAATGATATGTTCACAAAATAAACTTGGATTTATTTTAGTTTCCCTTGCAAAGTTTTCAATATCATTCCACTTTAATAAATCTTATTGTACACTATAATCAATAAGATATAATCAAAATACTTTGATCTTATGAATGGAAGCCATTTTGACTTTTAACATCGACTATCCCTATATATTGTAATAAGAAGTGCTTATCTCTTTGCAGAAGCAGGAGCAGCCAATCCATTAATGATAGCTCTTTAAAAGTATTCTGGATTCCTTTAACTCAGATTATAGAAGATGGAAGCAGCCTATAATCTTTTTTGATCATGTTCATATATGATAGCCTATGCAATATCACATTTTTATTTTTCTTCTGGGTTTAATTTGCCTCGACCTTTTTCTAAATTCTAACTTAAAATCTATCTTGCTTCTTAATAAGACTCCTCAATTTACATATGTAAAAAAAAATAAATAATGAATCAATATTTTAGTTTATTACCTTCCCAAAAACCAATATATGTTTATCCATATTTTTAAGTGTAAGTACCTCTTCCTTCCATATAATCTTTTTGAAATCCACCAATATAAAAATCACCATTAGAGAATATAATACTTCCAATTCCATGTTTTCTAATACTAATAAGGAAAATACTTATTTAAATAGAAATCACCTTCATATTTTACCCAATTATTAAAAATACCAGGAAATTCATTAATATTAAGGAAAGCATCCATTATATCAGGATTATTATTGTATTGTACTCCAAAACCATGAAATTAACCATTTAAAAATTAACCATCATATTCAATTGTAGAATCAGAATAATAAAGAACACCTTAACCATGCATTTATTCATTCATAATTTCTCCCTCATAGTATCTTCCATCAACAAATGATATTTTATCTTATTTAATTCTACTATTATAAGGGGATGATTATTGATTTTGTATTATAGTTTAAGGTTGTTCTAGCTATTATTGCTTAGATGTCTATATCAATTATTCATTATTTGATTATAAAGAATTACCATAATTTGGTAAACTATTATTTCCAGGTATCAATTAAGAATTTATAAATAATTATTCAGGATATAGTGGAATGTTCATTAATCTTTAAGTTTCTACAGGAGATTTATAAGGATTTCCTTAGATTTTAGATTAGCTATTTATATGTTAAGGCATTTTTAAGAGTAAGTTAGTGCTATCAGTTATCTTACATTATTAAGCCTCTTTCAATCTATAATGGATATCTTAATAATTGTATCTTTGATTTGGATCCAATTATAGCATATTAGATATAATATCTGCTAAAGTGGTAGGATATATTTTGTAGAATTCAGCAATTCTAGTTATCATTTTTTATTAATCTATAGTATTATTTTAATAAATAGAGTCACAAGATTTGGCTATACTTATTTAAATTAATTAAATACCTAATGCAACATGAAGAAGGAGCATACCAAAGGTGAAAATGGTTGCTTTTTCAAGTGAATATTTAAGTAATGGATTTAATTTGAGTTCTTCTGGTGCTGGATATAAATGAGGTATTTGTTTTCCCCAAAAATCGATAGGTCGATAGGTATTATCAAAACTTCTCAATTTCCAGACATCATTTTCACCTTGCCATAAATTATTGAATCCTATATATTGTTTTTTATCAAGATTTAATTATGCAAATACTACACAATCTATCAAATGATACAGCTCTTTTGATGAGTAATCTTATTGTCCTCTATTTTGTAGGTATTCTCCAAAACTTTAGATTGGATGTTCAACAAGTATTTGAAGTTCATAGAAAGTAGAACAAAATTCATCATGAGACACTGTATTTTATTTAACAATTTAAAGCAAAGTTTAACATGATTTAATTGGAATCAGTTCTTATACTGCCTTTTTGAAAGAGTCTTCATCATGATACTTAAATGTCCAAAATTCTAATTTTTGCATTGTAGTTTTATTCTGAAATAATACGTAAGTAGATTATTTGTCTATTATGTCGAATTATTTAAGGGTTTCTTCAAAAAGTTGAGATTGAGTTTGTTTTGGTTATGGAATTCCCATAAAAAATTAAAATAAAAATAGAAATGAGCTAAAAGGGCGCAAAGGGTATTAAATTGAGTAGTAGTATTGAAGAGGAGAAAAAGAGCGACTCAATATCTAAATAGATAAAAAAATAGAGGAAAAAAAATAATAATGTGGGAATAGTGGAGAATAAAAAAAAAGTGAAAACTCAAGTAGTTAAAAGATAGGATGCATGGAAACACTTAGAAACAGTTGTAGATTTGTTAATTGAAAGTGATCCAAAGAATATTTTGGATAGTTAAGAATTGAGTGGTTTAATTGAAGAGTTTGAGAATAGTGAAAGTAATCCAAAGGACTCATATAAAGAATGGTTTGATAAAGAATATGAATATTAATATGAGGAGACAACGCAATTAATGAAGGTATAATACAGTAAAAGTATAGCCTATCAATTTCAAGAGTAATTTGTGTTATTTGCATGAATTCAGAAAAAGAGTAGAATACCGATAGTATTGGGATATTTAAGAAATAATAAAGGATTTGCATAAATTATTTGGCAACATTTACATGAAATGCAAAAATAAATAATCCTACTATTATTTGTCCAAAGTTTGGGATGATGCTAAACCAAAGATAAGAACAGTGATATAAGAATTCTCTGAATTAATTAAAGAAGAAGTATATAATATACTTTAGATGAATACTGAATTTAAAGTGTCTTCCACAATATGGCCTGTTGTGCCTGAGAGAAAAGAAATACGAACCTACATAGAAATTCAAGATTATGAACCAAATCCTAATGAAGAGCCACATATTTCTTAAATTAAAGAGAAGTTATCAAGCAAGAAAATTCCAGTTAAATGTAAAAGTGATTGTGTTTGTTTTGATTTGAGTAGAATGGGAACATTCAATTATTCAGATATTAAATGGGATTCTGAATGTCCCAATAGAAGTAATAGAATTGAATGTAGAGAACATGAAGGAACTGATAAACCATGTTTAAATATGTAGATATAATTAAAATAATATTTAATTAATAGAATTAATTTTGGAGATAATGCAGATGTTGAAGTATAAATTATATTATATTAAGGAAACTTTATGTTGGGGTATTGATGTATATACTAGAAATGTAATTATAAATATATTACCATTGAACTATGTAGAAGTTTAGAAGAATTAATTTATTGAGAAATTAATATTGGCTATTAATAGACCAAATGATAAAGAGAGAGGATATGATATGGGATTAGCATGTGATTATATTATAAGAGAATCAAGAATGGTTTCAAGTTATTATAATAAAGATGATAGAAAGATGGCTAAATCAATTAAAAGAGTTATCAAACTTGATGGAGGTGGATTTCGTATACATACAAAAGGATGTGGATTAGTTTGTGTAAATAAATTTGGAATTAAAACTAATTCTCTTATTATACCATATTTGGGTGAAATCTATTAACCTTGGAGATGGTATGAAAAGCAAGATTTCATTAAAAAATAAATGAAAGAACATAATAAAAAAGATATACTCCCAGATTTTTATAATATAATGTTAGATAGACATCTTGATGATTATGATGGAATTGATATTTTATTTGTTGATCCTATTAATAAAGGCAATTTTTCATCCAGATTAAGTCATTCATGTAATCCTAATTGTGGTACAGTCACAACTGTAAGTAATGGATCTTATGTTATTGGAATGTATGCTATGCGTGATATATAATATGGAGAAGAATTAACATTTGATTATTGTTCATTTACTGAAAGTAAACAAGAATAATTGTAAGCCTTATGTTTATGTGGAAGTGAAAATTGTAAAAAGTATTTTATTCATTTTATTATTTAGATATTATTTGGGATTATCTAATCAAAGAGAATATAATGCTATTTTAGACAGGAATCATTGTTTTATTAAAAGAAATGCAATTCTTTTGAATTCTTGTCTTGATAACTACAAAATTGATTAGATTCTATTAACTAAATATAAGATTGGATCTAGTTTATTAACAGGTTGTCCATTCTGGTTAAAATGTTGGATATGTTAATCACTTGGTTTCATAGATTAAGAGTATTATATTAATATTAATAGTAGATATATAATATATAAGGCAGAATTGGATACTAAATTTATTTTTAATGAAGAAACTGAAAAATGGAATTAATTTACTGCTTAATAGCATTCTGAAGAAAGAATACAAAATTTAATATTTACTTTAGATAAAATTAAATTTTTCTTAAAATAGAGTGATACAGTTGAACCTCCATTATCTAAAATTTCTAATGAAGATCTTATAATAAATTTTTGGGGAATTAATAATGAATCTTTATTATCAAATGAACTTTATTAGCTATTTTAAAAACATGGATTAAAAAAGTTAATGGAATTAATTGTTCTAATTTAAGATAAGAGACATTTATATGAAATACAAGAATAATTATTACTAACAAGATTATTATTTTTAGTACTCTCACATTTACTTTTATAATAAAAGTAATCTTTCTAATATGAAGGATTGTCTTTGATCTTATAAATGATGGCATTCACATATACATATTTTAAACCAACTGAATATAAAGGATTTCAATCTCCTCCTATAGATGATCTAGAATGGGGGAAGGTAGGCTTAATTAAGAAGAAAGGGAAAGCTGAAGGCAAGACATATTCTTCTTTATTTGTATGGGGATAATTAGTAGGATGGTATAAGCAAACTGTAGCTAGTCCTCAACTTTCACTTTGTGTAGATAGAAGGGGCACTTTATTGTATCCTTAAATCAGTTCATTTGATATTAATGTAGAGAAATAAGTTTAATCTTAATAAGAGAAGAATAAAACAGACTTCATTTACAAATATCTTGAGAAACGATTCAATATTTCTGTTGGAGAGATGAGTTATAAAACTAATTAGAAATATTTTGGAACTATCTTTTTTGAATATGTTTATTCTTAGGAATTGGGTTCATAATTTTTAGATAGAGTTTTGGTTTATGATAAGAAAGATTTTAATATAAAATTTAAGTAGTTTCTTAAATATGAGAAATTGAAATTCAATCATTCATCAGAATAAATTTATAAATTAATAGATCATTTCAAAAATCTAGTTTAAGTTCCAAAATAAAGAAGTAATAGAAAGAAAATTGAGGATATAAAATCTGAAGAAAGATAATAAGAAGATGAACTGTTGTTTAAGAGAGAATGTCTTATAACTTAAGAAATTTGATTATTTTCTTAATATATATTTCATTGAAGTAATTATCCATTTGAATACACTCTTAATTCTGATAATTTAATATGAGTGGCATCCAAAGTTTTTGTATGTTAAGTATGTTATGAATTTTATTAAGAATGGTTAGGACTCTAAATAATTGAAGGTCTTTATATAATATATATGTATTTATTTACTTAACAAAACTCTTTTCATCATCTTGTAAATATCTATCAAGTTACTTTAATTTACTATAGTGAAAATCTTATAATTAGACTCTATGGGTGATGGATGATGTTCTAAATGAACTTAAATAAATACACATTAGTTATCTTTTTCATCAATATAAGATTCTCCATCATATTCTATTAATGTCTAAATAATTCTGATAACTTCTTTTTTGCTTAACATAATTTGACCTGTTAAGATAATGCCTTCTTTTCATTTGCTATTTCTAATAACTTAATTCTATAGTTATAGAAAACCTAAATACTTTAAACGTTGATTTTCTTCTCCAAGCTGTTATTATTCTACCTACTTACGTCTGTTAATAGATTCAGATCTCATTCTCTCAACTTTGGCCACAACACTAGATATTTACTTATTCTCGTATCCCTTGATACTGGCTAATCGTTGCTTATGTAGTGAAAATGCCCTACTATTGTAAAGACTTACATTCGTCTTGTACGAAGAGAATCATATTCTTAATAACTCATTAATTAATATTATTCTTCAATTGTTAGATCTCTAACTACTATTTGATTACCTTCTATTCTAAAATAGCAATTTCTGCTGATTATTCGAATTATGAAATGGCTGCATCCAATTTACTCCTCAGTCGTAGGAAGTCCGACTTTAGTGATGCCAAATCAATCTGTTACACATCCTTTCCATTACATTTTTCCTATCATTTCATTATAACAAATTCATACTTGATGATAAGTCATTGATTTACGATTGAATTACTTATTACAATATTAACATGTTTCTATCACATATTCACATACCTATAAATGATCGCCCTTTGCTCGTTTTAATGTTGTAACAAAACAACCTGGTGATGGACATGGAATACGTTAAAACTCACATTCTTCAACATGCTTCTAATATTTCTTGTAGTCCAGTGTCACTTTACAACCATATCGTCTATTTACACATCCTATTATCATATCCCTGTAACTCTGATAAATAGCATTATTAGCAGGATTGAAATAATTGAGTGCTTTGCATTTCTAACAAAATATTTTTGGCCCTCTTGATTTCTATTTTAGATCTCCATGACAAGTCTAGCATAGTAATTTTGAACATCTATAACACTAAAGAGGTTATTAAGGAACCAATTAGCATTCTATACATAAATTGGGTTGTAGATGCACCTTCACTTAATCCCAATTCAATATTTATCTTGTGTCAATAGGATTCATAATTTATAATTATATTAATCACTCTAAATTCAATTCCACTTACTTAAAGTCTACCATTTGAATCATGATATCCTTATAATACTATTGGTTCCTTTATATCATTTAATCCCTTTTAAATCAGTTTTGTCAAATAGATTATTATATCATAATTATATTAACTACTACTTCCAAACTTTTAAATGATAACACTTCTTATCAATTTATCATCTAAATGACACAACTTATAAATATTAAAATAATTTATTTTAATATTTTACAATTTTCATCTCCAAATTTAAGATTGTAAAAACTAAATAAAATATACTTTTTTTAAGCTTTAAATTATTATTCATACTTTTACAAAAATATTATTTTTGCAATAATTGAATATATATTTCATTTTTTTTTACAAGAATATTAACATACTAAACTCCTTTAATTTAATTATTTATATAATAATTAATTATCTATTCTTAAACTTGTTAACAATTATACGTATTAATCCATATCCTATTTTCTAATCTATTTTTCAAATAAATAATTTGTAAATGGCAAAAGTATATTCCTTTGACTCTCAATAAACAATTAATTCTGATGAAGATGATAAATAAATTGATGTGCAAACATTTCCTACTACCTTTTTTTCATTTAGTGAAACAAGTACACAATCACTCGCAAGTATTGAATCAGCCAATTAACCAATATCATCTCCAAAATATAAATTTATGGGTGGACATTATATTTAAGAATCTCAAGAATAGAGTAATGTAATTAGTACTTTTAAATAATAAAACCTTGTTTAAACTCATCATAACTTAAACATCTAAACAAAAAAATACTCTTCCCTTGAATGTCAAAATAATAAAATTACTAATAGAAATCAGTAAACTATTATCTAGAAAAAAAACAATCTTTATCCTTAAACACAAAGAAATTCATAAGAAAAGAAAATTAATAAATCTTAAGAGAGGTAAAAGATGTCACTGACACCTAGATCTAAGAAATAATATGAGAATAAATATATGCCAAATAAATTAAATGGTATTTTAAAAGTAAGTTGCTCCAAAACTTCCCTAAATGGAAATTCTAAAATTCAACCCAATTTTGATCTATTTTTAGGAAGTCCTTCAAATAAAAATGTTTCTTTTTTATTTACTATGGAATAAATCAAAACTATGAGAAAAAATAACAAATCAAATATATTTAATGTACCAATTAAAAAGAATACCAAGCTTTTTCTTGTTTGAGTATAAATATTAGTATTATTTAATTATTGTTCAAATCTTGTACTTTTATATATATAATTTTTATATATTATTATTTTAAATTATTTAATTCATAAAAATAATTAAATCTAAATTAATTTCTTATCACTAAAATTTGAATGAAATTTAGAATTCTTTCAGATCTAATAAATGTGTACAGAAAGTGAAATTTATTCAAAGGGTTTTGAAAATGTTTTTTTTTAAGAAATTCACTTATTAAATTAGTCATTATAAAATTTATAAGGGCATCATTTAAATTTATCTTTATCTTTTTTGTCAGGTGGAGTTACGTTGAGTTTCAAGCATTTTCCCTTTGAAGAATTCTCAGTTATATACAATACACTAGGTTGTAATCTAAATGATACAAAAATATAATATTACACAGAAAATGCCATTCCTGTTAATTCAGGATATTGAGGCAATATTATATTATCAATATTAATGCCATTCTAATTATATACACTTATAAGTCCATCCTCAGACACTTAAGCAAATTCATATCTGGCTACATATAAGAGATCATTTGATGAGACTGCACAAGCCATAGGACCAAACCTTCCTTAAAATTAAATATACACACTAAAATAATATGAAATTTGATACCTAAAGTAGTATATTCCAGCATTTCCTTAAACAAATCTCAAAATTCTATTTTTTCCTGTTTCACATAAATAAATAGTTTTTTAATCGTTGCCCATACATATTCCACTTGGAAATGAAAGACAATATAATGCTAATGCTTTACATGTTAAATTTTCTAAATCTGCTGCAAACAAAGATCCTTTACAGTTATCAATTGCAGTTTCTCCGAAAGGTCCAGAATCTGTAAAAAATATCATATCTAAGATTAATTAAGTGAATTACTATTTTTAGGAGAGAGTAAAAGTGAATTTGGACCAAGAAGTGGCATTCCTTCAAATTCATTAATGAAATCAATTATTTCATCATTATTTTCCTCTTAACAAAATTTTTAAATGCATTATCTAGCCATGTTAGCAACATAAAACACTTTATTACTATTATCCATTTTTATAGAATGTGGTTGACTAGCTACATGAAAAAAGGTCTGAATTGAGAATGAAAAATCATACTTTCGATTATTCATCCTTGTATTAAATTATTTCTCCATTTTATGCAGCTACATAAACAGCTCCATCTACTTCAATTGGACTATTAAGTTAAGATTACTATTCAATTATAATTTAAGGAGCTGACATTTTAAAATAATTAATATAAGAAAATAATTAGTATCACTCAAAGTAGTATTTATAATTAATAACATGCAGTATTAAGAGCAATTACATTTATATACAATATTGATATATAATAGATGTAATGAGAGAAATAAGGAATTTTTGATTTATAATATATATATAAAATCTTGAACATGGAGATAAATAATTGTTATTACTTATATGAATATTTATATATCATTCAACTTACATCTTTTATGCTTACTTTTAGTATTCATCAAACATGTATTCTGCTTAATGATCTCTTAAATATTATGTTGATCTTACATGGTCGATGAACATAGAATAAACCTAAATTTTAATTTTAATTTTACCCTTCTGATATCTTCAACATCAACTTCATTTGATTTTCTTTTCTATGCAACTAAATTAGCAGTTGTAATTAATTAAATAGCATATCTTAAAGTTGTATCCACTCCTATTTTAGTTAATACTTCTTTTGCTTCTTCAGTCATTTCAACATCTTCCTCTTCACATCTAAAAATAAATTAAATAAAAATTCTACCTTATTTCAAGAATACTTCTTATTTCTGCTTCATTATATGGTTCAGTTTAGATAATTAAACATCTATCCAATAAATCTATTGGTAAACCATGAGGTCTAATTATAAAATTAATTTAAATACCCTTTATAAGTAGTTCCACGAATAGTTGTTATTCCTCTATTTGTTGCCAAAATCACAATAGGTGCTTTATCAGATTCTAATGCTCTATTAAGGAATGAAAAACACTCTATATCTAACATATGAACTTCATCTATAAATAAGACACCTGGAACAATGTCAGCCTTACCTTCCTCTTTCCATTCAGCTACCTTAGAATCTATTTAATCTCTTATTTCTGAATCTATTTCTCCTGTATCACCTGAAAATAAGTCTAAAAATCCTTTTTATCTAGAATTTATGACATCTATTTCATGCAAAGTAACTGTATGAACCACTTCCTTTCTTTTTTCTATTTCTCCCTCTGGACATTATACATGTCTTGTTTATGGGCCAAGAGCATCAAATTCAGATGCTTTTGAAAAAGATCTTCCTAATTTACTAATTCTTCCAGAAACTTTATCAATTGTTATTACATCTCCAGATGTAATTTTTTCTTTTGTAATTGATTCTATCATCTTAGCTCCTAAATCATAAATTGTTTCCATTTCTGTAGTTTTCAAAGTGATTTTTCCAGTTTTTGCTCCTGAAGTTGCAGATTTATCAATCTCAATTTCTACAACTTCTCCCTCCACAATTTCTGTTTCTTCTTTAATTCTTACACCTATTGATCTTCTAAATGCTTAAGTTAGAGATTCAGTCTTTGACATTTAAAGACTGAAAATTTCTGATCCTGCCATAGCTGTAAAAGGAATATCATTTCCTAATGCTTTTGCAATACCCATAGCAATAGCTGTCTTACCTGTACCTGGTTATCCTGCAATCAAAATACTCCTTCCTGCTATTTTACCAGCACGAATAGTGTTAAGGATGATACCTGCAGCTTTTCTAGCTTTTTTCTATGTTTTAATTTTAAATTATTCAATACCTATCCAACCATACCTTGTGAAATATTTCTTGGCTCAAGATCACCATCTAAACCTAGACCTCTGATATGTGATTAAGCACCTACTCTTTCGATACGAGTAGCTTCTTTGTATTCGCTAATTTTCGGAGCATTAACTGTGGTCATTATTTTAATATTTAATCAATAACTTTAAATAATAAATTTAATTTGTTAGAAATTCCTTGGTGTGTTTTGATTTCATTTATTGTATTATATATATTTAAATATACAATACAATAACTTATATTTGGAAATATAATTAATTAAGTAATATTAAAAAAGTTGAATACAAATAATCTTACAATTCTATTTAAATTATATATCGTTTCAAATTATTGTAAAATAATTCAATAAGGATTTTAATTAAGAATATACTTAATATTTTAAACTCTTTTCTTCAAGTAAAACAATATATAAAAATAATAAATAATTAAAGAAAATAGAAATATTTCAAATGGAAATTCAATTTTAAATAATTATAAATTAGCATAATATATAGAAATTCATATGTTAGAATTAGATAATTAAAAATAGATATTATTTTACAAATATTTGTGTGGTATTCATATGTGTTTTTTTCAATTTAAATTTTATAATAAAAATAAATGATAGACGATTAAATAAAAGACAAGTTTACTTCAACTAAACCAAACATTCCTGATGAAGCAGAGTTTGTTATAGCAACACCATAAATAATAGTTCCAGAGAAATTAGTATAACCAACTGGATAAGTGGGTCCAGCAAGGCCATCAAGTGAAGAAAGTTATTCATCTGATGAAGAAGTTTTTGAGCCTGATTATGAGCCAATTCAAAAATAAGTTAAAGTGAATGAAAATGATGGAATAAGGATAAATAGAGATTCTGCTGAAAGAAAAAAGTAAAATTTCTAAGATGAAGATGATGATTATATTGATCCTGCTGCATTAGCTAGAGATCCTGCATTAAGAGAGGCAGTTGAAGCATAAGCAGCAAAAAAAGCTCTTTTAAAATTCAAACCTTAAAATGAAGAATTGCCTTCTATGGAACTTTAAAAGGAGAGATTAGCTACTTTTCCTATAACACATTAATTATTAATAAAAGGACATACTAAATAAGCAACAGCAATTGGCATAGATAATGCTGGTTCAAGATTAGTTACAGGAGCATATGATTGTGTAGTTAGATTTTGGGACTTTTATGGTATGGATAAGAATACACATAGCTTTAGATTGGTTACACCATATGAAGGGAATTAAGTGAATTAAATAAGTTGGGCAAAGGATGGAAAAAATGTATTGATAATTTGTGCTGATGCATAAGCATGTGTATTAGATAGAGAAGGAAAGAGAACTATGGATACTCATAGAGGAGATATGTATATTCGAGACATTTTAAAAACTATTGGACATACAGCAGCCATAAATTCTGGTTGTTTTCATCCAGATTTTAGTGATGTCTTTGTTACTTGTAGTGATGATGGAACAGTAAGGATTTGGGATATGACTAAAAAACTTTATGGAGTTGCATAATGTTTAACTCATAAAGATGCTGTTAAATGTGTAGATAAAACAGGTCATAAAGTATTAGTACAATGTGTAACAATAAGAGGAAGACTTTTGTTATGTGCTTGTAGTGATAATACTATAAAAGCTTATGAAGTCAATTAAAATTGTAGAGAAATTAAAAAAAGACCATTATTTATTATACAAGATGCTCATAAAGGATTTGTTACTAAAATTAAAATTTTAGCTGATTAAAAACGATTTATTACATAGAGTGTTGATAATACTATAAAACTTTGGGAAACTACAAATACTAATCATCATATTTATCTATAATATTGTAATATTAATAGATTTCCACCAACAAGATTTGATTTAAATTTTAATGAAAGTATACTTGTAACAGCTCATCACACTTTTAAAGATGGATATCATATAGTAGGACCAACTGAATTATTATTCTTAAATGTTAATGATTTAAGTATTAATTGTAGAGTTTAGTTATTTGATTAAGCTATTACAGAAGTTTTATGGCATCCAACATTAAATTAAATATTTTTAGGAAGTGATGATGGTCATGTTAGAGCATTGTTTAATCCTAAATTAAGTTAAAAAGGAGCTTTATTAGCAACAAATAGAGCAGTAAAATTTGTTCATGCTGAAAATATGGAACTTGAAAGACATGTTTTAATTCCTGAAAATTTATATATTTTTAAAGTAAGTGAAACAGTTCATGGAGGAATGAAAATTGTTGAAGAAANTTAGCTAGAGATCCTGCATTAAGAGAGGCAGTTGAAGCATAAGCAGCAAAAAAAGCTCTTTTAAAATTCAAACCTTAAAATGAAGAATTGCCTTCTATGGAACTTTAAAAGGAGAGATTAGCTACTTTTCCTATAACACATTAATTATTAATAAAAGGACATACTAAATAAGCAACAGCAATTGGCATAGATAATGCTGGTTCAAGATTAGTTACAGGAGCATATGATTGTGTAGTTAGATTTTGGGACTTTTATGGTATGGATAAGAATACACATAGCTTTAGATTGGTTACACCATATGAAGGGAATTAAGTTAATTAGATAAGTTGGGCAAAGGATGGAAAAAATGTATTGATAATTTGTGCTGATGCATAAGCATGTGTATTAGATAGAGAAGGAAAGAGAACTATGGATACTCATAGAGGAGATATGTATATTCGAGACATTTTAAAAACTATTGGACATACAGCAGCCATAAATTCTGGTTGTTTTCATCCAGATTTTAGTGATGTCTTTGTTACTTGTAGTGATGATGGAACAGTAAGGATTTGGGATATGACTAAAAAACTTTATGGAGTTGCATAATGTTTAACTCATAAAGATGCTGTTAAATGTGTTGATAAAACAGGTCATAAAGTATTAGTACAATGTGTAACAATAAGAGGAAGACTTTTGTTATGTGCTTGTAGTGATAATACTATAAAAGCTTATGAAGTCAATTAAAATTGTAGAGAAATTAAAAAAAGACCATTATTTATTATACAAGATGCTCATAAAGGATTTGTTACTAAAATTAAAATTTTAGCTGATTAAAAACGATTTATTACATAGAGTGTTGATAATACTATAAAACTTTGGGAAACTACAAATACTAATCATCATATTTATCTATAATATTGTAATATTAATAGATTTCCACCAACAAGATTTGATTTAAATTTTAATGAAAGTATACTTGTAACAGCTCATCACACTTTTAAAGATGGATATCATATAGTAGGACCAACTGAATTATTATTCTTAAATGTTAATGATTTAAGTATTAATTGTAGAGTTTAGTTATTTGATTAAGCTATTACAGAAGTTTTATGGCATCCAACATTAAATTAAATATTTTTAGGAAGTGATGATGGTCATGTTAGAGCATTGTTTAATCCTAAATTAAGTTAAAAAGGAGCTTTATTAGCAACAAATAGAGCAGTAAAATTTGTTCATGCTGAAAATATGGAACTTGAAAGACATGTTTTAATTCCTGAAAATTTATATATTTTTAAAGTAAGTGAAACAGTTCATGGAGGAATGAAAATTGTTGAAGAAAAGAAAAGTGTTAAAGATTAACCAAGAAAGCCTGAACCTCCATAAAAAGGTCCAGGAAAAGGAGGAAAAAGATCAGGACCAGCTACATTAACATAAAATTTGATGAGCACATTAAATGATAGACCAGAAAAAGAAGATGTTGTTGAAGAATTAACAAAATTGGATGCTATTACCAAAGCAAATCCNTAGTTACAGGAGCATATGATTGTGTAGTTAGATTTTGGGACTTTTATGGTATGGATAAGAATACACATAGCTTTAGATTGGTTACACCATATGAAGGGAATTAAGTTAATTAGATAAGTTGGGCAAAGGATGGAAAAAATGTATTGATAATTTGTGCTGATGCATAAGCATGTGTATTAGATAGAGAAGGAAAGAGAACTATGGATACTCATAGAGGAGATATGTATATTCGAGACATTTTAAAAACTATTGGACATACAGCAGCCATAAATTCTGGTTGTTTTCATCCAGATTTTAGTGATGTCTTTGTTACTTGTAGTGATGATGGAACAGTAAGGATTTGGGATATGACTAAAAAACTTTATGGAGTTGCATAATGTTTAACTCATAAAGATGCTGTTAAATGTGTTGATAAAACAGGTCATAAAGTATTAGTACAATGTGTAACAATAAGAGGAAGACTTTTGTTATGTGCTTGTAGTGATAATACTATAAAAGCTTATGAAGTCAATTAAAATTGTAGAGAAATTAAAAAAAGACCATTATTTATTATACAAGATGCTCATAAAGGATTTGTTACTAAAATTAAAATTTTAGCTGATTAAAAACGATTTATTACATAGAGTGTTGATAATACTATAAAACTTTGGGAAACTACAAATACTAATCATCATATTTATCTATAATATTGTAATATTAATAGATTTCCACCAACAAGATTTGATTTAAATTTTAATGAAAGTATACTTGTAACAGCTCATCACACTTTTAAAGATGGATATCATATAGTAGGACCAACTGAATTATTATTCTTAAATGTTAATGATTTAAGTATTAATTGTAGAGTTTAGTTATTTGATTAAGCTATTACAGAAGTTTTATGGCATCCAACATTAAATTAAATATTTTTAGGAAGTGATGATGGTCATGTTAGAGCATTGTTTAATCCTAAATTAAGTTAAAAAGGAGCTTTATTAGCAACAAATAGAGCAGTAAAATTTGTTCATGCTGAAAATATGGAACTTGAAAGACATGTTTTAATTCCTGAAAATTTATATATTTTTAAAGTAAGTGAAACAGTTCATGGAGGAATGAAAATTGTTGAAGAAAAGAAAAGTGTTAAAGATTAACCAAGAAAGCCTGAACCTCCATAAAAAGGTCCAGGAAAAGGAGGAAAAAGATCAGGACCAGCTACATTAACATAAAATTTGATGAGCACATTAAATGATAGACCAGAAAAAGAAGATGTTGTTGAAGAATTAACAAAATTGGATGCTATTACCAAAGCAAATCCACAATATGTTGCATAGGCATATAAATATACATAACCTGATTAAATATTCGACTACTCTACAAATTAATAATAAGAACACACCTTCTTATCCTCAATCAAAAAAATATGTCCTCATTGTGGTATGAAGATTTGTGCTTGTAAAAGAAAAGTAGTTTGAATTAAAATTAAAATAAGTATAAAATTAATTTCTATTTTTTTTTATTAATCTTTTATCATTATTTCTGTAATGATCTAATTAGAACTAATTATTTGTTTAATTTTAATATTTAAAATTCTTATTATTGATTTTACAAATGATTATAGTTAAAAGTAATGGAAACATTAATTTGTTGACATTTATATTATAATTGTATTAATGAAAAAATTCATTATCAAAACAATAATTTGTATAACAATTGTTTCAAATATATAAAATTAATATTGCATCATTTATTATATAATTAAACAAATATACAAGATATCAAATTCAAAATTATTACGTATTAATGAATTAACACATATATTCAAAATCAATATTATGAGAAGACTCTTTTGATTATTTTGTAATCTCTTTGTTCAACAGCCTTTGAAAAAGCTATCAAGATTTTATATGGTGCCAGAAATAAACAAATGATTAGTCCAATTATGAAAATAGGGATGCTAAAAAGTAAATTAACAATAATAATAATGGTTATGCTGTCAATTTTTCTTTCTATTCTTTATATAACACCTTCGGTTTTTTGAATTGAGAGTGCAAAAGCTATAATAGGAAACACAAAAAGCAAAATTGTAATTTAAAGACAATTTAGAAGAGTATACAACAAAGTGATTTTAAGTTCAATTATCCATTAGCAATACGTACATTAAAAGGTCTAAGCATTTTTTGATGTAAATAGTTCCAAAAATGTTAAACATTTTGGACAAAATTTCTTATGAAACATATTGTATTTATCTTAATTGCTAAAATCTATTCCAATAAGGGTATCACATAAGTCTAGAGTATCTAAACTGTCAATACAGCCTAATTTAGCATTTTAACATACTTGTGGTTTAGTTAGAGATGGATTGCAAAGTATGAGATTTTTTATTTGATTCAATCATATTATGATATTATTGTTTTATAAGATCTTTAAAGTTTGTGTTATAATCTGAATATTAAACAGAAGATTACTTTTAATTAATATAAATTTATTGATTTAGAATTAACTTAATAAAAATATATTAGATATTTAATTGATGTCTATTTTAGGTTTGAATGCTTTGAAAAATAAAATAATCAAAAAAAGGATGTTAGTTAGTTTTTAATTTTAGTTATCAATATCTAACCAATAATTAATAATTTATTTACGTTTTAGAAATAAAAAATAACATAAAATTTTTATATTAATATGGCAACCTTAGAAATATAAAGTATATTAATAAAATTTCAATATTTCTACACTTGCATTTCATTTATCAACTAAATTTTATATGATAAATTTATGAATTATTAAAATCTTCAGATATAATCCATAATTTTATTCATATTTTTTATTTTTCTCTTTATAGCATAGCTAAGGATGTATTCATAAATTTTGTAACAGTGTTTTCTAATAGACCAGGGTTTTCTATTGTTCTATTGATTCCATTATTGCATAGGATTTTGAACCTTGTAGTAGACATCCAAAGATGAAATTTATCTGGTTTCATTCTAAAGATGTAGTTTAAGCATAAGGTGATTTTTTATGATGAAGAAATTAATAGTTTATGAAGAGATAACTAATATTCTACAGGATGTAAAGATCATTTTAGGCTAAAATATCCTTGGTTTTAATCCAGCCTTCGTTATTCTAGAATTTTCTTTTTCTTTAATATAACTGAAAGATCAACCTATTTAATAATTATTATTCTATAGAAAATAAACATATGATCCATTTAATTAATAATGTATAAAATTTATTTTTAAGATATCAATTACAATTTTAAGATAAACTAATTAAATTAAAAATTATTATAATCATGTATTAGCAAGGTACTCTATAAAATTATTCGCGCAAGTATTTTCTTCCTTTGAATATCTCATATTTTCTATAAAATTTTAAGTATTCAAAAATTGATCATATTATTCTTTAAGGACCTCTATAGCATACTCAAATGCTTCTTTTATAGTTTCTCTATGTTGCCAAATAAATTCAAAAAGATCATTTATCCCATTGATATAATCACCAAAAGTAGTTGTTAAATCATTAAAAATATTTTACATATTATTTGTATTCTCCTTAAGCTATTCTTGAATAGAGGAAGCAATTTAATTGGAGAATATAAAAAAATTATCTGTAATTTAAGAAATTGAATCATAAATATTGAAATAATTTGAGGAAAATTCTAGAACTGAATTTTTCATTTCTATGAGTTCCTTTGGCACATGAGATAACTAAGTAGAAGTATAAGTAGATAATTCAGAAATCTTATTAGTAATTGTTGAATAAGTATCAGAAATCCCTGATTACATTATTTTCATTGATGAACTCCAAATCGATTCTTCTTATTCATTTTGATTTTATTCTTTTTATAAATTCCTTTGTTCCTTAGATGTCTCATCAATACTTTGTCCTTATTCATTTTGTTTTTCTGATTTTTGAGTTAATTCCTCTAAAATACAATATTCAGATCTAAAGCAATTTAATACTAAATAGATAATGCCAACTATAGTTCCAATAGTCAGACAAGGAATTATTAATAAAAATGATTTCCCCATTGCAACTGCTTGTAAAAATGAAAAAAATGAACCAACTACAACGTTTCCAATCAAAGATTAAATCCAAGCTGCTAATGAACCTGCAACAGGGCCAATAGCTGAAAAACCAGCTAGCCATATACCTATTTTTGCAATTATGAATGAGCCAAATGTAGTAACAGATTGATATGTAATAGCGGTTGTTAATTGTTTCTTTATGCATGCAAATATTTTTAACTTATCAAAATCCAAGCATTTGCTTGATTTTTTGAAATCTTCTTTTGCTTAATTCCCTTAAAGAGTTAAAATTATAAAAAAGATAGCTATTATTTTTCTATTCATTATTAATTAAAAAATAAAAATACTGTTTAAAACAAATTATTATTATTTCAACTAAATACAAAAAGTTATTTAGCATATTAAAAGATATTTCTTGAAGTTATAATAGCAAAGATTAATCTTGCATAAACTTGTAGACATGTAATATCATTAAATTTTGAAGAATTGAATTTATCTAAGTTTAAGGCTCTCTATTTAGAGATTTGTAGAAACAATATTATTTTTTATTTTTGAGAAAGATGCCATAATCATAAGTACAATTAGTAGGTTGTTTAAGTAAAAATCTCAACAAAAGATAATCAATACTTTGGTTACTTATATATAAATCTGTTTATTTATTAAATTTCCCTATTACTAATAATTTTTTATAGATGCCTACTACTGAATATTTTCAAATACAATTGAATAACTTAAAAATTCCTCAAAGATGTTTGTTTTCTTTGAGAAGTATCTTATAATGTTGGGATCCAAAAGCTTCTTTTAGACATCTTCTCCCAGATTAATTATGTCGGTATTGCCATAATCCATAAATTAATTATGCAAAATAGATTAAAGTATATATTAAGATTATAAATTATAATAAGAATTTATATATTCTAAGAATATAAAATAATATACAATTTTTATATTTAAAAAATTCTGAAAAAAGAAAGATTAAATAATTATAATCTATTTACTTGTAATAAAAGGAAATCTTTAATTTCAAACTAATTATTTTACAAATATATTGATAGAAGTTTTAGTCTTGATTTTGAAATAAATATAAATAAGAATAATTAAAAATATTAATAATAATTATCTTCCATAAAATAATAATAAATTAAAAATATAGATTTGAATATTAAATCAGAAATTCTTTGGAATAGTTTTACATTAATCGCATATTCTATTCTAAATGAATTCGATCAGTTTTCCATTTTCTTCTCTTAATCTTTAATTTTCTATTAATAAGGGATTTTGATCTCCATCTTCACTATTATCTGAAATTTAATTCTTTTTCTTATATATATATAATATTTAAATAAATACTTCCAATTTTGAAAGTTCTTCTTTAAGTTAATTATTGACCTATTGTTATTAATAATTTAAAGATAAAGAAATTTTAAGTTTATTTTATAATTCCTCTTTAGATGTTTCACTTTCAGTTATATGAATGGGTTAATCTTCAATCTTTTTGTTTACTTTTGGTTGGACACAATGAATACTTTGATGTAGTTATTATTACAAATCAAAAATTGAATATGATAAAGATTTTGGCGGGGTTATTTATGAAATTTAAGATATATGAGTTGTACTATTAATTAATTCTTTAGAAAAGGCAGTTGAAATAATATTAGATTATGAATTCAATTAACAAGATGAGCCAAAAGATTATACAGATTGGATAACAGAAAGATTAATTTTATCTACAATTTGCTTTAGAAAATAATAAATTATCTTACTTTATATATACGTTATCTCATTGCTTGTAATTCAAAATCTAAAATCTATTGTTATTGTTCTTCATCTAAATTTTCACTATTTTACAAGGAAAACGAATCTAAAGATAATCTTGGTTAATTAGTGAGTTCATTAAGATAATGGCCAATCACTTCATTTAATTTTGAACCTAATTGATCTAATGTAGTGTTAAATTATTCATTTTATTGAAAATCCATTCCTGGACTTTCATGATTTTCTTAATTTATTTTAGGTTTTGTTTCTAAATGATTATCATCTGATCCCAAATAATAATCTTTAAGTCCTAAGATATTTAAATCATTCAAAGAAATAGAACCTTATAAATCATCTCTCATTGATTATATTTTTTTATTTATCTAAATTTTATGTAACAATTACAATCTCATTTTTTTGTGTCTATTCTTTAGAATTATTACTTTAATTTGGTAATTTAGTTTATGAATAAGATCTTGAAATGCCATACATGTCTAAATCATTTTCTGAAGTACTCTCATCTCCTATTCTCATCTGATTATAAAGTAAATTATGTAAAATATAAAAAGTTAATTTTTGATATCTAACTTAAATTAAAATATTGATAGTTTTTTTTAATTTTCTGGCTAATACAAATGAAACATAGAGTTTTAAAGTAATTTTATATTATTCATTATTTATTTAATATGATTAATAAAATAAGTGACAAATCGAATATTATTGAACCTAGATAAACTAGGAGTCTTACTAAGGCTTTTCCATAATCTAAAAGAAATCGAGAGACTGAACTTATTTATTTGAGTAAAGTGAATGCATTTAGTCAATTGAAAAATTATTAAATTGATTACATTTATAGATCAATTAAAAGTGTAGAATTTACAAGGGGACATTTAATCTTCTAAGAAGGATAAAAATGTGAAGCCATTTATGTAATTAAATAAGGGGAAATAGAAATATTTAAAAAAGAACCAATCAATCAATAAATTGAATAACATTACCAATTAAATAAAAAAAGGTTTGTTCATCAAATGATTAAACTTCTTGGAGAATCAACAGCCTTTGGAGTCGGAGATATTGTAACTGGAATCTATTCTATTAATGCTAGAGTAAGTTCACATTTTGCAGAATTATATATGATTAAAGTGTAAGACTATAAGCGTATCCTTGATATGGAACCATAAATTAAATTATAATAATTGGAATCTGAAAATATGGATAATCTTGAAGTAATAACTAAATATTAATTGCCATCTCTCTATGATTCTGTTAAGACATCTCAAGCTTAGAAATAAGAGATTTAATATCTAAGAAAAGTAAGGAAAGGTGTCACTTATCTCATTCCATAATCCTAAAGAACAGATATAATGAAGAACTCTCACATTGATTAAAGTTTAGAAGAAATCTATAAGTATTGTAATAAATTTATTCAAGAAAGTCTGTAATATTGCATCAGAAAATGTTACCAAACTATTAATAAGTAGATTTAGATAATCCTTTAATATAAGGTTAAGAAGTAATAAATGATAGATTATTGTTGAATAAAATAATTTAGAAAGAATATACAATTAAAATTCCAAAAGAATCAACTAGAACTAATAAATTACTGTAGTAGAGTTTTATATCATCATCAAATAGTCCAATGAGTAAGAAACTTCAATTAATATTTCAAAAAGATAAAAAATTGAAATAAAATTATTCAATAAATGAAGTTTCACATAGAGAAAAAATAAAAATTATATAAGATACATCACCTCATTCTAGTTCATTTCGATCTGCAAGATTTGATACAGGTAGATCTACATTTCATGCAACTCCATTATTTGATTAACTTGATCCAATAAGACTTAAGTAATTCATACCAACAGAACTCTTTCCAATTTATTTTCATTAATTTAAGCCAGATAATCAAGAATTAAGTTGAACTTATCCTTATTTATAGAAATTTAAATTATCAACATTTGAATTCTCAATTTTATATATTTATTATGATCAGTCAATTAGGATAAGCCATTATCTTATTTAATCAAATAAAATAGAAATTATTTTAGTTTTTTAAAAATCAATAAATCTAAATTTTATTATTATTTAAATGTTTTATCAATAAATTCTAAATCTATATGATTATCCATAACTCTTATTATTCCTAATTAAAATATCCAATAAATTCTGATTAATCAATCATAAAAAAATGAAATTTCTTCTTTAATGATTCTCATATTTGAGAATTTAATTCATTAAAGAATTACAATCTAAATCAATCATTAGAATATAGAAAAGTTTAATTATTAATTGTTAAATAATTATATTTTATAAAATGAATTTAAGAATTTTATAATTATAGAATAATGACTATAAATACTAAAATATCATTTATACAATTTATTTTATAACATTACATAATATTTATCATTTATACATTTCTAAAACTACTTTAATTTTTCTTAAAAAATCTTCTTTATTTGAAATTTATAATTCTCCTTAGAGATTCTTAAAAGCTAAACTAATTTGATCAATTAGTAAATTTGAGATGATTCCTATTTAATTGGTCATTATTGATATAAGGAGAGTCTCAAACTAAAATTATTAAATATTAAGATTACATCAGATGGATTAAAAACAGAGATGGCATATAGAATTTCTGGAATAGCAAATATCACTTTTGAATTTTTTGGATATATTAAAGTGATTTAGCAACATAAATTGAACATTTCATATAATATCTATTTTCCAGATATATTAATAGCATTTATTTTATTTTTAATCATTTGCAAATCATTTATATCTCCAACTGAAGCTTCTTAAACTAAAAATGTTGATATATTGCTTAATAAAGTTCCTATTAATATAAGAGTTGAACAATTCTCATTAATAGTATCCTCTCCTTGATTATCATAAATAATATCTTTTAATGATTCTTTACAAATATGGAAAATATCAAGATAAGAATTCAAATCACACTTATAAGCTAAAGTTTCTGAATGATCTTAACATATACAATCAAAACATTCATATAATAATTTTTTGTATTTTGGAATATGTTAAAGTAATGGTCTATAAATTAAAATGAGTTATATCTATAAGTTAAATAGTTCAAGAAAACATTAATCATTATAAATAATGAAAAATCCTTAATTAATTTTCTTTTATCCTGATATTTGACTCATAAGTGCCATTAGTTTAGATACTTACTTTAATTATAAATCTGATATTTTTTATTATGTTTTTGCAGTTTGGATTTACTATTAAATTAGAATAATAAAGAATTTCATGGCTTTACCATAAATTTGATACAATATTAATTAAATATTTTCTGTTGACAATCTAGTATTTCTAATGTAATTGATGAAAACTAGTACTTGTTGTAGAAGATGGCTTTAAATAATGTGATAATGGCAATCGAAGAATCATAGTCTTTAGCAAATAACTCAATGTTTTCTTCTGACAATAATTTAGCAATATCAGGATATCTAATTCATTCATAATATTATTTACATTATTCTTAAGAATGTTCTATAAATATTGTCTACATCTATTTCTGAAGCAATTCCAATAAGATCCCAAACATATTTTAGAATATTGACTTTATTAATTTCATTTAAAATGCTTTATTTTATTTGATTATATATATCAACAAGAGCATTGACATAATCATCAGAGCAATCATCTACCCAAACTATAGTAATTATCTTAAAAACCAAAGCTCTTTTTTTTATATATTAAGGTGTATTCAAACAAGTTATGTTTAATTATAAGAAAAACTACTTTAGCATATCTGTTATGCTACAAGTTTTAAATACTTTTCTAGGAATATATTTTTTGACTTTCTAATAAATATATTCTATTAATTTAAGACTGAATTCTATTAAAAAAGGATCACCATATGTAAATACTTAAAAACTAAAATATTTAAATAATTAATACCATTCATCAAGCATAGTCTCCAAAACTAATAAATAATTTTGATATCTTTAATCTGCACGTATCAATTGTGAATATAGTTGAGATAGATTCTTGAATTATTTTGTTTCTTATTCATAACAAAATGAATCAATTGTTACAGTAATAAAACTTTCAATAAATGATAGAATTGCCATTTTTAATATTCTTGTATTCTTTTATACTTATGAATTCTTTATTAGTTCTACTATAAATTTTAAGATATAAGCTTATCCATCAAGGTTAGGCTTAGGTTCTTCTTTCTATCCAAAATTATAACAATCAAATCCTAAATTTAAAATTTCTGTGTTTGATGTATGTAATAAAAATACAATAGTTAGACTTATAACAGCTGCACTTTAATCTAATAATTATTAATTATTTTTCATACATTCATTATCTCCTCTTAATTATTCAATCATCTATAAAATGAGACCAATATTATCTTAGATTTGTGATTTAAAAAGACAATGAAAAGGCATAAATGTTATATCTAATAATTTCTTAAATTTCTTAACACTACATTCTTATGGAATTTCTGTGAATTAATTTTATTAAAAAAATGTCTTTAAAACTATAATTAATTGATTTTGCATAGTTTAATTTATTTTTATATTTAATCCATCATGTAAAGGTAAATGTAATGAACCTTAATATCTAATTTAATTCCAAAGTTCTTATAATTTTATTATAGGACTATTTGGCATTATTTTTACTCCAAATAATTATACTGTTTTTTAGTATACTTATTAAATTAACTAAAAACAATTATCAAATTATAATTAAAATTTTGCTAATTTTCTTAATGTTAAATTATTAATAATTCTTATTGCTAAAGAATGAATTTCAGATGAAAATTCTACATAATTTATAAATTAATCTTGATTTTAATATAAATAGATTAATCCTTCCCACATTACTCTTCTAAATCCTCCTTTACATTTTTTATTGTGAAATATTGATAATCTTACACAACCAATTCTTTAAAGCATACTTATAAAATATAAAGATAGATTTTGATCAATATTTAAAAATCCAATTGCATCTTGAAAAAGTTCTTTCAAAAAAATAGGATCTATTATTAAATCTAAATAATAATCTGGAAACTAATAAATTAAATTAATTATATACATTAGTTAATTACGAGGTATCCTTACCTTCATTATCTACATCAATTTCATAATAACTTAAATTAAAATTCAAGTTCATCAATTAATATAATAAATTAATAAATGATTCAACCATTATTTTATTTTATCCATATAATTTAATTAAAGATTCTCCTGATAATTATTAAATTTATAAATGAATAGCTTATAATATTCTCTATAAAGATAATCTATATTAAGATAATAGAATTACGTTTAAAAATTATTGAGTATTTTTCTATATTCAATATAACCACTAGCATATGAATATTATCTAATACAACTGATAATGTTTTCAAATATTTTACAAAAGATTATTTTATTTGTTTATAAAGTGCTATTTATAATTTAACTTATGATATCTTCAATTTTTAAAATATCAACCCAAAATTTCCTTATTAAAAGTGCAATAGTAAAAATTACTTAATTGTAAACATAATTTGGATGATTATGTGATGATTATAAATAAATTAGAGCAATCTCAATATGTTTAGTACAAATTTCTGTAATATTTAATCGATGGTCATATTCATTATAAAAGAATTCAGTGCTTACTTTTTAATGAGGAAAATTCATAAAATGATCTCCATTTATCAGACATTTTTAGATAATTGAATAAAGAACAAACGTGGTTTCAGGATTACAATCTTCTAATATTAAACTTTAAAATAATTCAATATTTGAGTAATCTAGAACAAAGTTTCTAAGTAATTCTAAAACTTGTTAATTTTTCTATTCTATCAAGGTCATTATTGTTTACATTAAAATCTCCTACGCTCAAAGCAACTTTTGAATTCTGATGTATGCTAGCCTTCATTACCTAAATTTAATTCATTTAGTTTAATTTAATTTTTTAATTAATTAAAAATATGAATACAATTTTTCTATCCTCTCATCTTTTCTAAGAACTATAAATATTCAAAATGATGATCCTTAAAAATTAATTTATTTTATTTACTATCTTCCATATGTGTTAATATATATCTTACAACATTATTGGAAATATATTTTTTTTAATTTCTTATTAAAAGATATAAGATAAATTAAATAAAAAAATGATTATTTATCTGAATTAATTAATATCTACTTAATTTCTAACTTCCAAAGATTGCCAATTAGATTTTAATCTATAATTTTGAAGAATGTTATTATAATATAAAATCAATACTTCTTCTCTAATTCACAATATTTTTTAAGTTTTTTATCTTAATTTTTAGAGGATCTTATAAGTTAATAAATTATATATTAAGTTAGTTATCTGGTCTATATTTTAAATAGGTGTAAAATTTACTATAATTCTTATCTATTTTGTATATACAATTTTTTTATTTCATAACCTATTGGATATCTGACCAAATCATTAGCAAAATTATTAATCATTAGCAAAATTCTATATTTTATAATGATAGAGATTTTAATTTGTTTTAGATGATTAAAACAGAACTAATATGAGAAAAGATTAAATATCAAGATATTTATGCAATTCTAACCATTATGTTATTCAATTCTAACCACTATGTTACTCAACAATGTTGGCTAAAGCGAAAAAAGAGCCATTCAGAATCGAAAATAAAATTTGTATTTATATTTATATTTACTAACACTGGTTACAATAAAAATTTTATAAAAAAGTATTACAAGTAATAAAAGAAATGAAAGAGAAAATTTGTAATTTTCTTTTTGAATTCAATTTACATTCTAATTTTCATAAATTAAAGATTTTTTATTACTAAATTTTGGAAAAAAACAATATTTTACAGTATTTTTTCTATAATTATTTTTTAATTATAAATTCTATAAAAAGTTCATTGTTTTTAATAAATTAAATAATAAATTTATTAATAACTATTAACCCTATTCAATAGATTAGTTTAAATAGCAAATAGAAATCATATATTGTCAAAACAACATAGTTCTGTAGTATAATAATAGTATGAAATAGATAAAGATTGTTAAATATGATATTAAGGATTTAGGTAACGGCAAAATTGTGTATAATCAATATTTCAACTATTGTAATTGATTTTCATAAATGATCACTCTTTCCAAAATTAAAAGCTTTGAATACTTGTATTATTAAAAATTCTGCACTTTTTGTATATTAAATTTATAAATAATTTAAGGCTTCTATCAGTTTAAATTGTAAGATATTTTAGCCTAATCAATAATACTGATGAATTGATTATTTTTATACATTTAATTCTAGTCTTTGAAAGATGGCTATAAAAAATTGAAAAATATCATTAAATTCCTTTTAAATTAAAGTCTTAAATATTTAAGATAATAATTCTAATATTAATGATAAAAATATATCAATTTTTTATTAAGTTCTTTTTTCATCCTGAAGAATCAGCTGATGTAGAACCAAAAAAAATAATGAATTTATGGACATTGACATTTATAAATCAAGATTTAGAGGTAAAATATTCAAATAAAGAGAAACAAAGAATTATAGTATTGTTTCGATTGTAATACTTAATTCACTTCCTCATTAACTTTATCTATTTCGTTAACAATCAATTTTTTTTGAAAAATTATTTAGTAGCTTATTTTAGGGTGGCATTTTGCTTTTGGCACATAGTTTGCATGATATCATAAGCTAACATAAAAAGAATTCATTATAAATCATTTATTGCAATTTCTGAATTTTTAAGTTGTGTGATAACAATCCTCATAACCTATGTCTATGTATAGGCTTAATTGATAAATAAATAATGTGGTAGATAGACTACATCATAAGCTGTCAGTACAGGAATATAAACTGGAATTATTATTATTAGTTATTTACTAGTTTGTCCTTTATGGTTCATTTAAGGATTAATATTAATAGCTGCAACAATTTTATTCATTGGATTAGTTGGAAATCTGGCATCAATATATTGGACATTTTATGTTCTTTTGTTAATGATGCTGATATTCTTTAGATTTCTTGAATATTATAAAAGAATAGATTTCTATACAATATGTTAATAGACTTCAAATTTACATGCATGTAAGAACATTTTTGACAAAACAGTTCCAAATTCAATACTAATTCTAACTGAGAATAATGATGATTTATAAGATTCTACTAATTAGTGTAAAGAAATGAAGTTAATTTATAGTAATGATTTTGCTATAAAATATTTATAAGTTTCAGATGAAAATGAAATAATTAAAAAGTTAAAAAGTATTTACATACAAACAGAATAAGAATCTATGTAGGATACTTATAATTCATTTGTTAGTATTTATGATGTTTTATATTAAAAAATGGGACAATTTGAAGAATAATTTATTTAGTAATTAAATACAAATCAAACTTCTATACTTTAAAATGAATATGATATATCAGAATTTAGTGATTATTTTTTATGTTTTAGATTTGACTCTTAAAGTCAAGTAGCATTATCTTAAAAATAATAATTAAAAATAAAATCACATTTTGAAATCAGAGTTTTACATTGTATTTGGGAAAATAAACATTCAATTTTAGTTATTATGAATGACATTTCTGAAAAGATTAGATTAAAACATTTAAAAGAATTAGATTAATATAAAGATAGATTATTAGCAACAGTATCTCATGATTTGAAAACTCCATTAAATGGAATGATGATTGGCATTAATATTATGCAAAATATTTTATAATAACCATCAAATATTACAATAAATAATATCAAATAACTTTGTGCTCATCTTGATGAATTTAATCAATCAGGTTAATTATTATTATCTATGATTAATGATTTACTAGATTATAGTCAAATTAATAAAGGTTATTTGAGATTGATTCCAAAAGCATTCAATTTGAATAATACATTCAAATTTATTAATTCATTATTACTTAGATAATCTAATGAAAAGGGAGTCTAATTGATTTGGAACAATTAAATTGATCAAAATCACTCTGATTTATATACAGATGAAAATAGATTAAAATAAGTTTTAATTAATTTAGTTGCTAATGCCATTAAATTCACTATGTAAGGGGAGATTATTATAACAGCAATTTAACCAGATGAATAAGATATTATTGAAATTTCTGTATCTGATACAGGATATGGAATACCTGATGATATATAAAAAAATCTCTTTAGATTATACAGTACATTTGATATAGGTAATAACAATAGACATGATGTTGGATTAGGATTAACTATTAGTTAATAACTTGTATCTTTATTAGGACCTAATGATAAAATTGAATTAAAATCTTAAGTAGGCAAAGGTTCTACTTTTAAATTCATTATTTTTAGAAGATTACATCAATCCTTAGAAAATTCAATGCATGAATAGGATTTTAATGAAAAATAAATTGTTCCTATATTTCCTACTTTTACAAATTTAAACTAAATTATTAAAAAGAGGAAAACTTAATAAAAGAAAGCATAAACTTATTATAAATTAGAGTCTCTTTCTGATGAATATTTAAAAGTATTAATTGTTGATGATACTCCTTTTAATATCATTGCCTTAAGTGCAATGTTAAATTAAGTGATTTGTAATTGTAAACTCTATAAAGCTTTCAATGGAAAATAAGCATTTGATATATACTCTAAAGAATAAATGAGTGTCATTTTTATGGATGTAAATATGCCAGAAATGGATGGTTACTAATGTACATAAGAAATAAGAAAATTTGAATAAATGTAGAAACTAACATAATCTCTAATAATAATTGTTACTGCTTTCACAGGATCTGATGATAAACTTAAATCTTAAAAATGCGGAGCTAATGATCATTTAGACAAACCTTTAAATATGGAGGATTTGAAGTAAGCTATGAAAAAGTTCAGAATAATTTGATATTAATTTAAGCTTTATTTTATAATATATTCTATATCCTATATTTCAATCTAAATTATATATTGATATTGCAAAGATGTCAAAAATTTAATACATAATCTAATTTATCTTAATAATTCTTAAGATTTGTTATTTACATTTATAAAGCTATATAATTTTTTATTATCTTAAATTAAGAATTTAACAACAAACTTATTGATATTTTCCTAATATTTAATTTATATTGACTCAAAATTATTTATACTTTTTGGAGTTTATAGTTTTGTAGTGAATTTATTAATATAGAATATTTTATCAAAATTTATTTTTTTTTTAATATTGAAAGTTATATCTATTTTAAGTAGATTCTATATAGAATAAATGAAATAAAAGTACATTTATACATTATAATAAAATAAAATAAAGTTTGAAGTGAATTAATATTTTGAATAAAGAATGTAATTGTTTAATATTTTAAATTAAAAATAGAAAATAATTTCTAATGGAGGGTTCGGAGCTATTGAAGTATTAATTAAATTTAATGACAAATGATCAACCGTGTATTGGATTCAATGTGTTTTTTCATTAATAGTTCTTTAATTCTGGAACTCTTAATTCAAAAAAGAATTTAGAATAAACAGAGAAAATAATTGAATAATGGAGAAAGTTAACAGATGAAGATAAAATGTAATGGTAATAAAAAGAGGAAGAATTAAAATAGTAAGTAAAAAGTAAAAACAATTAAAAAACAAATTAAAGTTAAAATCATCTTGATGATCAAAACCGCCAAAAATCAAAAGAAAATAACAAAGAACAAAATAATGCTATTGAAGATATTAAAAATAGTATTAAATCATTGAAATTTGATGAAGCCAAATAAAACTATATTAAAAGAATATCTGAAAAAAATGGCTATAAAGAAGTTGTTGATTTAAATGATGATAAAAATGTTGAACAGGATTAAAAACCTTAATATTAAAAAAATAGTAAAAAAAACACTTAAAGAAATAAACAAGAAAATTAAGATGATGATGATGATGATAATAGTGATTCTTTTATAGAAATTAAAAAAGGAAGAAAATCAAATGTTAGATAATCAAAACCAAAATAAAGTAGATCTAGATGTAAATCTGGTTAGAGATCAGGATGTGGAAAAAGAAGAATGTGAATTACATAATTATTTAATTTTTAGATTATTATTACTCTTTATTATACTATTTAGATTATTATAACACTTTTTATACTTAAACTAGACTGAGTAAATAACAATTAAGTTACATAATCATCTTGCCTATTCATTTTATTCTTAAAAATTTTAATATTATTATATTGATTGTTTAATTATAATTAAATATCAATAGAATTAAATTTAAATGCGATGTTTATTTTAAGTTGTTTATAATTTATGTCCTTTTTATACATTAATCTAAAGACATATTATGGTTAAATTTCTAATGAACTTTGAATAATTTAAATCTTTAGAATGAATTATTCTTATTTTATTGATGTTTATAATTTTTGATTATATATAATACTTTTTATTTTCACCAAAATTTATTTAGTAGATATAATAGAAAGTGTATAATTTACATATTTTATAAATTATAAAAAACTATCAACAATTACATTTTTATTATTATTATCCATCTTCTAATTTTCGATTAGGCCACAACTATAAATTAATATTTTCTTATGATTTATTTTTAGTATTAAAAGATTATTTTTTATCAACATCATAAGTCGTTTAATCCTATAATAGATAAAATAAATCTATACTATATTTAAATTCTTTTTTTATTTTTTTTCTTTTAATTCCATGTCTCTTTTTATTATTAGTAATCTTGATAATTCTTCAAATGCTTAAGATACTCCATATGAAGTTTTAGCACTGATTTCTTAGAATAACATCAGTTTATCTTTTGCATAAACTTATGCCCTTTCAGCAGAAATAGTTTTGTTAGATAAATCACTTTTATTTCCTATTAAAAGAATAGTTGTATTCTTTCCTGCATGCTTTTATATCTCATCTATTCATGATTTTTCAATTTCCTCAAATGATTACTAACATGTAGTATTATCATAAACAAGGACAATGCTATAGCTTAGGAAATATTGGAGTACGCATCAGCACCTTTATAATATGCATTTGTAATGGTTCTGAATCTTTCTTAAGAGGACTTACCTACTCCACTATTTCCAATAATAACAAGTTTAAAATAATAGTCGTATTCTCTGTTACTCATTAATTATAAATTTATAATAATCAAAATATGAATGAATATATAATAAATCTAATGAAATAATAATATTATATATATGCATTCATTTAAGCATTTTATTGATAGCCATATTTTTCTCTATGTCTTTTTTCATTACTTTGGCTACAGACATTTCAAAATCCTCTTATGTGACATGAATTCTTCTTTCTCTCAATGCAAACATACCTGCTTCTGTACAAACTGCTTTTGATTCAGCACCAGAAGCACCTGGCATAACTTCAGCTATCTTTCTTAAATCAATTCCTCTCATTAGATTCATTTTCTTAGAATGAATTTTCAATATTTCTAATCTAGCATCAACTCCTGGATTAGGAAATTCTACTTTTCTATCTATTCTTCCAGGTCTTAATAAAGCAGCATCTAAAATATCAATTCTATTTGTAGCCATTATAATCTTAATTGTTTATGTAGACTCAAAACCATCTAACTATTAAAATTAATAAAACTATTTTACTTGATTTAATAATTCCAACATTGTTCTCTATACTTCTGAATCTCCTCCTCTTTCACCTTCCATTCTTGCACCTCCTATAGAATCAACTTCATCTATGAATATCAAACATGGAGAATGTTAACGTGCCATAACAAACAATTCTCTAACCATTCTAGCACCTTCTCCAATATATTTTTAAACTAATTCTGAACCACTCACTCTTATAAATGTACAATCCTATTATAGATTATTACATTTAATACTGTATGATGTGCAATAGCTCTTGCTAATAATGTTTTTCCTGTTCCTGGTGGTCCATAAAGTAATACTCCCTTTGGTTATGCTATACCTAAACTTTCAAAAATTTCTGGATGTTTGATTGGTAATTCAATAACTTCTTTTACTTCCTTTACTTATTAATCTAAACCACCAATCATGTCGTAAGTAGAATCTGGTACTTTTTCAACTTTCATTAATGATACAAGAGGGTCAACTTTTGTAGGTAATATTTTATGTAAAATGTAAGAATCGCTTTTTAAAGCTACTCTAGTATTGGGTTTGCAATCTTCAATTTTGATATTCTTATCTAAAGTCACAACATATTTTCCTTCTGGATTCACTTTAACTAACACTTTATCTTTTCCCATTTATTTTACAACATCTCCAACATATGAATGAGGCTCTTATAAGGCTTATAATTCTTCTTTCACTTATCTCACTAGAAATTCAGTATTGAACTATACCTAAACTATTCAGCTCATTTCTTTATGCTTCCTAACGTTTAACACTGGCTTATTTTTCAGCAATCATAAACTCAAGTATATCAAGTTCTCCTTGTATATATTGCTTATAGCTCAGTTTTCCATCCATTTTTATTCAAAAAAATTAATGAGATTAGGATTAAATATTAGTATAATATTTCTCCTTTACTCTAAAACAAATAATTAAAATATTTCATAGAGTAATCGAAAAAACCAATAATAGAAATAGAATTTTATTAGATAAATATAAGATACAAATTTACAATCAATAAATTTAAAAGGAAGAAAAAGAGAGTATTTTATAATTATTACTTTTTAAGTGAATATAAATTATGATAAAATATCTATTTAAAGGAGAATTTTAACTTAATTAGATTAATTATAGAATTACTTTATAAAATTAAAAAAGGTAATAAATTCTTAATATATTTGATTTCAAATTACTCTTATTAAGCAAATTTACATATAAACAGAATACATTATATGCTTATAAAATATGAATATTAAGGTAAAGTATTTTATTTCAAATTAATATTTTATAATTAATTTTTAAGTAAATAGAATTTATTAAGTGAAAATTATTAGTCTTAGAATTGAAATTTAATTTTGAATAAAAACTCATTAATGATTATCTTTTCTTATATGTTATACGATTCTCATAATTTTCTTATAATTATATTCATATTATTTCCTATGCTTTTATAAGTTGAAATATATTTAAGAATATTTTCTTAAATATTCAAGTTTTCATTGAGTTGATAAAGGAATGGAATGATAAGAGATTCAATAAAGATCTTGGAAATAAAATGATTTTATGGTATTGATTAACTTTGATTAACTTTTTGGGATATTTTAAATAAATAGCAACATAAATTTTAATCTGAGAATTGTGTTTTTATTTATTGATTTTTTTAGATAAATTAAATTTGAATTAATATAATATTTTTATGCAAAAGCGATAAGTTAAAATAGAGATGTTAAAGTATGTATGAAATAATAATAGACAGTCCATCTAGATGTTTAACATAATCAAGATCACCCAAATAAAATGTAAAACTAACTCAACCTTTAATTTTAAAGCAAATTACATAATTAATCAAGAACTCAAAAGAAAGAAATACAGAAAGACTTTGTAAGCCTTACGAAAAATTAAATTATATTTAAAATATATAGCCTTCTACAACTTCTAGGCCCATGTAGAGTCATGATTTATCAACAACTTTTCATTAATTACTTTAAGAGTTTAGAAATTATAAGAAATAAAATAAAGAGAATTCATTTAATAAGATTAATAAACCATTTAAAAAGGGGAGACAGATTAGTTTTCCCAATGCCATTCATCTTAATAATTCCAGCAACAATATTAATAGTATTAAAGATAAATTGTATTTAAATAAAAGAGAATCCAATAGTAAATTGGCTTAAACAATATTATCAATTGCCTAAACATCACATTCATAGAATAATTATAGATTATAATTCAATGGAATCATAGAGGATTGTTCTTAAAAATAATACAATTATTTATATGAAGTCAAAAAAAATATGAAAAATGATAATTCTCATTATAAAAAGAATTCTTAAAGATGTGCATCAGCTGATATCTAATTGGTTGTAAGAAGTACAAATAAAAAAACAAGATCATCTTCAATAGACCGAAATGAATCTCGCTTTTTAGGTTCAACATAAGCCAACTCAAATCCTAAGGAAATAGATTTAACATGTGATGAAAATGAAATTATTGTTCATAATATTAATTTTAATGAAAGAATTGGAACAGAACCTGATCCTTTAATAAATTAAGAAAGATAATATTTAGTTGACCCATATTATTTAATTAAATAAAATGAAATAACTTGGTTAATAAGAGCTATAGTGATTGATTGGATGATGGAAACTGCTATGGGTAACAATTTAAAGAGATAAACATTTCATTTGTCAATATATTATCTTGATTCTTATTTATCTAAGAAATAAGCAAATAAAAAAAATATATAATTAATTGGATTAACAAGTTTGTTAATTGCCAACAAAATAGAAGAAGTCAATCCAATTTGTTTAATGTAATTTCAGAAGGCTGCTAATAATGGATATAAGTAGAATGATATATTAAATATGGAATTAGATATACTATTTGTAATTGTCTATTGCTATATATCTAGACACTTAAATGGTAAGTGAATGCTCCTTCTTACACTTATTGGATTAATTGGTTTACAGATTAATGGGATATTTTTGCAAGTAATAATGGTATCAATCTCTTTTTTAGGAAATCAAATGAAGAATCTTATAAATGTAATTATATCATAATATAAAGTATTTAGAAAGTTATGTCAACTTATTGATTGCACTTTAATGGATATACAAACTCTTCAATATATACCAAGAACAATTATAGCTTCATTTATGTATTTAATAATCTCATTTTAATTAAATGTTTTTGATATTGATATGCTTGAAGTTATGTCCAGAACTTCAATGTTTTTATTAAATCGTATTCAATTTATCAATATTCTATAGGAGATAACTAATTTAATTAAATATTTGAATAATTTGTATCTATAACTTTTGGCTTTGCATTACATGATATATTGCCAGCCATATAATATACAGTAGGATTTTATGAATTACAAATTAATTATGAAACACCTCCTGGAGTTGCACTTTTATTGAATACTCCTTTAGAAGTAATATCAATTTGTATATCATAGTCAAATTATGAAGAATTTCTTTCATTTTAATGTTATTCAAAATACTTACTTGAATTTGTCAGATAAAAAACAAGGGATTGATATATTTAATTAATTAATACACGTATAATAATTTTAATTAAAATATAATGAGTTAAGAGACATTGAATGGAATAAATGGAATTCTAACAGATGTTCAAAGCTTTGGATAAGAAAGCTACAGATTCATTAGAAAATGCACAAAACCAGATAAAAGAGGTAAATGATTGTTATAAAATCATAGAATACATAAAAATTGCAACATCATGTGCAATTGGATTTGCCGTTATGGGAGCAGTGGGTTATTTCATAAAATTAGTATTCATACCTATTAATAATATCATCCTCAGCGCAAATTGATTTATTTTGTTTATTTAACATAATAAAATAGAAATTGTGTATATATATTTCTAAATAACATTTATTTAAACAATTATTTATAGTTCTTTTTTTCTTACATTCTTAATTCATATAGTGACATTCCAATCTTTAATTTCAGATCTTGAAATGTTGAATCAATAAAATATTAAGTATATCACCTTATATATTTACTTTATTCTTTAGTAAGTTTCTATTCACATTTAAAACAATATAATAACAGTTTTTATGCCTCCTCAATGCTTTCTAGAAATACCAAACAACTTAAATGATACCATTCTGAACATATTTCACATTCTAATATAATCAATTATATATAAATATTATTTCTTAATTGTCATTATATTATTTACATATACAATATTATAAATTAATGGCTTCTTTTGGAATTTTTAATTTTAATGAAATGTTATTATTTAACTTTTATTATTTTCTATGATGTTTAAATATTATAGGTCTTAAATATTTTAAATGTCTTTTTCTTTTTGGTAATACTTATATATTATTTATTTATAATTGAGATATTTTATTCTATAAATTCTTTTTCTTTTTCATCCTAATGGCTCTTTAATAAATAATATAGATTTATTCTGAATTGTATTTCTAATTAGTTAATTGCTACCATATTCTATCTGTTTCTTCTAAATCATAAATAGATAATCTTTTATAAGGATATTAAATATTAGTAACTTAATTGTTTTCTAAACAAATTATGAATTTTTCATCTTATTCCATGATATTTGTAATTTATTAAAAAAGTTATTCATTTTCTAATTTAATATCTGCTTATATTTCTTCTTATAATACTTTAATTTCCAATTTTTTTAATTCTAAATCATAATTTTTAGGTTTATTAATCAAGAATTATTCTAATTTTTCATATTATTTGAAAAACAATTGTAAATTTCCTCTTTCCATAAATAGTGTTAGTTTTCAAAAGTTCTTTTAATTTTAAGTGGTAAATGTTTAAAACAATAGATTTCATCAGATTCCATTTAAAATTAAGATCTCCTTGCACATTCAAGATGAAATGCCATACCACATTTTGATTTGGCAACAAAATAAAAGCTCCATTTTTTTTGATTTTACAAATACTAACAAATAATTAAACTTTCTCTTATCAATTTTAAATAAATCAAAATCTAACCAAAGCATACAAGAAACATGTCCCGTATTTTTTCAATTTTTGGTGGTTCACCTATCAAAATATCCAAAGAATACTATAAGATCATAAAATTATATCCTTCCTCTACATCAGATGGTGTATGAAATAAATAATTAGATCTTAATTAATAAGCGTTGAGTTCTCTAAATATAAATATATATTTATAATTAACAAAATATATATAAAAATACAAATTAATTTGACTTAAGATATATAATATCAATGAAATCTAATTTTATTATTAATTACAAAATAAGAGATAAGGAATTAATTCTCGTATCTTGAATTATTTAAATATATTATAAAATATTTAAAAAAAAAGATTAATTACTTTAATTTTAGATCATTCGTCAGGTATATGTATATCCATATTGTCGTCAGGTATTTTGATTTCTTCAAGTTAAGCTTTATCTTGATCTTATTGTGAAATACCCTAAATTATTTAAACTTTAGATTTAATAAGATTCTCATCTGGATGAGTTGAAGTATACATTTTAGGATAAATTAGGTCTTAGTTTTTTTTCATTATAATTATTCCTTTCTTATGTTTATCTCTACACATCAGATAATTTAGATAAATATCTGTAACATTTGTAATAATGCAAAGTATAAAATTTAAGAGTACATAATTATATACCTTAATTTTATATTCATTATTAAAATTGTTCATCTCCTTTAAAGTAAGAGAATCTGAACAATCTGCATTGATAAAATCTTAAAAATGATTCATTATTGATTATTAATAACCCATATCTACAGCCAATATGATTGTACATAATATTTCACCAATCATTTTTGTTCCCAACCAAAATCCAAAAAGATCTTTGTAATGTGAGCCTTTTCGATTTAATGAATTATATTTAAAATTACATCCAATTAAGGAAATAGCTGATATAAAGGGAATTAACAATCCAAATACACCTGCCTATATTCCTATAATCACTTAAGCAGCCAATTAAATATCCATCATATAATCTTTTATGTAACTATTCAAATTATATATAAAGTCTAAATCATTAAATTTACACAATTCTGAAGAATTAAATCTAAATTTAGTCAAAGATTTATAGAATATATTCACATCTATTAAATCATAATTTAAATAAGATTACTTCCTTATTAATTCAGGGTTTGCTTAAATAGATTTTTGTATTTATCCAAAACTTAATTTACTTAAAGTAATTGACTATAGGGTGTATCATTTGTAATTCTCTCAAAACGATCATCTTTAATATAACATTGATATTCAATCATGTTATCAAGATAATAAAAATTAGATATTTCTGAAATAGAAAAACAAATAGAATCTAATTTTCAAATAACTATTTTTGTATACTATATCCAATTGTAAATTGAGAAATTGGCATTTATTCAGACCCAACTCTTTAAAAATTATAAAAGAGACCTGAATCCCCAATTGGTATGCCATTCTTATCAGTAGTGATATTGAAATGGCTAATTGGACATAAGTCTGTTATAGGCACATTCAAATTATTTCCACAATTTCTATAATTCTCTTCATTTTTATAAGATGAATATGCTTGCATTGCTGTAAAAGTACTCTTTTTTGCACAGATTTGTTAACCTTCTAAGAATGAGTCTATAATTTACCTATATTTATACTTTATTTAAGAAAAGGCCAATACATAAATTATTAACTCTCTATTTAAGCTATTGGATGACAATTTTCTGCTAACATGAATTGACTACATTCCATATAATAATAACTAGAATATTGTTTAATTTTATACTTTTTATATTTGTAATTACCAGTTCCATTTGATTATGTGCAATCGCAACCTTTTTCAGTTCCTGGCCATGTAAAATTTAAAATATTTACGTATCCTTTATCACATTTCTATTTAATTTGAATATCCTCTATGAGTTAGTTATCCCAATCTGTATAGAATTAGAATGACTGTTAAATATTGAATCAATAAATTACTTAATCCATTAGTTTGGATTAATTAAAAACTGATACCAGAATTAGTCCAAAGCTAATGAATGTGTAGATTATAACACAACATTGATATCCAGCTAACCAAGATGTTGATTCATATTTATTGAGTTTAAGCATATAAAATTAAATTAAAATGATACACTATTATTTATTTGTCTTTTATTAACGAAAGTAATAAATAATTCTTAACTAAGAGCAAACTTCAATAGATTATTTACTAATATTATTATCTGAAATACATGAATTAATAATAATTGTAATAAGAGTATATATATATATATATTTAGAAGCTAAACAATATATTTAATGAAACTTATTTATTGATAAATAAACAAGTATTTATTATTAAATTATACATATATTTATATATGTACAGATACTAGGAAACAGATAGATTGTCTCAACTTTCTCAACCTACTAAAAGATCAAAGAAGTACACTTAAAATCAATCATTAATGGTGATGTCTAGGTAATAATTCATTTTATATATAAAGACTATATGATAATCATTTTAATCGTGATCTACATGGGAACCCTTGGATTTCAATGGGTACCTTTAAACATGAGTAATTATGAATATCTGATTAAGTTTAGTCGTATGATCAAGTATGAACATTCAGATGCAGGCTTATCATTCACTAATGTGAAAATAAAGAAGTTACGAACATTTTAAGAACTATGGGAAAAAAATGAAGAAATTCATAATAAAAGTGAACAACATTAAGGATTTCGTGAATTTAGAGAATTTAAAGATATTTCTGAAGAGGATGTAATTGTAACAATTGAATATTGGTAAACAAATATATTTATGCAGTACAAATTGTCATGAACATACAGGATCTACTAAACATGATGAAACACGTTATTTGTCATATGCACAACAACTAAAAAATGAAATATTGAAAAGATTTCCAATTGTCAAAGTCATCTTAAAACCTCTTCTCTATGATCATTTTGATCATAGTATTGATACAATGTTTTTATAGAGAAGATTAGGTATATATATATAAATTTGATTAATTTAAGGTTGCTTTGAAGTTTAAGTAATGTCTAAATAGAAGGGACAATTGAAATTTGCAGTTATTGGATCTAAATTAAATTCAAAAGCATGGCCTTAAATACCCATCATTATTAATAAATTACCATAATATTTTAAAAAGGTTTCATTCAATATAGATTTAAAATATTCTGATACAGATTAAAAAATAAAAAACACTGATGTTAGAATCTAACCATATCGTCCTACATAATAAAGAACTTAAAGTTTGATGTGTATCTAATATCATTAAATACAATATAGTCACTTCAAGAACAAACAAAGTTCTTAGACCTTAAAGTAGTCAAACAAGACCTAAATCATCATATTCTAATCTTTCAGGATAAACTTAAAAAACTGTTAAAGATTAAGAAGATACATCATATAAAATAGAAAGAACAAATTAAGATGGCAGAATTGTTTTAACTAATGTACCTTTAGATGTGTATGAAGTAATAATTGAAGAAACTAATGACTTCTTAAGAAAAACACATGTATTTCAAATTAATATTGCTTACATAGCTCATAAATTTATTTTAATTAACTAATGATGATCTACCTCTTGATTAAGTTATTGAATTAAACAAGTAAACACATTCATGTATTGTTGTTTCTGTTAATTCTGAATTGGTACCAATAACAGAATGTAGAGTAGAAATTATCCCTTTAAAAGGAGGAAAAGAAGCTGTACTTAAAGAATCTCCACCTGGAAGTGCAAAATACGAAATTGTAGTTGAACCAAACTAATTCTAAATTTTTATTAAGAAAATTGGATTTCAAATTTTTTAAGGAAAAATCCAAACAAGTTCTGGAGTTTGTGAATATACTTATTCAATACAAAAAGCTAATCAACCAGATGAAGGTTATGATCCTGTACAAGATGCTTTAGATAAAAAGAATTCAATTAAACCTTCAAATGATTTAAAAATAAGGAAACCTAAATATTTATAACCACCATCTGGATAACAAAATGAAATTAATCTAATTTAATTTTCATTTATTGATCTAGTAGATAAAACACCTATTCCTAATGTATATATTAAAGTTGTAGATGAAATTAATAAGAAATTATACAGTTATCGTTCAAATGAGTATGGAATTTGCAAAGCATTAATACAAAAGAGGAGTAAATTATCTTAAGATTAATTTTAGTTACTAAAGGTAGAATCATAATTAATCATCCCTTATATTATGATATGAGTAAAGAAATTAATGAGACATAAATATTAAATTCAAATCCTATCACTTATTATATAATAAAGAAACCACAATAAAACTCATTAATTGTATTAATTGTTAACAAACCTAATGAGGAATTTTTGAATTTCTATATTATACAAGAGAGTAATTAAATTATTATTATTTATAGATAAATAAGTGATTTAAGGAGATTAAGATATCTAATAAATTTAAAATCCAAATGATGGAATTCAATTAATCAAATTTTTGAATTTGTAAAATAAAAAAGATATCTTATAATTGGTAGCATGCTTACCTAAATTAAAAATGGATTAGGTTTAAGAAATGTATGTTTTAACACCAGATCGAATTGAAAAATGCAATCTACCAATATTACCAGAAGAATAAGGAATTTTATATCCTTATTTTTGGATATTAGGGAGTTTAAAAGAACCATATGAAGCTTTTGATGTAGTCAATTAGATTGTTTTTACAAATCAACTAAAAACTTATCCTAACTTAACTAAAACTTAATTAGATGCAGAAGTCAGTTAATGTGCTTTCTAATCACCTAATTTAATTGTAGCTGCTAATTAGAAAAATGGAAGTGTAAGCATATGGAATTTGGATAATTATTAAATTGATAATACAATACTTAATGTTTTATCTGATACTGCTAATTCTATAATTATATGGGATGATGATAATGTTATGTTAAGTGATAATAATGGTTAAATAGCATGGTTGAGAAAAAATGAAGATTCTCAATTTGCCCTATTGCCAATTCTATCTATTAATAAGAAGATCAATACTATGTGTAGAGTAGGTTCTGAAGGTTTAGTGTTAGGTAGTATTGATGGAAAATTAATCTTATTGAAGGTTGATTAAAGATAACTATAAATAATGATAGATTCTTAGATTGATGTAGAATCAGTAAATTAGACAATTGAACCAATTAATAAAATAGTCTCAATAACAAATGATTAGATAGCTGTTTTAAGTGATGGAAACAAATCAATTTATATTTATAAGATTGAAAAATCACTTGATAAACCTCTAAGTGCTACATAAATCAAATAAATTTAAATTAAAGGTTATTAAAGTGGTGGTAAACCAGTTTTATAAATTCTCTCTTTAGAATAGAGATACTTAGTATTTGGAGGTTTGGATGGAATATTATATACTTTAAGTATAGATTCTCATGAAAGAGGACCAAATATTAGTTTAAATTCAGATCTATAAGTAAATACAGTGATCTAAAATGAAGATGGTGTACTTATTGCTTAAGGTAATTTTATAACATTTATCCATTTACCTGAATCTGTTTAGGATTTAAAAGTGTAAAATTATAGAAGTTTTTAATCTCCAGTAAAATTATATACTGGAGATTGTGTTACATATGAAAAACGATTATTAACATTTACAACTTAAGGGAAAATGGTTGTTTGGTCACTTTAAGATAAATAATTCCCAAATATTAGCAATTTTTTGATGGATTCTGAATTTCCTCATAATTTAAAACCTAATCGTTGTTCATATTTATTAGTTGATGCAGCAATACCAAAAGAAAATTTTAGTGTTTATTTGATTAAAGAAAATGGAGAAATTATGAAAGAATCAAATTAGATAATCAAATTTGAAAGATAAGAGAAACACTTTTATATAGAAATTGATTAAACAAAATAGGAAGGTTTATGGAGATTAGGAGCATAACTTTAAAATACAGAATTAATTAGATAAAGATAACCTAAAATATATTTTATTTAACCTCATGGATTTCAAGTCTTAAATTTTCCATAATAAATACCAAGTAGTCGTAAATAAATTTATCATTGGTTTATTGGAACTTTAATTCCAAACATAGAAATGTTAAAAACTTGTTCTTTATATACTGATTCATAAATAGTAGGAAAGTTTCCTTCTTTAGAATTAATAAAACATGAAGGGAAAATAAATTAAATGATCATTTTAAATAAAGACGAATTTATTACAGCAGGTGAAGACAAATAAATAATAGTATGGAATGCTTAAAAGTTCAGTATCAATAAGGTTTTATATCATGAAGCAGAAATATTAAGTGTATATGTACATAATGGTATGGTATTAGCAGGAAATAAAGAAGGTACTGTAATTGGATGGAAATAACATGATAATATATGGTAAATGGATATTAAATTTAAATATCATGAAAAGGGAGTTTATTCTATCATTTATTTAGATGGAAGTATAGTGACATCATCTGAAGATAGGAAAATTCAATTAATTAATTTTGTTTCTGGTGCTTTAGAACATGCAGAACCTGTAGATAGAACTTTTGTTATTTCAATGGTTGCATACAATAAAGATTCATTTGCAGCAGGTTTCCCTGATGGAAGAGTGAAAACATATAAAAGAGTATTTATAATTTATTAAATATATATAGGAAAAGACTGGGCCAAAAATAATTCTTAAAACATTACGAACAGTTGCTACTACTAAAGTATAAAATTTATATTTGATAAACAATACTTAAATATTAGTTGGAGGAATGGATAAATTATGTGAAATAGTGAATATTGAATAAGGAACTAAATTAAAGTAATTAATTATTATACTAAATTAGAACATTAAAAGATGGTCATACAGGTTAAATATTATGCAGTCTAAGTTATAGTAAACATCTTATTACAGGTGGTTCAGATGGAAGATTAAGCATTTGGAATCCAGATAAAGGAATGTTGATTAAAATATATGAATTAACTAAAGAAGAAATTAGAGCATTATTTATTGTAGGAAGATTGTTGATTACTGCTAGTATCATACTATATAATTATTAGGTTCTAATGGTACAATCCGTATTTGGCAAGAAATTTGTCCATTTATTGAATAGATCCCTCCAGATGAAGAACCAGAATAATAATAGTGATTTATATAATTCAATAAAATAATTAATGAGACCCTATACAAGTACTCCTCAAATTTAACACAGAGAACCAGCACATGTATATAATATCTATATAATTTAAGTCTGCTATTGAATTTCGTCAAAATGTTCAACTTTTTAAGTATATTGATTATCTATATTCAAAGACCTAAATACTATGTAACCAAGGCCCATCAGGATTCAAATGAATAATTCCTTTCAAGGTATAACCAATATATAAAAATTTAAGTAAAACAAGAGACCCACCCAATTCGAGAGAATTCAAGAAGACTATTCCTATAACTATGGTTTAAGATAAGGAAAGATTATATGAAGAGCTTAATAAGACTAAATAAATGTGCAATAATCTAAAATTGGAGAATCATCAACTCAAAGCATAATTAAAAAGTTAAGAAACTGCCATGCTCAAATGTAGTGATGTATATCATAATTATATTTAGCCTGAAAAAGAAGAGTACTAAGCCTCTGTTATAAATGCAATACCTTATCAATATAAGAAATAAATTAATGAAGTCCCACAATCTACTATTATTTTATAATTGAAGAAACAGAATAAAGATTTAAGAGAAGAACTTGATGATTTTAAAGAAGAAATGATAAGAGTGAAGAGGAGTGCCAAATTGACTAAAATCTAAGAATTAGAAGCTGAATTGAAAATTTATTCAGAAGAATCATTGCGTCTAAAATAGCTTCTACATTAATAAATACTGAAAACTATGAATCCGTAAATTATTTTCTTCAACTTTATAGTACTAAAACAGAATAAAGTATTGAAGATAGTATTCTTGCCTTATAGGAATAGTTGCAGAAATGTGTTTCTTAAAGAAATAAATAATATTAAGAATTAAAGAAAGCTTAAGAAGAAATTGAAAAGTTGAATTTCTTAAATTAGGAATTAGAATAAAATTATTAGAAAAGCATTAAAGAAAAAACTTAACTTAAGAAATAATTAACTTCATTAGAAGAATAATTTAATAAGGCTTAATTAAATGATCCCTTATTTAAAAGAGGATAAGATGTAACTTAAATGAAATTGGAATTAGAAAAAAAAGTTGTAGAAAATAATCAATTAAAAAATGATAATATGATAAAAGATAGAAAGGTTCATGAATTAGAAAGATAACTTAAAGATGTTACTAGTACATTCTAAGATAAATTAAATACAGTCACAAAAGAAAAAGAAAGTTTTAAAGAGAAATATGAAAAGTAAAAGTAGGAACTTATTGAATTACAAGATAAATATTAATAATTGTTTTTCAATAGTAATAGAAATTTACAATCATAACAAATGTAAAGTGGTAGGAGAGAAGTTGCTTTTACAGTGTAATCTTAAGAAGATATCTAGAATCAGAGGAGAAAATCATAGGAATTTACACCTGAAGTGTAGAAATAAAATGACACATAATAATAGAATTAATAATCTATTTAATAAGAGAAGTAAAGTTATAGAAGAAAAGTACAAAGAAAGTTGAGTTCGATTAGGTAAGATGATATTGAGGAATTACTTACTTAATTAAGATATAAATTAAGAGCATAGAATATAAGAAATGCAGAATTAGAATTATATCTATTTCGATAAAAAGATACAAATGAGACATCTTTAGGAGAATTGATATAGATACTATAAAATAAACCATTTAATTTAAATCAAAATGAAAGTGTATAGATATCAAGATATTTAATTGAACCTTATGGTGAAAAGGAAATAACTTATAATATCAATTTAACCAAAGACAATGAAAGTATCATGTAGACATTGATAAGAGCAATTGGTAAATATAATATATTGGTTGGAGAGGATAAATTACAAATGCATGAACAAATAAGATAAAAACTCAATGAAAAAAAAGATGATTTAATTGCCTTTCTAAAACCAAAGAAATAACAAGGAAATTCATAATAATCTATTTCTGCTTAATTACCAGGAAGTTTAGTAAATAGATAATAATTTAAAACAGCATTATTATAGACTTCATTAGATGAGGAATAAACAGATGTTCTATTATAAACATTATATGAATAAACTTAGGATTTTAATTTCATTGATTTAGATATGGTTTTTTAAACTTGGCCAAGTTCAGGACCAATTAAAATAACTAGATCTCAGATAGAATAATTAAAAGAGGATGGTGAATTACCTGATATAGTCCGTGAATGTATAGATAGTTTATTAGAATATGCAAATAAATAAGGGTTATCAATATTAGATTTAAGAAGACAGATTGATGAAGATAATAGTGGTCATGTAGAGAGAACTGAAATGAAATAATTTTTAGTTAAATGTGACATTCAATTAAATAATGAATAATATGATTTAATTTTAGATCATTTTGATTTAGAAGGGGATGGTCGTATATCTACTAATGATATTGGAATTGTATTAAATAAAGCATATAATCAAAAGATGCTTGCCATGAAAGAGTAAAGAACTACAAAGAAAACTTCGAAATGTATTAATATCTATATTTAGAAATTTTAAATTTGGTGGCTAGTCATTTTTTATAATTCATGTAGATAAATAAATTAGATCTATTTTAAATATTCATGACTATAGATTAAGATGGATCTGGATCTGTGAGTAAAGATGAATTTAAATAAATGTTGAGAACTCGAGTAAGTTTATATACTTAAATGGAAGATTGTAATTCCTTTGGATTAGGAAGAGTATGCAGATTTTTTCAAATTGATTGATAATTCAAATGATGGATAGATACATTTCAATGAGTTTTAATAGCATATGATACCTGAGATTGAGAAGATCACTTAGAGACCCTATCATGAATTGTTAAGTGAGCATATTACTAAGAAAGTTGTATGATTATTATATAAATATAAATGGGTTAAAAATATCAAGTATTAAAAAAATCATTAATTGAAAATATTTATTCAGTTTATGAAGTTAATGATTTCAAAGCTTAGATTCCATCTGATTTAATAAATTCTTCTTTCCATAATTCATATTTCTCATTATTTATGTTTTTGACTTTGGTGAATAATGATTGCAATAATTCAATAGTTTTGCAATTTAATTATACATTACCCTAATTTAAATTAAATCTCAAGTTTTTAATAATTATTTTCATAAGTTATTAATCAATTAAACTTTGTACTTATTCAATGTTTCCTTGAATAATCAAATTTTCAAAGATTAGAATAAGTTTCAATGATGGTAATTCTTTTTATTCTCCACTATAAATTCGTATAAGGATTGCTATTATAATCTTCTATTCAAAAAGATAAGTTACTCCAAGTGATTTATTAGTAATCTAAGTAAAAAAGGCTAGACATCTATTAAAGGTTGCATAATCTTTACAATCTAATAATTTTTAGACTTATCTCATTATTCCTTGTTTTAAAACAAACTAGAATTATTAATCAGTTCCAGATAAAACAAATATTAAATTTGTTAAAATGACTTATTATAATTCATATTCTTATTCATGTTTTTTCATTAATTAAATAAATCTTGCTATGATATTACAATCTAAAATTAATTGAATTCTTTTGAGATGGTTCTCTTTTAATGGTGGTAAAGGTATCCATTTACCAGTAATTATGCAAATACATTTTGTTATAATTCCAATCTTATTTTCTTTATGAATTTAATCTATAATAAATAGTAAACTAGATTTGATTAATTCAAATTTCATTGAAGGCTTTTTTGTACACAGAGAGTACAATGTTTTTAAACAAAATTCAGGTTCTTTTGTATATCTCTTGAATATATATAGTTCATTTTAATCATAAAGGAATTATTTACAAAATGGTTTTGAATGCCTAATTTTAGCAGCCTATAATATAGCAGTAAGTCCAGTAAATGCAATTAGATCATTTTTGGATTAAAGTAAAAGAGAGAGACTTGGAACTAAACCATACTGCAAAATTTGTTTAACTTATTGAGATGTTCCACAAAGTAGACAAATAAGTATTTGAGTAGAATCTATAGTACTTTATATTGAGTATTGAACTTATATTAAATGAAGAAGTGGTTATATGATATTATTTTGAATGAGGAATTAGGTGAAATGATATTAATTTCCAGCATCTTCTAAATCAACAGGAAAATTTTCTATGTGGAATTCTAAAAAGATAAGTCTTTGTAATCTTTATAAAGCAATATGGATGGTAATATATTCTTCAGAGTTTAATTACTATTTTATTGATTGTATATCCTCTCTTGTTACTTATATGGTGTGTATTAAATCTATTTAGGATAATAGGTAATTTCGATCTTATTCATTGACTCTATCATCTATTATATATTGATCCATTAAATATTAATGTTGTTAACATAGATTGTTTAGAATACAAATTAATATGATGACTTTTTCAATTAATTATGTTAATAAATCGGAGATATTCCAAATTATTTTATTAGGGATTATAACATACCCAATATGTAATGTTGATGTGCAGAGCGTATTCTATATTTAAGTTTATGATGACATTGATATTTACACTCACAATCAACTGCGAAAGATGCGAGTTGACTAATTGGATGTTGGTAGTGCTTGTTCATTCAATAATTGCCTTTGTATATCATACTTACATGGGTGTTCTCTTAAATAACATAGTAATTAAGTTAACCATTTTAGTAAATTGTGATGTAAATAGCTGAAAGTTTAAACCATATGATTTAAATAGAGGAAGATTAAGATCAAGTTAATGAATTATCAGAATCTCAATATGTGATAAATGAAGAACTTGATCCTTACTCTTATTTGAGTCAAGAAGAGATGGAGAAGAAGTAGAAAGTATTGGCAGTTTAGATTAGATGTGAAGTGGCACTCAGATATAAAGTATTGAGACTTTTGGGAATCATTACATTTTGGAGTACTCAGATATTAGTAATATGGGCTTTAAGATTATAATTGCTCAATCCTGAAGATCCTGAATTATATCATGCATGTTTCAGACATGTAATTACTTTCTAATTAGTTTTTTTGTTTTTGACTATGTACTAATATTTAGAAGTGTACATGGTAACTCTATTGATTGTAATTTGTTTACCTTTCTTAATACCAGTTATGTTGTGGCATAAATTCAAACAAAAAAAATAAAACTATGACAATCAACAGTCATTGAATTAACTTAAGAAGACATGCAAAATGCTTTATCATTCTGAAAAGATTCAAGGTGATCAAGAATGTGGTATCTGCATGCATGTTTATGTTACTGATGAAGAACTTCTTATATTGCCATGTGATCCAAAACATCATTTCCATCTACATTGCATCCAAGCATGGTTACTAATAAATTCCACTTGTCCTAAATGCAGAGCAAGCTTTCTCAGATTTAAATAATAGTAATAATAATGATTATTATTGTTATATTATACAGTAAAAGTAGTTTATTATTATTATTATTATTATTATTATTATTATTATTATTATTATTATTATTATTATTATTATTATTATTTACTTTTTGGATGAGACAAGGAGATAATATAAGCTTCTTTTGTATATTTAACGAAAATGTCCAATCAATCTTAATATGTCTGTTTAATGTATTTTACGATTATCTTTATAATTTGTGTGAATTTAAGGCAAAAATGATCTCGATCTTGAGAAGGAAAAAGGGCAATAGACATCTAAAGAAAACTCAAGAGGTATTTTGTAAAAGCCACTAATTTACTGGTCTCCTGAGGAATTTTAGAAAAGTTTGAATAAATTATTAGTTAGATATTGATAACTAAAATTAAAAACTAACTAACATCCTTTTTTTGATTATTTTATTTTTCAATGCATTCAAACCTAAAATAGACATCAATTAAATATCTAATATATTTTAATAAGTTAATTCTAAATCAATAAGTTTATATTAATTAAAAGTAATCTTCTGTTTAATATTCAGATTATAACATAAACTTTAAAGATCTTATAAAACAATAATATCATAATATGATAATTTTGAATTTGATATCTTGTATATTTGTTTAATTATATAATAAATGATGCAATATTAATTTTATATATTTGAAATAATTGTTATAAAAATTATTGTTTTGATAATGAATTTTTTCATTAATACAATTATAATATAAATGTCAACAAATTAATGTTTCCATTACTTTTAACTATAATCATTTGTAAAATCAATAATAAGAATTTTAAATACTAAAATTAAACAAATAATTAGTTCTAATTAGATCATTACAGAAATAATGATAAAAGATTAATAAAAAAAAATAGAAATTAATTTTATACTTATTTTAATTTTAATTCAAACTACTTTTCTTTTACAAGCACAAATCTTCATACCACAATGAGGACATATTTTTTTGATTGAGGATAAGAAGGTGTGTTCTTATTATTAATTTGTAGAGTAGTCGAATATTTAATCAGGTTATGTATATTTATAAGCCTATGCGACATATTGAGGATTTGCTTTGGTAATAGCATCCAATTTTGTTAATTCTTCAACAACATCTTCTTTTTCTGGTCTATCATTTAATGTGCTCATCAAATTTTATGTTAATGTAGCTGGTCCTGATCTTTTTCCTCCTTTTCCTGGACCTTTTTATGGAGGTTCAGGCTTTCTTGGTTAATCTTTAACACTCTTCTTTTCTTCAACAATTTTCATTCCTCCATGAACTGTTTCACTTACTTTAAAAATATATAAATTTTCAGGAATTAAAACATGTCTTTCAAGTTCCATATTTTCAGCATGAACAAATTTTACTGCTCTATTTGTTGCTAATAAAGCTCCTTTTTAACTTAATTTAGGATTAAACAATGCTCTAACATGACCATCATCACTTCCTAAAAATATTTAATTTAATGTTGGATGCCATAAAACTTCTGTAATAGCTTAATCAAATAACTAAACTCTACAATTAATACTTAAATCATTAACATTTAAGAATAATAATTCAGTTGGTCCTACTATATGATATCCATCTTTAAAAGTGTGATGAGCTGTTACAAGTATACTTTCATTAAAATTTAAATCAAATCTTGTTGGTGGAAATCTATTAATATTACAATATTATAGATAAATATGATGATTAGTATTTGTAGTTTCCCAAAGTTTTATAGTATTATCAACACTCTATGTAATAAATCGTTTTTAATCAGCTAAAATTTTAATTTTAGTAACAAATCCTTTATGAGCATCTTGTATAATAAATAATGGTCTTTTTTTAATTTCTCTACAATTTTAATTGACTTCATAAGCTTTTATAGTATTATCACTACAAGCACATAACAAAAGTCTTCCTCTTATTGTTACACATTGTACTAATACTTTATGACCTGTTTTATCAACACATTTAACAGCATCTTTATGAGTTAAACATTATGCAACTCCATAAAGTTTTTTAGTCATATCCCAAATCCTTACTGTTCCATCATCACTACAAGTAACAAAGACATCACTAAAATCTGGATGAAAACAACCAGAATTTATGGCTGCTGTATGTCCAATAGTTTTTAAAATGTCTCGAATATACATATCTCCTCTATGAGTATCCATAGTTCTCTTTCCTTCTCTATCTAATACACATGCTTATGCATCAGCACAAATTATCAATACATTTTTTCCATCCTTTGCCCAACTTATCTAATTAACTTAATTCCCTTCATATGGTGTAACCAATCTAAAGCTATGTGTATTCTTATCCATACCATAAAAGTCCCAAAATCTAACTACACAATCATATGCTCCTGTAACTAATCTTGAACCAGCATTATCTATGCCAATTGCTGTTGCTTATTTAGTATGTCCTTTTATTAATAATTAATGTGTTATAGGAAAAGTAGCTAATCTCTCCTTTTAAAGTTCCATAGAAGGCAATTCTTCATTTTAAGGTTTNAAATAATTAGTTCTAATTAGATCATTACAGAAATAATGATAAAAGATTAATAAAAAAAAATAGAAATTAATTTTATACTTATTTTAATTTTAATTCAAACTACTTTTCTTTTACAAGCACAAATCTTCATACCACAATGAGGACATATTTTTTTGATTGAGGATAAGAAGGTGTGTTCTTATTATTAATTTGTAGAGTAGTCGAATATTTAATCAGGTTATGTATATTTATATGCCTATGCAACATATTGTGGATTTGCTTTGGTAATAGCATCCAATTTTGTTAATTCTTCAACAACATCTTCTTTTTCTGGTCTATCATTTAATGTGCTCATCAAATTTTATGTTAATGTAGCTGGTCCTGATCTTTTTCCTCCTTTTCCTGGACCTTTTTATGGAGGTTCAGGCTTTCTTGGTTAATCTTTAACACTTTTCTTTTCTTCAACAATTTTCATTCCTCCATGAACTGTTTCACTTACTTTAAAAATATATAAATTTTCAGGAATTAAAACATGTCTTTCAAGTTCCATATTTTCAGCATGAACAAATTTTACTGCTCTATTTGTTGCTAATAAAGCTCCTTTTTAACTTAATTTAGGATTAAACAATGCTCTAACATGACCATCATCACTTCCTAAAAATATTTAATTTAATGTTGGATGCCATAAAACTTCTGTAATAGCTTAATCAAATAACTAAACTCTACAATTAATACTTAAATCATTAACATTTAAGAATAATAATTCAGTTGGTCCTACTATATGATATCCATCTTTAAAAGTGTGATGAGCTGTTACAAGTATACTTTCATTAAAATTTAAATCAAATCTTGTTGGTGGAAATCTATTAATATTACAATATTATAGATAAATATGATGATTAGTATTTGTAGTTTCCCAAAGTTTTATAGTATTATCAACACTCTATGTAATAAATCGTTTTTAATCAGCTAAAATTTTAATTTTAGTAACAAATCCTTTATGAGCATCTTGTATTATAAATAATGGTCTTTTTTTAATTTCTCTACAATTTTAATTGACTTCATAAGCTTTTATAGTATTATCACTACAAGCACATAACAAAAGTCTTCCTCTTATTGTTACACATTGTACTAATACTTTATGACCTGTTTTATCAACACATTTAACAGCATCTTTATGAGTTAAACATTATGCAACTCCATAAAGTTTTTTAGTCATATCCCAAATCCTTACTGTTCCATCATCACTACAAGTAACAAAGACATCACTAAAATCTGGATGAAAACAACCAGAATTTATGGCTGCTGTATGTCCAATAGTTTTTAAAATGTCTCGAATATACATATCTCCTCTATGAGTATCCATAGTTCTCTTTCCTTCTCTATCTAATACACATGCTTATGCATCAGCACAAATTATCAATACATTTTTTCCATCCTTTGCCCAACTTATCTAATTAACTTAATTCCCTTCATATGGTGTAACCAATCTAAAGCTATGTGTATTCTTATCCATACCATAAAAGTCCCAAAATCTAACTACACAATCATATGCTCCTGTAACTAATCTTGAACCAGCATTATCTATGCCAATTGCTGTTGCTTATTTAGTATGTCCTTTTATTAATAATTAGTGTGTTATAGGAAAAGTAGCTAATCTCTCCTTTTAAAGTTCCATAGAAGGCAATTCTTCATTTTAAGGTTTGAATTTTAAAAGAGCTCTTTTTGCTGCTTATGCTTCAACTGCCTCTCTTAATGCAGGATCTCTAGCTAATGCAGCAGGATCAATATAATCATCATCTTCATCTTAGAAATTTTACTTTTTTCTTTCAGCAGAATCTCTATTTATCCTTATTCCATCATTTTCATTCACTTTAACTTATTTTTGAATTGGCTCATAATCAGGCTCAAAAACTTCTTCATCAGATGAATAACTTTCTTCACTTGATGGTCTTGCTGGACCCACTTATCCAGTTGGTTATACTAATTTCTCTGGAACTATTATTTATGGTGTTGCTATAACAAACTCTGCTTCATCAGGAATGTTTGGTTTAGTTGAAGTAAACTTGTCTTTTATTTAATCGTCTATCATTTATTTTTATTATAAAATTTAAATTGAAAAAAACACATATGAATACCACACAAATATTTGTAAAATAATATCTATTTTTAATTATCTAATTCTAACATATGAATTTCTATATATTATGCTAATTTATAATTATTTAAAATTGAATTTCCATTTGAAATATTTCTATATTCCTTCATTATTTATTATTTTTATATATATATATTAATATGATTAATTGTATGATAATATTTCATAATGTTGCAGATGCAATTTTTCTTTCCTTATATTCTTCTATTAATTTCATCAAATGGTTCATTGATCTTTATGGATCCAATCCCTTTGGGCATGTAAATGAACACATTCCTATATTTTAACAGTCTTCAACCTTAACATCCTCAGCTAAAATGTAATGAGAATTTAGAAATTACCTAATTTCTCTAATCTTTCATCTGTGTATTCATCTCTAGAATCTACAATCCATCTGTAAGCCTACATCAAAACAGCTGGACCAAGATATCTATCTGGATGCCACCAATAAGAAGGACAAGATGTTGAACAGCAAGCACATAATACACATTCATAAAGACCATCCAATAACTTTCTATCTTCTACCGATTAGATGTATTCCTTATTTCCTTCCTATTTTAAATATTAAAAATTCATTACTTTTGGAGTCTTTCTCTTTAGATAAGGGTCAATAGTCTTATATTAAGTATAGAAATTAGTCATATCAACTACCAAGTCTTTGACAACAAACATATGTCCCAATGGAGTAATGTAAGCTGGTTATGTTAAGTCAGTGTCAATTGCATGAATACAAGCTAATTTATGAAGACCATTGCAATTCATGGAGCAAGATCCGCAAATACCTTCTCTGCAGGATCGACGTAAAGATAATGAAGAATCATAATTGTCTTTAATGTATAGCAATGCATCTAAGTACATTGGAGGTATCTTCTTTAAGTCAACATAATAGCTCACATACTTTGGAAAGTCATTCTCATCCTAAAATCTAAACATTTCAATATACAGCTGGATCATATCTATAAATAAGGAATTGCTTCATTTTTGATTTCTCTTCTGCTGTTAGTTTTGGATTGTGCTCGACAACATAGTTTATTTATTAGATGCCTTTAACTGTGCTAGAGACTGTGTCAAATAATCTTTTGGTAGCATCATTGCTATCATGATGATGTGTCCCATGCCAGAACATTGGTCTTCTGAACACTGTAGACAATCTCTGAAGCATTATTTAATTTAATCAATTCAATCTTCATAACACAGTATATATAAAATCAATTTTCTTTCTATTCCTACTATTTTAGTTCTTCTTCTTCATTACTTTCCTTTTTATTTCTCTTTTTCCTTCCTTATCTTATTTAAAATCCATTTATCATTAACATCTGGAAAATCTTTTATCAACTCACTTTTAGCATTGTGCATTATTGATAGAATATTTATTGATCCTCAATTTACTGAATCGTTCTTACGTAACTTTATCCAATATATCTTAGTCCTCAGTTACAATTAATACTTTTAATTTTTCTTTCTGCATTATCCTTCTCAGCTTTTAATTATAATATTTTGATTACTTCATCTTATGTTATAGGTTTGTGATTTAAATTTGCTGCTTTCATAGTTTGATTCAGAAATTCACAAAATGGATTTGCAGACTTTCCCTCTTATTCTAATAATCTTACAAATGAATTAATTGAATATTTTATTAAATGCTTTTATGAATAATCTTCCAACTGTTCAACCAATTTCCATAATTAATTTGATAATGAGTAGCCTAACCATAAATATAATTATTTCTTTAAATTATACATATATATAGAATATATTTACATTTATTTTATTTTATTTATTGATCTACTCATAATAATATTTTAAGAATACTTTCTGAATATTATTTCAAAACTTAATTATACAAATCCAAATAATATTTATTTGTTAAAAGACTTTTTATAACGAAAAATTAAATTATAAAATGGGAATACAGCTAATTGTATGGAATATTTTATAGAGAATAATTAAGCTATCAGTCTAGAATGTGAAAATAAATATAACAGATAAAAATTGAAAATTTATTAATTATGAATTTAATAACTTCTAAGTAAATGAGAACGAAATATTTTATATTCAAAGTTCTAACCCAATAGATTTGGATATTATTGAATACTTTTTCATAATTATAGCTTAATTAGAATTTAATCTTTCGCATTTTTCTTAAATATAGATATTGTTTTTCAGATAGTATAATACTTTATCTAATTTATTTAGAATTACAATGTTCTATAACTTTTAATTTATCTTTAAGGGAATAACACAGATCAAAAATATATTCCTGACTAAAGATCCTAATTTTCTTAATAAAAATGGAGGTTTGATTAATTTGATAAAACTCAAACTAAATTAATATAATATTTAATATAAGGAATAAAATGAACAACTTAAATTTACAAAGATGAAAGATAATATCATATAAACTGTTAGAAAATCAAAACATGAATTTATTTTTTTTATTAAAAAGTAATCAAAGACTTTAGGGATATGAATACTTTTATTTCTTATATTTTTTATGAACTAAATATTAATAATTTAATGTGAAAATTTTCAATCTTCAATAATTATTGTTTGATCTGTTTCCTGCTCTTTTCTTATATCCACCTCCTGAATTGTCGCTCTCATCTTCATCAGCTTATTTTCTCCTTCCTCCATTGTTATTATAACTTCTTCCTCTACCTCTATTTTATTGGACATTAGGTCTTTCTGGATCTGCCACCTTTCTATAAGAATCTCTAACTTAATTGCCTCCTGTGCCTCTTCCATATTCTCTTCCTTCAGAATATCCAATATCCCAATCTACTCTTATTGCTCTCTCATCCAATTTTAAAAGGTCCAAGTATTCATGAGCCTCTTTTGCATCTTCATGATTAAAATATTCAATGAAGCAAAATCCAATAGCCTTTCCTGTTTCTTTATTTCTTCCCATAATTAATCTTCTCACTCCTGCTCCAACTCTATTGAATAATTCAAATATTTATTCTTCAGTTGTATAGATTGACAAATTTCCCAAGTATAATGTAGTGGATATTGAGAGTTTATAAAAATATTCTTCCCTTGTCAAATTTGAACTCTTGTCATAGTATTGACTTATAGGTTGTTATAGATTTTCATATAAACTTGCAGCATTCAAATTACTCATTTGATTTAAATTATTGAAGTCAAACCATTTATGTGTATAAATATAAATATAAAAATATCACCACCATTTATAACACCCATAAAATTATAAAGGAATATTAATATAAATAAATTAAATCCACTTATTTATTGTTATAATGATGACCAAGCATATGTCTGATCCTATGTGATCGATGTTAAAGGATTCTGAAATTAGTGTTTTTTATTAATTAATACAAAGTCAATTTATTCTCCATCTTATTAATAATTTTATTTCTTTTTAATGATCAAATTAGAGGAAAAGGCTTCCAAAATTTTATGCTCTCAACATTAGAAAAGCATTCAATATATAACTTTAAGCAAATCCTCTAACAATAGGTTACTCTGTTAAAAATGTCCTTAAAATAACAGGATTGCAATCAATAAAGCCTCAGAATTATTAATGGATATAAATTAAGATCATCCATTAAATTATCATATAAAAGAACTACAAAAGTAATATGAAAGTTTAAGAAAGGAAATTAAATTAAAAGTAGATGAATTACTTGATGAAACTGAAGATTGTCTTAATAGTTTGATAAATCATAAATTAAGTGATAAATAAATTTAACATTATCTATATGATGATAAATTAAATGAATAAGATTTTGAGAAACTATAAGAGATATTATGCAAGTATTATGATTTTGAATAAGACAATTAAATTGTTGCTAAAATTCCCTCTAATGATATGCATAATGTTTACTAAGTTTAATAAAAGTGTTAGAAAATAGCTTCAATTATTAAGGCTTTTTATAAATCTTAATATCACTCAAGACTAGGGACATAACAAAGTCAAGAGAATTTACTTAGTTAAATGCCTTTAAAAAAAAATACTAAAGCAGAAAAACCATCAGAATAAGATAAACATGAAGAGGAAAAGAGTAAAGGGTTATATACAATAAAAGAAGAAATAATAACAAATTCTGTGTGTCATTGTATTGATTTAAATAAAACTGCAACATTAATAGTTTGTGGTTTGTAAGGAAATAACAATGAAGATAATCTTGTTTTACTTCAAAAAAAAGAAGAAGGATTTAAGGAATTTTAGACTCTAGTAGGACATGTAGGTTCAATAAATGCAGTTTGTTTTGGGAAAATTAATAATAGTATATTTTCAGCAGGAGATGATAAAACTATTAGGATTTGGAATGAATATTTATAAAGTAAAGAAAATAAGTTGTATAATTGTAAATAAATTATAAATGAAGCTCATAATATGGAAATTCATTGTTTATGCTTAAATTAATTAAATAATTTATTGGCCTCTGGTTGTCAAGAAGGAAATATCAAAATATGGATTGAGGTTGATGAGAAATGGATTAATTCTTAAGTGTTAATTCAACATAGTTAATGGGTAAAATCATTAAGTTTTAATTATGATTCAACTTTTTTAGTATCAGGAAGTGGGGATAAATTAATATGTGTTTGGAATTTAAATGAAGATTGGGAACATTTTTAAACTATAACAGAACATACAAATTTAGTGAATTGTGTAAATTTTGCATAAGGTGAAAATATTTTTGTTAGTGGATCTGAAGATTAAACAATCAAAATTTGGAATCAACAAAATGAGCCAAACGGAAAATTTATATGTATATAATAACTTGAAGGAGGATATTATATTAGATCTGTTTGTTTTAATTATAATTCTTTACTTTTAGTATCTGGATCATATAGTAATATTAAGGTTTGGGTTAAGAATCATGCAGGAGTATTTGTATTAAATTAATAAAAATATTTTGATTCACGATAAGTCTTGCTTTCAGAAGATTCCAAAGACTTATTTTCTGTAAATAGATTCAGTTTGAATATTAGAATGTTTAGAATAAAAGAAAAAAATAAAAAAAATAATGCCAAACTCACATTCTGATTAAAATATTATATCATTTTAATAAATTAAAATAATAAATGTTTCAGTTATATATTTTTATATAATAAAATTAGAAATATAGTATATCTATAGATATTATAATGTATATTTTTATAATTTATAAAAATATATTAATCATTGGGGGGTTTCTTCATATATCAAGGTATCTTATTAAATTAGAATGTAGTCACCATATTCTTTTCTTTATCGATTTTATTTAACATAATTTTGTATTTCAATATCTCTTCTTATTTGTTATGAGGAACCTAAAATATAATCAAGTTGTCTTTCAAAAATTTTTGAAAGTAAATTCATTTTTCCAGGAATTGAAGACAATCTTAGAAAATTTGTATTAATTTTAGTGCCACATCCACATTTAATAATTTATTTTTCTGAATCTATTAATTTTTTAATATGTTCTTCTATGCAGATAGGATGATAAAGACAATTTTTTTAGCAATTAATTTAAACAAAAGTAAAACTTATTGTTTTGGTACACATCTAGCATATCTTATCATTTTGCTCTTATTATGATATCGAAGGTGAAGGAATGATTTCATTTGAATGCTTTAAAGAAGTCTAAGTATTTGATTTTTGTATTGGTTAAATATTTTTAGTGCTTTCATCAACTGTTACTGTATGTATTGCTGAAGACTCTACTTTAAAACAAATTATATTTCCCATACTGTCTAATGTTTATTTAATATTATTTTATATTTATCTAAATTGGGTGAAATAAGATTTAAATAATCCAAATTTGATTTAACTAAAAAAAAAAAAATGATATATTATAATTATTATAAATTATTCTATTAAATCAATCCCCTCCTGGTGTAGAATAATTACTGAAATATAAAAACCCAGATGAACTATTGTAATCTTGATCTTCTGTATATTAATTTTACTTAAATAGTTCTTATATTTAATCAATTTCACCAATATTATTTAGTTTAGGTAGTATTATAGATAATTATTCTGTAAATAAATAGTTCAACAATCTGAGTCTAATTTTACTATCTTGAATTCTTCTTATTATATTTGTATTCATTTTAGTTCCACATCTGCATTTAATAATTATACTCTTTTTATCTTAAATTTAAAATTATATCCAATTTATAAAACATTCATAATGATAGATATGTCCACAATTAAATTTCAACAAGGTTTAAGATATCTCATCTCCACAATATAAACAGACACTAATAATAAATAGTTTTTATTAACTAATATGTAAAATACCACTTTGATCTATTAAGAATTCAGTAATATTTTTTTTCAATTCTACTTTTTTATCAGCATAATGAAAATCATAATCCTCTTTTTATGTATTTTACTCAATCATTTATTAAATATCTTATAAATCACAATATTTTCTGATGTCTGAATTCTATAATATATTTGAAATTTAAACAGAAAACATTTAATACAGAATTTTAGATCTAATTTTAACATCAACAATTTATCTTAATATGTTTGAGCTTAATTTAGTTCCACATTTACATTTAATTATGAATTTTTCTTATTATTATAATTATTTTTCAATTATTGATATAAAACAATTCTAATGAAATACATGTTAACATATTATTTAAATAAGAGTTTCTTCTATTATTTATTTACATTAATAACAATAATTTTATTGCTTACTATCATTAACTTGTCTTACTAACTTACCAGATTATTATATCATAATAGCCTCCTAAGATTAATTTAAATTTTCATTTATCTATCCTTTTGTCATTTTTGAAGATTATTCTTTAAATTATTCTTCATTGAATGAGAATTCCTTATCTTATAAAAAATGCTCTCCTATGGATTGAGTTGGTCTCATAGATATAAAGGTATCAGTAGGTTATATTTATTCTTTTTTATTATGCAGAGTTGTTTATTGTTATTCTTTTTTTGGTTTTTATGAAGACAAACTTGTAAAAAAAGAACCCATTTATATAAAAATATTTTTTATCTAAATATTTATAATTTTGATTCTTTATAATATGATATTTCAATTAGATTATATGAAAATAACCCCATTTTAATCGCACATCCAACATTTTTTGGTTCGAGTATCATTAATACTTTTTATCCAGAAAAACCGACATTTTACACAAAAGTCTATCTGATTTCTTATTTTTTATTTTATTAAATCTACCTATTTTTATAATAAGCTTTCAAGATCTATTTATAAACTCGTTGAAAAAAATTATTATGGCAATTTAATCTTACATTGACAAATTAATTAATTATTGTTATTATAATTATCTAATTAAAATTAATAGTACTCTCTTAAACACTAATCATGATAATAATGATAACAAGGAGTTGCTATAAATTAAGATTGAACAACTTTTGTACAATAATAGCAAATCATTTAACCAGAATATTAAGTTTAAAGAATTGAATTATCTTGATTTTCTGCTTTGCTACTGTTATTACTCTAGTTTGTTTTATTTTTAGAATTAAGTTAGTAATTAGCATTTAAATGAAAAGGTCTAATATTCTTACTATTAGATTATTCAAAAAAATTATTGTTATTAGGTATTTCAGCAATTTTTATAGTTTTATTTATAGGAATTCCTACGTTAACATTTGATTTTTATGAGTATGAATTTTATATTAATTTACTTTGAGATATGTTTTTTTGTTAAAGAATATCAGAAGTATTTTATTTTTTTTATTATATAGAGAAATTTGAATCATTTATATGATTGCCAAATTATTGTTATTTATTTGGAATTATTTCATGGTTGATTCTTGAATATAATGATTAATTAAAAAAATTTTAGGCTGAAACATTTGCAAGAGACTCTGTAGCATTATCTTGATTTTATTCTCTTTGAAATTATAAAACTGCTAAAGATAATTATTTTTAAATATTATCTAATTATTCATTCATGTCTATAATTTCTTTTTAAACATATTATTAGATTTTAATTTATTTAGTCTTAAGATCTTTCAATAGAATAATTAAATTGTCAAAAATACTTTAAAAAATTTACTTTGATGATTCTTTATAAGTTTTATTCTTTTAAGGATCTTTTAAAGTACTAAAATCAAACTAACCTTTATTGATGTGCTGTTAATCTTATTTTTTAGAGTTTTACTATGAAGAATATTGAATCATTTTAGAGCCAAATTCTATTAAATAAAATTATTAATAAATATTATAAGGAAATTGAAGAAGCTCAATTTTTGATGATTATTATATATTTTAAAAAATCTTCTTTCATTGTATTGTTGGACCTTAAGTTGAAGATAATAATCTAATTTTTGATTTTACTTGTGAGTCCTAATAACTTGGCACAAATTGTATTTATGAATTTGTATCATTTTATGTGTTTTGATTATAATTAGGTTATGACTATTAATATTGAGGAGGAGTGATAAAGTTAATTTATGAATGAATTGGTAATGAATGTTATTATTAATCCAATTATTATTGATATTATTATTATTATTATTAATATTAATATTAATCTAATTATAATTATGAATATTATTATTAATCCAATTATTATGAATATTATGGTTATTATTATTATTATTATTAATTGAATTATTAAAATTGATTATTATTATAATTTGGTACCTGGATACCCTAAATATTCAAGCATTTATTAATTTCTTCACAATATTTAATTAATATTTATTCATATCTAGATAAATTTTCTAGATTCTAACATGTTTACTATTGAGTCTAGTTTAATTATTATTCAAGGATTTAAAGCTCATCTTTTACTAATTAGGTCATATTAATGTTATATTCATTTACTTTTTCTGCAATTTATTTCTTGTAAATATCTAGATCTTAAGATTATTTTTCAATTATTCCATATGCATTTGAGATTTTTTCTGCAGTTGTTCTCCAAATCTCATGAGCTATTTCATTTTTGGAAATAAAATTCTAGATTTTCTCTTAGATTTCAGTATTTCCTTAATTTTCCATCGGACTTTCTATTTTTAATTCTTACTATTATATTTTCTCTTCTAATTATTATATCTTATAATCTTATTGTTATATTTTCAAATCTTATTATTCCATTTTTTTTTAAATTTCTTAATTACCTTTAATTAATTCTTACTATTGTATTTTCTCATTTTATTATTATATCAATTATTCAATTTATTACATTTTCTTATCTTATTATTCCATTTTTTTTTTTAATTCTTAATTCTCTTTAATTAATTCTTACTATTGTATTTAATTGATTTTCTTTAATTCTTCAAAAACCTTTTCTTTGTATTCATCTAAAGCCTATTCTATTTATTATTTATCTTATTCTTAAGGTTTTGACTATGGCTTTGGGACTTATTATTAATCATATTGCTTAAAATAAATTGATAACTTACTTTTTTCATTACCTATGAGGTTGTAAGAGATGGTGTCTAACCTTTTTCAGGTTGAAATTGTAAAGTAGAATTTTTTTTATCTGGAAGCCTACTAGGAGTGCCCTTACCATATGTATTATTACTCATGTAATTCTATTAATTTTATTAATAAATAATATATGATGATATTTTGAGTATTTGGAATATTAAGAATAATTTAATTTATTTTAATATTAATCGATTGATCGGCAGATTTGATTAAGTTAAATAATTGATAATTATTGATATTGGAAATAAACTAAGATTGATTTAAAAATTATTGAATGAAATGGATTGAAAATTAAGGAAATAAGATAGAATTAGAATTGATTATTATATTATATAAAAATTAATAAGTTCATATGGGAAATTGTTTAAAAAGAAACTAAACCTAGTTATAATAAAATCAATAATGTCCAAAATGTCATGTAGTATTTTAAGCACAAACAAGTGCTCTTCTAGTAAGAATATTATAATAAAATAGTATTAATAACATGTTACGAATTGTAGAGTTAGACCAATTTAAAATCAACCTGTTTAATCTCGTAATTTGTTAGTTGGAGATGTAGTTATCGAACCGAACCATCATCCTATTCCTAATCCAAATCCAAATCCAAGAACCACTGTACTAAGATTATTATTATAATTTTAAGCCTCATTATATATAGGATGATTTTCAAAATAGAAAATAAAAATATTATTGGTGCAAAGAATTATTACCTGGGTCCAAGATCAAATATAAATGGAACAAAAAAGTAAGTCAAACATTATTTTAACTCAGTTATCTCCTCCTATGCCAGCAGCCAATGTTTCTGAAATGTTAGCTTTACCTTGGGTACAAATAAAAAATTCTGAATTTCCAATCAAATAAACTTGGTTTAGATTGTAATTAGAGAAAAAAAGAATACCATGGTAATAAGGTGCAGAAACATTATCTGTAAATAAAGAAAGTTTTTTAATGACTACATTAAATATGTACAAAGAGATTAATTGGCACAAAGAAGTCAAGGTTCATATTGATGGTGATAAAGTATTGGATGCAGGTGGTCTTTTAAGAGAATGGGCTAATTTAATAATGAAAGAAATTATACATCCAGAATCTGGTATGTTTTAATTAGCTGATTGTGAGGATGTATCTTATAAAATAAATTGTGAAGCAGATACAGATGAACATATTATAGATTGTTTTAAATTATTAGGTATTGTAGTAGGTAAATGTATTTTTGAAAGAATTCCTTTAAATATATATTTTGATAGATCAATAATTAAACATATAATTGGTTAACCAATATTTTTGGAAGATATTTATTATTATGATCGTTAAGTATAAATATTAAATTATTTTAGTTATATTAATCATGGGACTTTTTAGTAAATAATAAGTTTGAAGCAGATGATATTTCAGAGTTTTTTGTTATTTATAGATAAAGTAAAGGAGATTACTATGAATTAAAAAAGGGAGGATAAACTATTTAATTAGATATGGATAATTGTTAAGAGTATGTTAATCTGTGGTAAATATATAAGAAAATTTAGCATTGAATATTATACATATATTTCGGTGAAGCCGTTTTTGACTGCTTTTTTATCAACTTTATATAGTGTATTAAATTAATGATTAATGTTTAGATAATTCCAAAATAACTACTTAGCTTACTTGAACCTTTAGAATTAGAAATGATCCTTTATGGAACTCCTTTCATTGATATTAATGATTGGAAAGATAATACTGATTACAAAGGAGCTTACTACAGAACTCATCAAACGATTTAATGGTTTTGGGAAATTTTAGAATAACTTGATTAATTTAATCTTGCCAAATTTTTATAATTTTGTACTGGATCAACTAGAACACCTGTAGAAGGATTTAGAAAATTAGAAAGCAATAGAGGAAATTGTTCTAAGTTTTGTATTGAAAGTGTACCATTTACTAAGGCTAATCCTTACCCAAAAGCACATACATGTTTTAATAGATTAGAACTACCAATGTATGAAACTAGAGAAGAGATCGAATCATATTTGAAAGCAGTAATACAGGCTGATATGGATGGATAATTTGGAATGGAATGATATTTAATTCAATATTATATAATTAATAATTTAAATTATGCATTGTCATTTATTAGAGGATCCATAAATAAATAATAATGACTAGCCAAAGAAAATTAAAAAAAAAAACAAATATGATTACCATAGGAAAAAAAGAAGAAGTTCTGATGCTTCTAATACTAAGAAATTAGGTTAAAAATTCACATCAGAGGAAGATAAGCTAATTCTACAGTTAGTTCTAAATGTCGGACCTAAGTTTTAAAAAATTCATAAACATTTTCCAGGAAAAACTCTAGCCATGGTAAAGAATAGATACTACAAATATCTTAGATATAGATGGGAAGTCTTGGGATAGTATTTGTATAATTTATATTTAGAAACTACAAACATTTAAGTGTTCAATAGGATTCTTATGAAAATCTATGTGAATAATAAAAAATAATAAGTGATCAGCTTGACGAAGAAAAAAGCAACTTAATAACACAAATTATCTCACATACAAAATTACTATCAAATGCTCGCATGTTTGTTGAATATCTAGTTGAACAATTATTATGAATTCATTATAGTTATTTAATATATTATCATATTCAAAACATAAACTACTTCAATATATGACTGTCTATTAGAATGTAGCGATTTTTCAATAAATTAATACAATACAAAAACTCAAGTAAATTTGAGCAAAAATCTTGATAAACATCTATTTAAAAATTCATTTCTGCATAAACAAATATGATGATCTATAGTCTCTCAGTTATAGCTACATGCCAGCATAAACTTATTAGAAAACCTGGAATTAGAGTAACATTTATGCAAATTACATAATATATAAACTTAAAGTATAATACTAAAAATCAAATAAAATAACAATAAATCATTTCATACTTATTAGGAATATAAAAAAAAATTCAAAATTTACATGAACTTATATTTTGTTAAAAACATCAAATCTTATATATTATGATATAATTAACCCTAAAAAAATTAAAAAAATTTTAGATCATAAATATAATATGGCAATATTCTTACTGTGTTATTGAATATAATTGCTTATATACTTGTTAAACTCAATTTTATAATTTTAAGTATGAATACTTAACTTTTTTAAGATTTATTCATTGAATATCACAACTAATTAATATAAATGCTTTTATGAATAGTATTGAATAAAAATGATATAATTACATATTAAACATTTATATATTTCAATTAAACAACACATAAATTAATTATCTAAATGATTAAGAATAATTGTCTATAATTCAATTTTTGTAAATTTAATAATGCAATTTACTCCAAAAGTATATGAGTTCGACTATGAAAGACCTACAATAAAAGTTTATAAACTAAGTTAGCAGCTTGTATTCAATAGAGCAGCATCAGAATAAAAAATGAGAAAATCAAGAGCTGTTTCAGATATTTTAACTTAACCTTCAAAACAAATGGATTTTAAAGAGGAAATGAAAAAGCTTGAGTAAATTTAAAAACCATAAGAACTAAAAAGGGAAATATTTAGATAAATCAAATAAACTTGCAGAGAGTTTAGAAATGTTGAAAGAGAAAGAGATGGATCATTATGGGTGAAATCATATTGTACAAATGAAAAAATTAAAATAAGCAAATTGTTTTAAGGAACTTAAAATTCTTAAGCAATTGATTACAAAAATTTTCATTCAAGAAGTAATAGCAAAGCACACATAAGACCAAAAAAGAAAACTGTTGATATTCCTTAATCCTCTTTGTAATTACAAAGTAAACCTAGACCTTAGTTATTAAGATTAAGATTAAAAAGCAAAAATGTATCTCAAGAAACTTTTTAATAACCAGCATGTTTTACAGAAAGAGAATGCTAAGTTAATTTAGTAACACAGTAAATTAATACTGACACAAAGAAACTAAAAAAAGAAATAGATGTTTAAGATATGGGAGTATTTGATGAAATGTTGGAATTTTATAATTAAGATAGAATAGTAACAATAACATAGGATATAATGCGTAGAAAAATTGATTTTAAAAAAATATAACATGAGTTAAAAAAAACTCTCTAATACATTAGTAGATTAAATTTGGATATTTATTAGGCATTTAGTGATCAAGTGGTTAGTTAAAAACCATTTTAAAAGGAGCATTCTTATGAATTTATATAAGCTGCAAAATAAGGAAAAGAATGGGAAGTCAAAGAGTTTATTAAAGATAACAAATATTTGGTTTACGATTTCGATTATGTAAGCGTGATTGAAAACACTTATAGATTTACATGACGGCTTTGCATTGGGCTTGTAAGAGAGGACACTTTGAGATTGTTAAACTATTAATAGAAAATGGGGCAGATATAGAATTTCAAGATATCATTGGAAGACCAACACTTTATTTTGCTATCATAGGTGGAAATCCAAAAATTGTGAAATATATTTTAGATAAAAAAGCTGATCCTTGGTCAACAACAGCAGTAAACTACAACTAATTATGTATGGAATACAATCCGTCATTTTTGTAATTAATTGCACAAGCAAGAAAGGCTCATATAACCTTAAAAATGACACCTCCATCATAAAGAGAAACCATATGGAAAATATTACGTAGGTGATAATATTATTCTAATTTAACTATTTGTAATATTAAAATTATACTGATACTTCATTAATTATATAAATATCATATTTTTTTTAATAATTTTAAGAGACAACTACTATTTAGAATCTATCTTTTTAAAAAAAGAATTTTTAAACAAAGGGATTATATTAATTAAAAAAATTCTAATAAAATTAGTAATATATATTATAAACCCATAAAAATAAAATTAATTACTTAATATAAATGAAAATTTTTATTAGAAATTAATCTCAATCGTTAGATTCAAAAATTCTGGAAATTTTTTACAAAACCTATCCAAGTTTAAACCTATTTAATAGGTTGCGGGCAAGGCTCCTATTCCGGAAGCTGAGCTCGTTACAAAATTAAACAAACGAAATCATTTTTTTATTGATTAATATTTATTATGCTAGTTTATTTAAATTAGTAATCATACTCAATAGATGAGAATATTTAATATTGAGGAAATTATTAATAGGAATGAAAGTGATAAATTTAGGTAAATATAATTTTTGATAAAATAATATTAATTATTATTGTATATATATTATTATTATTTTTATTAAAAAATATGTATTAATTATGGAGATTCATCAAGAGGGGTATAGTAAGCTAACCCCACATGGTTGGAGGAATAATCATTGGATATTTTGGAATTGGAATTATCAGCTATTATAATAGCGATATACAATTTAATTATGTGAGATTAATAATAATATCCTCAATAGGGAGAATATAATGAACCTCATTCACACAATCATGGAGAGCAAGTTAGATAATATTGTGAATCAACTTTATTGAAGATTAGATCACAAGTAAATGAACTCAGAGAATAACATTGAAATAATCTGAATGATAATTATATAATATATACAATCATAAAAATATCATGTTTTAACATTATGTGCACGTTAATTATGGTTTTAATTTTTATATGATTTGTAATATTCCACATTTATTGCAGAATTTACAAATAATTTATGAAAATTTCTAAATAATTTAACATTAGTGTTATTATTGGCAAAATTAAAGGCAATTATAACAAAAATATTTATTACAATTATTGCAAAAATTGACTTTGCTTTCAATTTCTTCATTTAGACGAAAAAAATAATTACAATCGTGCATTGGACAAGTAGTAAATTGTCCCATTAATTTTAAGGCTTGATGATTAAGATTTGTTTTTATTATTTTACTTTAATCACTAAATTTACAATCTTAGATTCTTATTTTACCATAGCATAATCTATTTGTTTTTGAAAGTCTTCCAACGCAATTTCCAGTGACAAATCCCATTTCTATTTATTATTTGACTTTCTTTTAGAGACAATTTTAATGATAAAAATGATGACAATTAGTTTCTATTTCTTCTGATTTTTCAATAATATCAAGATTACAAGCACAACATGTATTAAGAATTTTGACTATTTCCAAAGATTACTAAATATGATTATAACATACGCTAACAGAATGTTTAGTTCGATGTGATTTAGATTCTATTATTTGATGAGATTATTATGTTTCCTTTAATGAATTCAAGTTTTCAAGAATCAACTTTATCATTGCATCTTAAAGTTCAATTTTTTAATATATTTTTTATTCAAGTTTTTGTAATTTAGCATCTAGAAATTCTTCTATTTATTTGATTACTTTATCTATTAATAAGTCCATAATTTATATATTTGTTAATAAATATTTAATAATTAAATTGTTAAGAAAAGACAAATATAAATATATATGTTTGAAATAATAAATTTACATACAATTCAATAATCGATGAAATCAAAGTAAATATTAAAATGCTTACTCATGCATAACAAAATAAATATTTATTGTAAATTAGGTGAAGCATTATTGAAACCCCATTAAATAATTTTGAAACATACCATCAATTATAAAGGGTCTGTAAAAAAATTCATTGTAATGAAGCTAATAATAAAATTGATTCCCCATTAATTAGATCTTGATACATCACCACCAGAATCTTAAGCTTCAAATGCCATAGATGCAATTATTAAATAACTAAACAATCCTGTTAATACTAAGAAGCTAAGCCAACCAATAATTCTTATTAATATATATTAATGAGGCATTAAAATTGTGAGGATTATCAATTCTATCATTGATAAAATAGATGAAAGAATGCTATAAGCAATTGTTGCTGCAGGATTTAATTCTACTTAAAAGAATATATTTATATAGCATGTAGTTAAAAGGGTCATATAAATTAAACAAAATCTAATAGGTCTAGGTAATTTTTTATCAAAAATTGCTATAATACTTAAAACGGATTGAAACAAACTTATAAACAAAAATAGATTTTTTAATGTAAATCTTAATTTAAATCCTTCTTCTAATAATTTATTTCTTTTTTTTTCTAAATACCAAATTTAAATGATTTTTTCTTTTTCTTCAATTGATAGATTATCCTCCTCATAAAATTCATGGTCTAAAAATAATATATGTTCTTAAGATTTTCTAAAAGGTATCTAAGTCTTAGCAACTTTAGTACTATTGCTATTAACATGAGATTCATATTATGATCCAGATTAACCCAATTAATTTGGTTATATAATTTATTTAGAATCATAAATTGCTCCAATAGGACTAGATGAATTTGGAGATAAAGGAGGATAATCATTTAATTTGGCTTAGCTATTAAGAGAATTATTATAATATTTAGATTAATTAGTAGAAATCTTTTTAAGTATTATTTATTAGATATTTTCAGAATTTCTAACTGAAAATTAATCTGATTAAATTCTTGAACTATGTCTTTCATGAATAAGATTTTTTTAATTTTAATGTTATTATTAATTTTACAGACTCTCTTCATATGATGAACTATGTAAATATAGTCTATTTACAATTGTATTATTCAATGAATACGGATTTTTTAGTTAAAAGAATTTAGCATAAGGTGAAGGAGCTTACATTTTATTTTTCTTATTTGAAATATTGATTGGAGGATATTCTTCATATTAAAACTCTTCATCACTATCATGACTCATATCCAAATTGAAATTATTACTATTGTCACTTTATTCTTATTATTATTAATCTATCATTTCATCTGGGTCTATATCTGGAGAAATAAAAACTTCCTATATTTATTCATCCTTATCCAAAGATTATTATTTTTATTCTTTATCATCAGTTACAATTTCAATCAAATTTTATTTTTCATAAAATTCTTTCCATTCCTTATTTCTTTCTTCTTTTATTTTTTCCATCTCCTTTTACAATTCCTTCTACCTATCTTCAAATAACTTGCGTATATATTCAGATTCAATCATATGTTATGGCATAGCTCTTTCCTTATCTATTTAATCCTTTTTTATTCCATAAGGCAAAAACAATATCAATAAAATAGTAAATATTACTAAACAATAGAATATTACTGAACGATGAAATGGAAATTTATTTAATGCTTCAATAGCTTCTAAAGAAAAAGATTTAGAAAATTTATCAATTTCAAATATATCAGCTAAAGTACTGCTGATAGTAGTAGGACCAAAATATTAGCAATCACAAGCTATTATTAATGAGGATTATGTGTCTATTTCTATTGATGTTTTGCAAAAGTTAGATTCCCATTAAGTAAAATACTTATTTGTACATACAAAATCTACATAATTTGGTTATTCATCCATTAGAAATAGATCTTAATATGATTGAAGTAGTCTTTTTTATCTAAGTATAGTGACATTATATTTAGTAGTAATTGGTTAAGTTGGAATCAATAAACTTCCATTTTGTAATGTAGGTTCTATAGATTAAATAGTTGTAAAATGAGTATTATTAGGATATGAAGAATCTAAGACAAATGGATTCTCTAAATAATGAAAATAACTGAAATTTAACAATAAACTTTAGGAAAAATGAGTATTGTTATCAATTGGTTTATCAACAAGTTTTACAAATTCTATTTCACTTAAATATTCATTCATCTTTTCTGTTGTTAATCTATTAAAGATTAAAGTAAAAGAAGATCCAGAAAATGTAATAGGATCATCATTAACTTATTAGACCAATAATAATCCATATTTTAGCATTTATAATAAATTTAAAATTGATTCAAAATTACTAGAAATACTTTTATACATTGTTTCATTCAATAATGAAATATTTCCATTAAAATATTCATAGTAAAAATTAGATTAAGATTTGAGTAAATAATCCAATGTAGATAATTGATGTATCATATTGATTTTTTCAAGTTCCTTTTATTAATAGTCTCTATATCCAACTTGATTCTGAGAGATAGAATTAATTATAAATAAAACATCATCTATACTTTTAGATAAACTTTAATTTAGATTTGTTAAATAAACTTAAATTTAACTAAAATCTTATAAATAAATAGTATTATTTATTATTATTCTTTTAATTGATTTTTTTATTTACATTTTAGTAGTTTCACTTATAAGTGGTAAATCTAATTTAGATTACAAATCAAAGTATAAAATAGATCTTATATCATCAAGATGATTAGATTATGTTGTATATTGTTCAACTCCTATTGTTAGTATATTCAACAAGGATAAACGTTAAATTTCATTTAAATCTTTTGATTAATTGTATAAATTAGAAAAAGTATTTAAGATATCATCATTGAGGATTCTTCTATTTTATTCTAATACTTTTGCTTAATTTGAATTGATTTCAGATTCAAATTATATTACTTTATCATTAATTTCAGCCAAATCTTATCCTATTATAACTGTAGATGTCAAATTAGTTTGAGCTCCTAATTAATTTTTGATAATTGCTATAATTATTGAATGTGAATTAGTTGATTTAGGTAGTATAGTGGAATAAATGTTGAATTCTTAATAATCAATAATAAGATCTGCATTCATTTAAGAATTCATTAGAATATCTTATTAATATTGAGTTTAATTATAATAAAACAAAAACTTATAATAGATTGGATTTTATTAATCAACACAACTTTAAATTTCTAATTTGAAAATTGTATCATAAGATAATCCTTTTTTAGGTGATACATTAAATTTACAATTTAAAGGTGGTTAAATAGTAGTAATTTCAACACTAGTTAATAGTGGAGTAAAATATATTGAATCAGTACTAAAAATTTATAGTTTAATTTGATCATATCTTTATTTTAAAAGATTTTAAAGGGAAATTGCAAAAGTATTATATGGAATTGAAAATGCTGATAGTTGTTAAAAATCATAAATAATGCAGCCATGTAGATTAGTAAGTTACAAAGAAGACACCTCAAATAGCAATTCTTGGTTAAAAAGTATTGGAATATTTAATGCAATATTTGGAGTATCCATAGAGAAAGTTGATATTTCAACATCTACTATTGTCATTATACTAGAAGTAACTTAAATCAAATTCTTTTTTTGTGCTTTCATTACAAATTAATAAGAATTAAAGGGAGCAAGTGTTCTACTAGGGATTTTAACAATTTATTGATTTTTGATAGTAAATGGTTGTTTATCAACAGTTTCACAAGGTCTTTGTAATGCTACATTAATGCATGTCCATGAGTAGTCGATATCTTTAGTTTATAATTCTTTCACATTTAAATCTTTTACAATAGCAGTGATATTAAAAGACTGACCATAACTATGTATTTAATTTCCTCCATAAATTTTAGCATAAATTCCAGGCATAAGCATTTTGAAAGTCATAGATTTTGACTTTATATTTAATTAATCAAATGTAGCCATTAAGAAAACTTAATAATATCCTGATTAAGTGAATGTGTAGGGTTCAATAAAGATTTCTACATATTTTTAAGAAGAATGTTTGAAATTAAATTGTTTATCCAAAATAATTAAATTGTTTTAGTAAAAGGCTTAAATTTTGTAAAATGCATTTACATTATTAAGAATGGGTGAATCACAACTTGATTGTTATTGAATTGTTGCTTTTATGATAATTCTATTATTGATATAGTAAACTTATGGTTATTGATTTTCATTTTAAATTGAAATAATTGGTAAATTAAGAGGTAAACATTGAACCTGATAATATTTGATTTGATTCTAGCCTAAATAATTAATAAACTAATATTTAAATTTATAGATTGTGTTTTATTGTAAAATATTTGGAGGGATAGTAACTACAGTAGATTTGTAGAGATTGACTTCATATAATATACCAAAGATTTATTATTCAGTAAGTTAATTATAAGGTGAAATTGATTCCAAATTCCATGATACCATTTTAAATCCATTATGGCCATCAAAAAAGTATTAAGAAACTTTGAATTCAGTAACTTCACAGGTAGAAACTTGTGAAGGTCCAAATATCATAACATCACTATCATTGATGATGTAAGGAGGCAAGATATTTGTTGAGAATATAGATGTATATGGAAGATCACAATCAATTCCTTTAATATTAGTAAATAATTGGATAAGGTTTCCAATTTCAATAGAATTATTTATACCTAATTGAATAACAATTTATGATAATTGATTTATACTACATTTAGGATTGACACCAAGAAGGGATACATCTATAATTTGAGAGCATCCTAGATCAAAATTGAAAGTGACTTATTTTCCAAATTTGATAATTAAGGTAGTTAAATCAGGTTACATTTAAATTATTGGTAATCCTAATTCACATGTCTCACAATGCATATATCCAACATCTTATCTATCAATACCTCCTGGAGGACAATCACA